GCCGGTAGGTATTTATTTATTTATTGAACAATCATACGCGGGTAATTTTGCAGATTGTTTCAATTAATTTATTAGGAATACCGACGGCGTCAGTGGCGTTCCAACTTGCTTTTGAGTGGGGCAAACTAGACCGCCCCCCCCCCCCTTTCCCCCCCCCCCCCCGCCAGGGCCGGGGGGCGGTGCCCTCGTATCCCTTGGCCCGCCGCGGCCAGTGTTTGCCCTGCCCAGCGGCGGGCTGTTTCAGGGGAAAAGGGGGGGGGGGTGCAATTTCGTGCCTTGGGCCAACCCCCCCCCCCCACACACACACTCTGAGAAACTGGGGGGGGGGGTGAGGACAAGCGCCCCCCCTGCCCCCCCCCCCGGTTGGTACGCCAATGGACGGCGTCATCAGTCTGTTTGTATCGCGCTGCTGCTAAGTATGAGTCCAGTCATACTTAATTGAGAAGATTTATAAATCTTGCTATACGCAAATAATTTCTTCAATTCTGAATTTAAGAAAAAAAAAGACAAGTACAGTTAATGAAGCCAGGTTGTGAGAACATCGATGCCTAACATATGTACCCTTTGCATATTAGACACAGTTATATTTTAAAGATTTTACTGCAATATATATATAAACAATCGCAATGTTCCTTAATCCCTTTTTTTTTTTTTTTTTTAATAAAGCAGGTTCGAGAGTGCAGCAGACCACTTTGAAGGTGCGTTTTTCGCCTAAGCGCACAGCTCCGCTGGCGGCGAAGTGAGTCGCCAGATCGCATTGTCAGCTCCGTGGGTCTCGCTTCTCCGCAGTACACCGATGGTTGCGGAGAAGCGCACTCAAGAGGGCTAACCCGCCGCGATCAACAATTCTAAAAATGTATGAATATCGCAGTTCATTTTGAAGAGAATATCAAATAGCATATTATTGGAAACTACTATTCGAATATTCGCGGAACCCTACTCTCCACACTATAGTACTTAAGTATCCCCCTCCCACCCCCCCCCCCCCCCCCCCCCCTTTCCCGAAAAAAAAAAACTATTTTTTTTTTTTTACTTTTTAATGGCAATGCCAAGAAATGTGCCAGACATTTTCAGTTTTCTTTTTAAGAACAACTCTCTTTTGGCGTAGACGCTGCGCATATTGTGCACAAATAGAGCCTTTGGAGCAGCAGGTAGCAGGTTGTTCGTTCTGGCGCAGTTTGGTGCAAATGGCGCAGCCGTTTGCACCACTGAAATGGTTGTTTTTACCGAGGGCAGTGTGTGCTTTTTTTGCGTTCAATAAACATTCTCGGTTATTAAAAGCAATGTGAAACGATTTTTAGCCTGGTAACCGGTTGACTGTTCTATCTTCTTTTTTTTTTTTTACGTTAACGGTTCCACGTTTTATTTTTGTTGTAACGAAATTGGTGTATGAAAAATCGATCGTTTCTGGTAGTTTGCCGTTCGATGCCAGCGCCACTGATCGTACGGACGGCTTGTACGCACGCAGGTTCCGGTGGTGGCTGAGTGCCGCTGCGGCGTCGACCCGAGCCCGGGCTGGTCCGGGCCGCCGGTGCGAGGCGCCCATGGAGAGGTCCTGGGGCGGGCGGCCCTTCCGGGCGCGCCCTGAGGCCCGAGTGCAGGCGACTCCGAGAACGGCCTCGGACCTCTGCGGCGGTCGGCGTCGCGCGGGCCCCGAGCCCCGACGCCTGATCGGCGGGCGCGACGACTGCGACGCGCTGCCGTGCCCATGGCCGCCCTGCAGGGGGCGTCGGGCGCCAACGGGTCGGCCGCCGGGGTCACGGGGGCCACGCTGCTTCGGGCGGGCCTCTACGTCCGCCACGTCAGGCACCGGAGACTCATCGCCAGGACGCTGCAGGTCAGCCTCCTCCAAACCCTGTCGAGAAAGAGAGAAACAAAATCGCGTATCATTTGTTCGACGAACATATCGGAACGTGTACGATAGGTGGCGCGCACCTTTGAAAAGGGTTTACTGTACCACCTAAAAGAGACAAGGCCCGCGCATGACGTCATCATTAGTGGATCTCCGACCCGCCCCAAGCAGGCTGAAGCTCGACGAGACACGCGGCAGACGCGTCCGCCTCGACGTCACCGCCTGCTAGCGTTCGCGCTCGTTGTGAGAACACGATTTAGGGGAATCGTTTTTGCACGTTCGATACCGTACGATGATACGGTCCGATACCGTACGACGAAAACCGGTCTACGGAAACTCCCTATTAGGGGAGTATTCGCAGACCGTTTTCCTAGCTCCGCTACACGCTCTTCGGAACGAAGGACTCCACTACGGCGCATGCGCGGCGCTAGCCTTGCATGCAGAGTCGCGGATCTGGTAGCGGAGAACGTTGCGGGGACGGCGCGAACCAGCTACGAAAACTTAAGACGCTGCGAGACGCGCAGGCGGCGATGTGGACGCATCCGTTCCAAGTGCTATTCCTGTCGGCTTTGGTCGCTTTGGCGCGTTTGTTTGCACGCGCCGACCGTTGCTTTTCTATCTGGGCTTTGCCGCCTGTGCGCTCGATAGCTCCGCCGCAGGCAGTGCGCGCGATGAGGCAACCCCGGGCAGGGAGACTGCCTGGCGGCCCTCGGTTAATTATGCCGCTCTCGCGATCCCCATTGTCTTTGGGCAAACAGGCGGGGGACGGCTTCTTTGCTCGCTCTTCCAGTTGGCGTCCCGACACTTCCTTTTTAGTTGGTGGAAGACGACAGTTCGCGCTCGGTCTGCTGCCGCTCTTCATTGCGAGCAGTCCCGTATTGAAAGAAGGGATAAGCAATTACGGGTGCACTGGCTTGGGGGAGAAATAAAGGCGATTACTTAATTGCCAGTCGCACACAGTTGCTTAAGTTAAACTTAAATCGTGACTTTAATTTCCTGTCTTATTGTCGTGTATAGTCGGCGCTGCGATCCGATGGTAGACAATCAAATATCGTCACGGTGCTCCTTGTCTTTCTGGTTTTGTTCTCTTCAACTAAACCAATCATACACAAAAAAATGGCGGCGCATTTATTGTGCGATGATAGCATTTATTGTGCGATGATTGCAAACCCACAAATTCCATAGAATGCGAATATCTCGTTTTTGCGAGGTAGGCAGAATAAGTGGAAATTTGCGAGACAGCTAGCGCGAACGCAATATTGCAACTTCATTATACGCTGTACTCGAACATGGTGTTAAAAGGAGCATCATATTTTACCTCTGGAATCCCCGAACGAGCACTTCGCCTGAAACCGGTGGAAACACGGATTTAGCTATGGCACTGCCTGCGCATATTAATGTTTCGATGTCTGGATTCGGCGAGAAATAAAGTCAGAATGGCCACCGAAAGTACGGTCTATTAGAGTAGGGGTGCCGCGAACCTCCCGAAGTTCGAGTTCGAAAGGTTGCGAATGTTCGAACTTCGGTAAAGTTCGACTTTTAAAAAGTTCGCAACTTTAGAACCCCGCTGAGGTTTGAATTCGAGAATACCGAATTATTATAGATAGTTCGAAAAATTCAAACTTTTTCGATTTTATTTAAGATTCAAGTTCCAAAAATCTAATATTTCGAAGTACTAGTTCGAAAAGGTCGAAAGTTTCGGTTTTAAGTTTCAAATCTGAATTTCACGGATGAAAATCAAATTCCGCAGCTGCGAACTAAATTTTCATGAATCTATCTAGAAAATGTCACGAAATCTGCTACAAATTTAACTGAAAACGCTGCCCATTTCTCTTACACTGTGAATGCACTCCTTCTTTCTCAGTGCTATGATACTGACTGTACTATATCACTCGTTATTTGTCGTAACCTATGAACAAGCGTTGACCTGATCGACAGGTGAACGTACTTCCTATCTATATGCAAACTAGTAGCAATGCGATCAAACGTCGCCTAAATGCAATGCTGGCATAAGACAACGAAATATGCAAGACAACGGATTCACGTAAAAGCATCCAAGTTTCCCGAAAACTTCTAGTTGATCTTGGCGTTTATTTTCGCCGGAATGACCCGTAAAATGCAGGGAAAAAAAAAAAAAAAAAACATGCACAGAATTTGACACAATTCAAGGTTAAGGAGAATGCAACCAGACTAAGTTATGGGACCCCCCGCCTCGTTGAAATGCAACCAAGGCTATGAAGGACGCTCCCAGCGAAGCGCCTCAGTTGAATTTCAAGCCTGCAGATCAGGAATTTGTTGACGTACAGGTTACCTCGGGGTAACCTACGGAGTTGTGCGCTGGAGAGGCTCTGTGCGCAAGTCGCAAGAAAAAGGTGTGAGGTACGAGGCCACCCCAAAGGCGATCATTCAGAGCTTTACAAGCGCGTTGTTTGTGGCACGACCGGCTACCGGTACGACTCTGAGTGCAATTTCAACTCCTCGCATTGACATCTTGCGTGATTTATATTTGTTGCCTGAAAACCATGGGGGGTTAACTTGGTTCGACCTTTTTCGCACTTTTGTTCGAAGTTCGAAGGTCGTGGAACTTTTGAACTCAATAGGTTCGAAAGTTCGAAAATCATCGAATTTCGTTGCGTAATAAGTTGGAAAATGTCGAATTTCATTGCGCGAAAAATCGGAAGTTCGAAAACAAGCGAATTTCTGAGCGCCAAAAATGATAAAATTCGAAATCGTCGAATTTTTTATGTAATTGGTTCGACGTTTCGAAACTTTGTGAACCTTTCGAACCCCTTGGTTCGATCTTCGAATCTCAGGTTAGCAAGAAGTTCGCGGCATCTCTAGTTGCTAGTAGTTTGACCACACTTTAACGTGATCGAGCTATTAATGCGATTAGTAATAAAGCATGACTAAATTATTAATTATAAGGAAAGCGAATGCCGCGATTGCTCGTACTGCGTGCCGTGCAAGTTCGATTGCGAAAAGCTGCATCTTGGCGAACACGTGGATTGCGTCCGTTGTTGACTTGGCCGGAGGCTGAGCCAAGTTCAGCGACGATTTGTAAGCGGCTGACGTCCCTACGGAGTCTCCAGTCACTTGTTTTTCTTCCGAATTAGTGTTTTGCACTCGCCCGCCGGCCTTTCTTAGTACCCTCCCGCATATCGCTTGAAAACGGTAGACAGCTGTAGGGGGGCATTATAGCGTAAAATTGGCGCGTTGCTCGCAACACTCTGTGGGGTTTTCTGGCTCCCCGCTAAACACAGAACGCCCGCGTGGCGTTGCGCGCTTTCGACGCTGCTTTACTAGCCTGATCGGGTCACTGTATTAGCTGCGTTCTGAGTCAACAAAATAAAATATCAATTGTGTAAAAAAAAAAAAAAAAAACTTTTTTTTATGAAATTACGCGTCGTTGAACGCTTAGTTTCTGCCCAAGTGTAGCGGTTGGGATTATATGTCAAAGTTTCATATCAAAACTTATCGTTACCTTATAAAAAATGTTTTTTTTTTCTGAAATTTTTAACGAGAATAGTGCACAGGACGTCACTTCCGTTGCCCTCCAAAGAAGAGGGGAAGAAGGAGCTCCCTTCTTATCAGGATCCTCCTTTGTGCCTCCCGGATTTGTGCAGGCGTCGCTATTCTGCCCCCAGAAGATTAGAGAAGATTAACCCGTCACTCAAAATTCTTACAAAAGCAGCTTCCCTCTCCTCCTCATACTTGGTGTTCAAAAGTGTGCCATGTGACGTCAGTGCAAGAAGCCTATACTTTAATGGCGTCTGCTACCGGAAACGGGATGCATTCTCCCGTCGAAAGTTTCCAAAAAATCGCTTATAAAACTTCTGGTCGGGTAACACTCAAAAATGGTTTAATGAAACGACGTCAGCCGAAATCCGAGTGTACCGAGCCGTGGAAACTTGCTCACTCCGTGTTCTGCTAGTTTCAAGAGCTCATTTTGAAACTTGCTCAGTCCGTGTTCTGCTAGTTTCAAAAGCTAATTTTGATAATCATGTCACGCTCTCTTTGAGCCATATCCAAAATATTTTCTGGGAAAGGGGGGGGGGGGGGGGGGGAGGGAGGGCAAATTTATCTTGCCCTTTTTTTTTTTGTTCGTTTAATCAATTAAATGCATTCCGCTTATCGTATGATAGCGGCAGCTGTTTCCATTCTCTCCACTCTTATCAGCTGGGAAGCTGATAAGAGGGAAATAGAAAAGCCGTCGGCGGCCAAAAAAACAAGCAAAAAAAAAAAAAACACTTTGGGGGCGAGCTTTCCTTTATTTTTCTTTTGTTGTCACGACCACATTTTTCTCCTCGGGTCTTATCTTTGCCTAGGTGTTGAAATAGGTGGGGCTCGTCTTTTTCTCTCACGTTTTTTTCTTTATTACCTCCGAGTAATCTTTCCCACCAGTGCGTAGTGGGCCGGGTTGCGTCACACAGCTGTTAAAATTCTGGAGGAGGGCTTAAACAAAAAGGATTAGATCTGATCCACCTATAATGAAAAAATAGTAGAACGATATTTTTGGTCAAAAATCATTACACAGAGGGACTTTTTTTGTTTGTATTTTAACACATTTTTTATTAGATCTTTGAGAGCCATAATAAATCAAAAGCTCGTACAGTATAAAATCGACAATGATAATCATCTTTAAATACAAATTAAATACAAAACCTGCTGGAAGAAGCTGGAAAGGGGAAGGCTGGGTATAAAAATATGAAGCTATAGACATTGTTTCCAAGTCCAGATGCAGCCGAAGCTACAAGCGCGGGAATGTGGCCCAGAGCGCACACCTAAAGCCCCTCGATGTGTTTGCGGCTTTACGCACACCAGCTCGGAGCACGTGGAGCAAAAGCACGCACTGGAGAACCCAGGGATCCTGGGTTCAATCCCCACCCCTGCCCGTTTCGATCTGGATGAGCATCGTACCGGCGTGCGGTCGTGTATCACTACTGCGTGGAGCACTTTAAAGACCCCAGGCTAGCGGTTGTATTGCACTGGCTGAATTTCTCATCTACAAATCAGAGACAAGTCGCCCATTGAGGCAGACTAAGTTCAGGCTGTATAAACATACCAGGACCCAATTTTATGAAATCCCACAGAAAGGTGACCCCAACAATAGAAGTTTCGTCGATCGCCACCAACCTCATTCAACGTGGTCGTATACTCCCTCAGGAAGGACCACTGAACCTGCAGAGCCGGTGGGTCGTCTGCAAGCAAAACAAAACCAGTTGTGAAACTGTACGGGCTTTTGTAATCGCTTTATGGTACCGAGTCGATAGAAAAAGTCTTCATGATATTGAGAATTAAGTAACAATGCTTACAAAAATTTTTTTAGTCAATTTTTAATTTTATTTTGAGCCTCTATGCATTTGTCCATAACAACAACCCTAGCAACGGTTTGTTTGGAGCGGAGCGCCATGTTGTGACGTCATCACTTACGGGGTCAGTGGTTGTAGTCAGCTTGTTGAAGCCCGTCTGCTGATGGCCGTATCTCGCAGTATGTGCTGCTGGCGATCCTGTCGGTGACGGTGGTCATCAACGTGATGTTCATCATGGACACAAGCCGCAAGCTGCAGCAGGACGAGTCCCCCTCGCAGGAGGGCCGGCGGGGTGCGCTGCAGGAAAGCATGCCCAAGGCGCTCACCCTCGAGGTGGTCTCCAGCCAGTCCAAGGTGTCGGTCACCGTCGACGGAACCACGGTGAGTGTCCTCGCAGTCGCCCCGCCTCGCCTGGCCAGAGATCAAAGCTTATTTGAGATGTCCAACAAACGAGTCACGGGCCTCAGCTTTTCAATGAAGAGCGATCAGTTAGTTGATCAAGAAGCGCATAATCAACCATCTATGTGATTGATGCGCACGCGCTGAAGTGCTTACCCTGATACATTCTGCTACAAAATATTTTTTGATTCTTTGAGCTCAGTTTTTGGTCGGGCTTGAAGCGACACCCGCGACACTACGATCCTGTGTATCTCGCTTCGCCGCAGCGCAGCCAGGTGCATTACGGGAAAGCCCTCTTTCGGAGCGGGGTATCCAAAAAGGCTGGAATTTGGTGATTGTTGGACGCGAAAACTTTATCTTGCAGTAAAATCTCAAAATGCAACAGCAACTAATACGCGACAATACATGTTAGGCTGCAGTGTCTTGAAAAGCTGCTTGCATCAATAGCCATAATTTTTTTTTTTTTTTTTAAGTTCAACATTGAAAGAAGAATGTTTTGGTATTTTAAAAGAATTTCTACCTCCTCTTCCCCCTCAGTACAGTTGGGCTGCACTGTAGGCTTATAAGTTCATCGTAAAACTATGTCCACGTGCAAAGTGCGCACACTGCCGCATGCAGGTCTGTTTTGTGCCAGTAAATCACTTATCACTTAATGTGTAAAATGAAAACATATTTTTAGCTAAATTAAGAATTTCACTTCAACTCGTTCCTGACCTTGGGAAAAGTAGCCATTTTCAAAGGAAGTATTAATTAAAAAACACACTACCTACTACAAAAACCCGAAGACTGAATCCGCAAAAGTGTGTGTGTTTTTTAAAGCAATGCGTGATGCATAGGACTTTATATTACATCCAGTGTATGACTGTTTGTCTGTCTTGACAACGATGTCAGAGTTTTTCATAAGCTAAAAAGAAAAAATCAGACCTTCCGGAAAGACTATTATGTTCAAATAACATATTTTTGTGATTGTGGTATCTATTGGGGGAGCCTACATTGCCATAGTTTGTATTAATAATAATACAATTAAGATATTTTAATACATACTTTTCAAGTTCTAATAGAATTTGTTGCTTATGATATAATTTCAAATGTGCAAACAAGTATGGCAATTAAAAGTGTGCAAATTATCATCACTGGTACTGATTGCAGCATTTTTAATGCTGCAACCGGCAACACAAGAATGTGTTTCCGTTCTTCGATCGGTATGACTCAGAAAAAAGCTCAATCAACGTGCTGTAAGTATTGCAATGCACAATCAGGTGAGTTTGTTCTCCCCAAAATAAGGGCACCACAGTATGTTCAAGGCTTCAGCCCAGGAGGCCCATTATGCCTGGTGCGATGTTTTGAGGAGCGAAGAGATTTAACAATCTCCGAAATGTTTCATAAAAAAAGAAATGTTTGCAATCTTTTTCTGGGTGATTGAGAAGTTAAAAGATTAATTTAGGAAGGTTTATGACCATACATGTTTTTTCTTATCTCCTTCCAGATCCTGGACGACTCCGAAGACAACAAGGGCCGTGGCATCCATGTACTAGTTCTGAATCAAGCAACGGTAATACTTTCTCATACTATGTAAAGGCATTAGTTCTACCTGTTCTTCATAACCATTGTCTTAGCTCTTCTTAACCATATTTCGGTGAAGCCTGCTTTACTAGAACTGAAAGGACTGAGGGCACCATTGATTCTGCTTCCAGGGCAGCGTGATGGCTCAGCGCATGTTTGACACATACTCTCCACACGAGGACGAAGCCATGGCCCTCTTCCTCAACATGGTTTCCGACGGCCGCGTCCTCATCTTTGCCATTAAGGTTTGTGAAACTTCAATGGCAAATCTACCCAAAAGATAGCGAGAAGAATACAGTCGCTTCATATTTTAGCAAGACGCGCTCAAAGCAGTCTTGTTTTCAGTGTATTCTTCTAAACGGAGTTCCGAATGGCGGACGGGTCGTTCTCTGCAGGACGAGGGCACTTTCCAAATGAAGCAGCCTGCCAGGGACCTGCTCAAGCGGCTGGGCAGCAAGAAGTCGCACAAGATCGGCTGGCGCGACATGTGGGCCATGGCAGCCCAGAAAGGGGGTGTGTCCCTCCCCCTCTTTTTCATAAGCTGGCCAATTCGATATAAAGGGTGTTCCCAAAAAAGTTTACTGCTTGTTTTTCACCTTAAAAATAAAATATACATAGTTGAACACTCAATCTCTCCCCAAACGGTCTGGGCCAGGTAGCAAGTTTTCAGAGCTTGCCGCTCTCCGATTTATTTATTCATTTATTTTTTATAAAACATTTTATAAAAGGTTGTAAACGATTTTGGGAAATTTTCAACAGGAAAATGGTGGCTAATGAAGGCCAAGAATGTATGAAGATTAATGGCTTCAGTTACTGGAAACCCAGTCAAAGATTCAGAAAGTTGATTAGAACTTGTGAATAAGATAACGGACAGTTTGGAAACTTTGGCATGTTTTCCAGACTGCTAGCACTACATTTAGATGGAGACCGAGCGTTCGGCAAAGCATCATTTATTTTTGCAGTGGAAAAAAACACTTTGAATTCTGGGGGGAACACGCTGTAAATGTTTTTTATGTCACTGTAAGGTGTTTTGCAGTATCTTTTCAGACTGTGTTGTCACATTGTAACACTGTTTCACAAGGATTTATAAGACATGCTTTCACAAAGTATGCCATGCAGGACTTGTTGCTTAGAATACTTTGTCTCTCAGGATGTCGTTGTATATAGTAGTTAGTACACCCACCTTGAATTGCCCTTGTCACCTTGCAGGGAAGATGTTTGGGGAGACGTACAGCAAGAGCCCGGAGTTCAACAGCTGGGGTGCTCCTGTGTTGCTCAAGGTCGAGGTGCCTCTAGTCCCTGTGGAAGGTGAGTCTTTCCCAAGATTGTGCCAGGTGGATGGCAACGCTTGCCAATGCATGTTGCATATCTTTCTCGGAGTAATAAAACGAAACTCTGGATACTCGAGAGAGAGAAGGAACTACGCGCACATCCCATACATTTGGATAGAGAACTACCGATTTCAATCGAGTTCAGCTTAAAAAGTGGTGAGCATCTTCGGTTGCAGCTGAAACCTTGCGGTGAAGAATGATGTACGGAGTGTTTGGTGCTGTGTCGTAAACCATAGTGGAAGAAAAAATTCGCGCAGCTAAAAACCGCAACAGATCTGGCACTTGAGGTGTCGACTCTAGTCTTAGCCGAGGTGTCTGTAATGTGACAAAGATTTGTTGCATGGTAGGTTCTGTGTAACTACCTAAGGTTACGGTTTTAGATACAAGACTGCCAGGCAATTTGAACTAAACTGTGGCCCTTTCTCCTGACGCCTTTCGCTGTTTTGGCACAGGAACCCTCTAAATTTTGTTTCAGCATTCAAAGTGCTGGGATTTCCCCTGCTACGTCAAACCCGATTATATCGAACCCGGTTAATTAGAACTATCCCTGGTATCGAACTATTTCTGAACGGACTAGTAGCTGCAATTAAAATGCGTAGAAAAAAAATCCGGTTATATCGAAGGAAAATTGCAGCGTATCCCGATAGATTGAACTGCCAAGATTGCCGTTTTGCTCTGCAAGCTGGCTTTCCCCCAACAAGGGGTCGTGGTGGGGGAAAGCCAGCTTGCAGTGCAGGCTGGCTTTTTTTTTCTTCTGGGCGGCCGCGTTGACCGCAACGGAAGAAAAAAAAAAAGTCTCTTTTGCCAAGGGAGCGGGGAGAGGGTGAGCGAGTGATCCGGTGAGACCTTAAAAAACAAAGCAGCAGCCACTGAATAGCCGCGTGGCACGTCGCTCATGACGTACAGATGCTCCTTTGAGAGTAAACAGCTTGTCTAAATGTGGTGTGCTTGTTTGTTGTCCAATTCATTACAACTTTAATATCAAATTACCCACTATATCGAACTGGTAGACGGTTTTTTGCGAGTTCAATATGAACGGGTTGGACACAAAGCTCTCTGGAACTCAATATTTATACTCTCATTGTATTAGGATAGTGTGAACTGTGTATATGTTTATAGTACTCGTTTGATTTTGGCATTGTACTTCTCGTATGGTTCCCTCTCTTATCTAATATTCTTCAGCTAAACAAATGCAAGGAACATCAATGTTCTTCTTTCTGCCTGGGTGACAGACAGTGAATGTGACTGGGCTGACACGGAGGAGAACCAGCGACGTCGCGCCTTCTGCAACCACATCGAGGGCTACGGTAGCGTCTGCAGCTGCGCAGACCCTGCGCCACTCACTTTTGCTCCGGAGCCCGTGAGTGCTCTCTCGTCACTGATTGGCTGCTACTGCTGCCTGGCAAGTGCAGCCTAAACCTGACATTGCTATTCTGCTCACGCAAGTTATCGCCAGCATTGCGTACATTCATCTTGACTACATAGTCCTGTAGTCGATCTGGATTACTAAACAATACAATTCAACTTGCAACAACTGCAGTTTGTGCTAGTACTTACTGATTAACTAGCACATGCATCCTCATTGAACTTACTACTATGTCCATAGGCCTTCTTTTAAATGTTAGTGCGGTTTTCAAGTCCTGGATTGTAGATCTGCGTTCTTTTCTGGACGGCATCGTAAGAAAGTGGAAAAAGTGCTTTTCTATGTTACAGATCAGCCTCATTTTCTCTTCTTTCTACTGCCAGAAAAACTGGCTATCACTTAATCAATTGACTTGCTGATCGGTCTGTGAATCAGTGAAACTGGTCCGAGAACTTTACGGTGCTTTGTTTTGTCCTAAACTGAGCTATCAAAGCCTTCTACGAAAATGTGGTTGAGGTGTAAGTGCGGCTTTGGTTGTGCAGGTGCCGAACAACAGGGTGAAAGATGTTCCTGTAGCCATCGTGGCTAGCAACAGACCCCACTACCTGTACAGGTCAGTAATGTCTCAGCTTAATTACTTTGCCATCTTAAACTCGTTATACAGAAGTAACAACTTGGTTTTCTTGTGTTGCAGGATGTTACGCTCTCTACTCTCCGCTCACGGAGTGAACCCGAGGATGATTACAGTATTTATTGACGGTTACTTCGAGGTGGGTTTTGCAACGCCTCTCTGTGACATGTTGCTTGCCTGCATTATCAAATGGCTTGCTTCATTTGTTCCTACAGGAACCTCTAGAAGTAACCAAGTTGTTCAACATTAGGGGGATTCAGGTGAGTTTCAGCCTTGACTGAATAGTTTTGCCACAGAACAGCTTGTGTTAAAAAAGGTGGTACAGTGTAATCCACTTATAACGATACCAGATATAACGATATATCGCTTATAGCGATCAAATTTTTTAGATTTGATCGCTATTTTTTTAGATTTGATTTGATCCAGATATAACGATAATCGGCTATAACGATTGGATTTTGCGGTTTTCTCAATATCGTTATAAGTGGACTGCACTGTAGTATATTAAGAAGAGCAAGTTAATCATAGTGTTGTAAGTGGGTGATATGATGTGAGATCGCGAGTTACGTCTGACAATAATGATTTATTCTGCAAGGCAATTTAGGGGTAGATATTTCGTGAATAAAGACTACAAGTAGGGCTAGTGTTTTGCAATTCATATTGAGGTTATAATCCAAAAAACCCAGATTTGTCCCCGTGTTTCCTTAAGTATAGTTGCGATTATCATGAGAAAATTCATGTCCCCATTACGATTTTATGCACACGACATTTAACAGTCCTCTGGGCGAGTCGGTTGACAGGAACTACCCAACTCGAGCGTTGTTTTCCACGCTTGCAGCACACACCCATTGGCCTGAAGAATGCTCGCATCTCCCAACACTACAAGGCTAGTCTCACTGCAACCTTCAACCTCTTTCCCGTGAGTGTGCTTCAGATGGAACGGAGTGCTCTGTGGCCGGCTTGTCACTGAGGGCGCCTTCCTTGCACGTCGGCTTTGCAGGATGCCCAGTATGCCATTGTGATCGAAGAGGACCTGGACGTGTCCCCAGACTTCTTTAGGTCTGTCTGTTTTTATCGTAGCGGCTCTTTTGGTTCTCTTTTATTTTCAGTTCCGTGGCAGGGCACGAATGCTCGATGGGGTGGGGGCCCCTTAACCTACACGTGCCTTCTCTTTCCGCAGTTACTTTAGTCAGACGCTGAGGCTGCTGGAAGAGGATGATTCCATCTACTGCATCTCGGCATGGAATGACCAGGTGTGGCATCTATTGCGGATAAGCTTTAATGATGATATGCCATAGTATATGCACAAATCTACTTAGGCAGAAAAAAGAGGGCTACGCTAGTTTAAAAAAGCAATCACAAAAGAGCATTGGGATTCAGCAGCCTCTTTGCTGAATTATTGCTGAAGACTGAAATTGCTCACAGTGACCACTTTGATTTAGTTTTGTATATCTGATTACGTGGGACCCAAGATGAGCCTGTGCTCGGTCTCTTGCTTGGGGTGTGTGGGTGGGGAGAGAGATTAAATGCTTCTCTCTTGAAACTTTGTACATAACTAGATTCTGGTAGTAACGTGGTTCAAGACTCGGTTCACCATGGCACACCGTTTCATATTTGACCTCGGGTGTTTGCAGACAAAAGAGTCTGTTTATCGATTGACCGGTTCCTCCAACCCGATTTATGGCAGTTTGTTGCACATACACGCATAGCAAATGTCCGCAGTTTTGCTCTCGACTTCGCAATGCGTAGCCACGCTTTGGTAAACAGACGCACGCGTCATCTGCCTCTGCCCTCAGGGCTACGAGCACACAAGCGAGGACCCCTCGCAGCTTTACCGGGTGGAGACCATGCCGGGCCTGGGCTGGATCCTGAAGAGGAGCCTCTACAAGGACGAGCTCGAACCACGCTGGCCCACCCCGGAGAAGGTGACTCTTGCGCGCTATGTAGTGGAAGCAGTGTTCAGCAAGATACTTGACAAAGGTATTTAAGATAACCTACTAAATACTCGTGTAATAAAATATTTAGAATACCTACTATACTCACATTACTTTCCCTGCAAAATATTTTTAGTGAAGTACAAATACTTAGAAACGTAATTCAATTACTTTCGAAGATACTTCTGTATTGCATAATTTGCATCGACTTCACTCGATCTTTTGTTGGCATTTTGAGTGCATCTACTTGCCTTGTTTTCTCGTCACTGTTCTGTCGTTTCCGCTTTAAGCTTGCAATCGGTTCAACTTTGTGCCGGGGTGTGCCGATTACTATAATTGAAATACAATTATTTGAGTAGAGCATTTGACGTAAGCACAAGTCTGGGTGAAAGTGATGACCAGGTCTGGCAACCTTGGCAGGACCTGCCCGGGATGATCCAAAGCCCACTCTCGCGCTAGTGATAAAAGGGGTGCAGATTATGTTCCTTTGACTCTCATATGGCCAAGACGGCCGAGTTAATAAACTACCCTGCAGATGCGTAATAGAAATCGATAGCCACTTTCTCCAATATGGCGCTGGGAGTCCGTGTACCGTCAAACAAATTGCTGGTCCGCGGATGCCACGGTTGACAGGTTCGAAACCCCGGTTGAGGTGCTTCTGATCCCCCAGGTGGCCTGAATTAATCATCGGTTTTTAGTGGGGCGTGCCTTTTGTTAGTTTCAAATTTAGAGTGAAAGATGTAAAAGGCAATGAAACGTGAGGAAAAGAAGAAATGAGAATCGTGTCCCAAAATTTGGGTTGGGCGAATGTGCACGCTTTGGACAAAGGGTATAGGCAGCTCTCTGGGTGGGCAAGTGATCCTGTGAGCCTGGTACGCAGAATTATGGTTTGAGAACGCATTTCTTGTGGCAAGTTCTAGCTACCTAAATAAAGAAATATGGGGAACTGACAATTCGGGTTAGTTTTGTCATGCTCTCTGCGGTTGCATGACAGGGTATTGACAAGAGTTAAGAGTTTACTGCTTAAGCGCTGGTGCCCCAATGGAGCACTTTCTATCTTGCTATGGCAGTTTTGAGGCAGCCTTTAAATTCCCCAAAAAAGGAAGTACCGGCAATCTCTGGTTTGTCCCGTGCTGCTCTCAGCACCGCGACAAATCAGCAAGACATGCTATGGGCCGTGTCGTTTGCATGCTCCTTCTTTAGGCAGTTGTGAATAATCCACCCCACCAGGCAACAAACATAAAAAGCTGGGTTATAAGGGCTGCATTAATAAATTGATTCCTCTCTAAATAAAATATCCAAAATCAAAATTATTTTTTCTTTGCCAATGCAGCTCTGGGACTGGGACATGTGGATGCGCCTGCCGGATGTGCGCAAGGGCCGGGAGTGCATCGTTCCGGACGTCTCGCGGACGTACCACTTTGGGTCGTCTGGACTCAACATGAACTCCTACTTCCAGGACGTCTACTTCAAGAAGCACGCCTTCAACACTCAGCCCCACGTGCAGATGAAGGAGATAGACAGGTCGGTGGCTCCGGGCCTTCTTCTCACAGAGACTAGCATGCTGGGAGGTTGATGGCAAGGTGCCCCAGTAATTGCGAGGTTTAGACGTTGAAATGTGTCTTAAAGAATGGGAGATGGCTACTGAAACAGCAGAAGAGAGGGCTGGTCAAATGCTTCTGCAGAGAGAACTAGAGGCATATAAGAGCAGAACAGTGTGAAAGTACAGAGAAACTGAAATGGTAAAGACATTGTCTGCTCAAAACTGACTTAAAAATTATTACTGGTGCCAAATAAGTTTTGCATACCAATTAAACCATTCGCCTAAACCCCCCCCCCCCCCCCCCAAAAAAAAAATAAAAAATAAAAACAACTAAAAAATCTTAGCTTTGTAGGATGGAGTGTCAGATCCTCTTAGATTTCAAGCGACTGTCTTAGAGCGCTCTGTCCCCCGTCTCTCTGGAACAGCGTCAAGAAGGACAACTACGAGCAGGTTGTGCATGACCTCCTCAGGCGAGCGATAGTTCTCGACCACAGCAAGAGTCCCTGCGAAGAGAACTTCATCCCAGACACCAAGGTGGGCATCGCCCAAATTAAATTTTACGGATTAAAATCGAGGTTTGCTCTCTTTCCAGGGGGAAGTATACGTCATGTTCTTCAAGATGAACGGTTTGCGGGACTTTTCCACGTGGCTGCAAATCGCCAAGGTACGGACAAAAAAAAAATTACCAACTAGGTTTACAATTAGCGGTGCATGCTTTGCGTACAGCATTATTAAACCTTCTCTCTGCCATTTACTTTCATTCCAGTGTTTCAAGATATGGGACCTTGACCCCAGGGGATACCACAAGGTATGGTGCTTTCATGACTTCGACAGATCTGGTTGCAACAGACATTTGGTTATAACATATCGATTTGTGAAGTTTGGTTGGTCTTTACATCCACGCCATTGGGCCAACTTCGCTTATTACAGATTCTGTTAAAACATACATTCGGATTCAATGGTCTATATTGGGGTTTGTATTTAGCGGACTCTTCGACAGCAGTTGTTTTTTTGGGCAGTAGAAGGCTCTGGTTCGGTAGCTGTGGCATCCATTTTGCGAAAAGCTCTCGTTGTCCTCAGCGCCTCACGAGCCTCGTACGACCGAAAGCACACAATGACAATGTTCATCGGTACAGCTTGACAAAAAAAAATTGCTACCTGTCAAAATTGAGAAATTTCGGTAATCCAGTTCTTTTCTAATATCCATTCACATTTCGCCAGTCTGATTGGTTAGAAGACTCCAGTCAAAATCCACATCAAAGTCAGTACTACTAGAGTATCTGCGTTCTAGACACTCCTTTCACAAGAGACCAAAACCTTCATCAATGTCAAGGTCTGCTATGACGAGTTTATAGTGTGGTTCCAAAAAAAATAAATGCCAATAAACTCCGTATTATTCATACACTTGACTGAAGGACGGCAAAAGAATTTTCCGATTTCGCGCTAGTTTCTCAAACGTCCCATCTTGTCTCGCAGAGCATGTGGCGCCTTTTCATGAAGGGCAACCAGCTGCTCGTGGTGGGAGTGCCAAACTCAACCTACTCGTAAGTCTCCCCAACGCGTCCGCCGTCCCGTTCCCCGAAGACCGTCTCACACCCGTCTCTTTGCAACGCAGGTCTTTCAAGCCTGCCAAAGTGACGCCCATTTACCTCGAAGGACAGAAGATAGATAAGGACCGAATTCGGTAGCAATGCCGCCACACCTATTTCCTCGTTCGTGTCATCATTCAAAGCGCTCCGCCGCGCTCGAACGCTTCGAGCTTTGCTTCGAGACCCACCGGGTGACATTCATGCGTGTGTGTGTAGGTGTGCTTGCTGTCAACGTGTGCGTGTGCGTATCAGTGTTCCATGTCAAGAGAAAAAAAAAAAAGATAAAACGACCCTTCTGGAACTTTCGGAATGGGACGGTTCAACAAACCACGCCTTGCGTCGGAGTGTCGAGGCGGTTCGAGCGAACCCATGAGACGACGTGGTCGTAAGTGAGCGTCGTGTCGCCATTGCCGAAAATGGTGGGAGCAACCTGTCGTGACCTGCGCCTGTGCGTGGACAACGCTGGCGTCGTGTGAACTTCGGACCGTCGCGTTCTGCCTTCTTCATGCTCTCGAGGCATGGCGGCGGGACCCAAGAAGTCACCAGGAACTACTCTGTATCATAACTTGTAAATTTTAGACTCTCTAGGAGCTTGTCCTTGTGCCTAGGCCCCACGCCCCCTTGAGGTGGAGATGGGGTTAGTTTCCTCGATGTGACACCGTGCAGCGCACTGTTCATTTCAAAGTCGAGTGCCGTACTTAAAAGGATGCAGTGCGGAACGAAACTAAAGACATAACTCGCTTTCATAGCAGACCCAGTTTTTTTTTTTTTTTTTTTTTTTTGATTTTTGGCAAAAAGATTTTTACACCAAAACACAGAATGCGTTGATTGGAATGGAATGAGCTTGTGAAAATCAGCATTGCGAAAACGGCGAGTGCTGGATTTCAGAGAAAACAAAGACTTTGTTACAGACAAATGCTTGTCTTGTCTTGAATGTCATTCTGGAACCCACTCTTAACTGCTTTTGAGCTAGATTAGAAATTGCGGGCAAGGCTGTTTTTCTAGATGCAAGGTTTTGACGTCGCAGTATTTTCAGTTTGTTCTTTGGGTATTACAACTTCCAACAGTGTATAAGTGAGAAAACATTTAACGCAGAATTTTTATGCAAAAAGTGCACCTGTACATCGGTGTTCTGCTTTTCCCACGGACTTTGAACCATGCCTTAATATCAAAGAACCTCAATAATTCTAGTTTCCATAGTGAGGTACACAAATTTCATGAAATTTTGAAGTTAGTGTATCTCTACTAAACAGTTGATGCTCTTTTGACGATTAGGTGGATGGAGAAAAAACACTATAGTGCAGACGAGTCCATCAACATGCTTCTGGTGAACGTTGTGCCATCTCATTCAATATTTTATTCTTTTTTTTTTTTTTTTAATCAGGCTTTTTATCTTTTTTAGTACCACTCAGTAAATGATTCTTATATTCGAAATTCCTGATAGCAGTTCGAACTTCCATTGAAGCTGACAACACAGCAGTGCGGTGGCAAATTCAAATTGAGGTGCCATTCTGGGGTCAGTATATGCTTTGCACTATATTCGCATCGCCAATGGCCATACATTAGGTAAATGCTTTGGTAGAAAGCGTCTACATTATGGAATTTCACAAACAAGGTAAGTCAGAACAGCAAGTAATTTTACACAGACAGTTTTAACAAACTGCAAGTTTATGGCATTCATTTCGCGGTGGATAAAATAGAACTCCTTCGAGGATGACGGCACACTTTATTTACACTACTAAAATATCTTTTGGGCTGTCTCCTTAGTGCCTAATTCATGAGAGAACCAAATGTGGAATCAATCCGAGTTTGCACATGTCGAGCCTGAGACATAGGCCAGTCAAATCGCAGCTCGCACACTCAAAAGTGCAAGAGAAAACATTTGCATTTGAGCATATACCTAATCTAGATTTAGAGAGGAAAGAAAAAGATGGTCATGGAGTATTTTATTTGATGCGGGAATGAGGCCAACTAGGGTCCGTGGGCCACAATTTTAGATTGGAGAATTTTTGTACACCTAAGTATCTGGAACCTGCTCTCTGCAAGAAACAAGAAGAGGAGTGAAATACTGAAGTCCAACGAATTTTAGAAGGTGAACTCACCAGGACTAGCAGAAGGCTAGCTCACTCTCTGGAACAGATCCCAGGTCCAGCTGCATTGCAAGACGTATGAGAGGTTAACCTCTGCTACAGTTGCTCACAAGATGTGAATGCCATCTTTCTGAAGCCCCGTGTCCAGCCCTTCCGTTGTACTTTAGCTGCACATGCAGGCTCAAAGCTCTTGAGATGCCCAAGTGTTATCGAAGGTAGGAAGCCTTCACTGGAGGCAGGACAACTCGAGGACCTCTTTGCCGGTCTACTCCTGTGACTATAGTAATTATGCAAAATGCTACGATGAATGCAATATTATTTTATAGGTGATTGATCTCAAAAACCAATAGCACTAACTGTTTTTGAAATACTTAACTAGGCCATCAGCTTGTCTCATTATTCATTGAACCTAGAGATTATCAAATACGATTCTACTATAATTAGTGTCTTGGATTGCCTCTAAAATTTCCACATTTCGCCCAATTCTAAGACTAATTTTTTACGAGGTTGTCGCAACTGGGAGAAATGAAATTTTCATTCATAAAAATTAGACTCTCGAAAACTTATTTTCATTCGGAATACTGATTTTGACTAAAAACATTTTGCAGAACACCGATAGAATTGGCTTAGCTGTGGACACCTAAGTTTCCCTAGGGTGCCTCAACGTTGTTTTTAGGGTGGTGCCACTCTTTGTGGTACCAGATGCAAAAAGCATGCACTCGTGGGGCAAACACAAAGAAACGCCTGGAAACGAAATGCCACTGTAGCATCAGCTCGAGCAGGAATACTTTTGTTGCACAATCTAGAGAAAAAAAAAAAAAAAGTCTTGACGCTATCTAAAGACACGTGCATACATACTCATTAGGGCACCCCAAGTTTGCCAGGTCACTAAGCCATAGATAGGGCTCCATTTTTTTTGGAGTATATTTTTCGTGAAATTCGGAATTTCGAGCAAAAATTCTGTTTTTATCGGTGTTTATTTTTCGTAAATCTCGAATTCTCCGAAAGTCGGAGATTAATTTCGCAGCGTTTCCTATTAAAAAATATTAAATAATAACTGGATGCAAACGTATGCCAGATAAAAAATAAAACGCACTTGTATCAATTAACATTTCTTCAGTTGAATTTGGCCTCGGTGTCTTTAGCAATACTAATTTGTCCCACGACAAAAGTGGCACACAAGTGTGGCTTTGATAAACGTCGATACCTTAAAATCAATAAACTGCCGGAGGTAGCTGCAAGGAAGCTCGTAGTCATCCCATCAATCTATCCCGCGGCTGCACGAGGTGGAGTGGTTAAGGATGTAATAGAAAAGTCTCAACTGCCCCTCTTCCCTATTTTATACAATCTCTATTATCCACTGCTTTCGCTGTTACCCCCAGAAACATACCGTCTCCTTTCTCTAAATCCCAAATCTCATGGCCCAAACTGGAGACCAAAAGAGTGGCTTTTGTCGTGACAGAAAGGGTTCGATGACCTGTTTCCCTGAACCAACCTTGACGAGACAAGCCGTAAGACCCCCCTTTTGACAACAGTCCGAAGCTTGAAAGATAATTATGGTGTGATTTTCCCAGGACCATTAATTCTGCACTGCCCAAATTGTTAAAAAAAAAAAGAAAAAAAAAAAAAACTTTTGTTATTTGGGGAAGGGGGGGGGGGGGGGGGGGGGCTGGGGCTGGGGCTGGGGCGGGCATGGGCACATAACAATTCGGAGTTTATCGGATAAATCCGAATTGACAGAAATTTTACCGGCAGGTGTTTTTCGAAGTTTTTTGGATTTATCCGAAAACACGGAGCCCTAGCCATAGATAACCTGATAGAAGAAAATGCTATTTTCAAGAAACATTTTCAAAATAGGATACATTCATAAGTCCAAATAGACCTGTGAATGAATACGCATATACAGCACTACTACGCGGACACTCGCCTGCTGAAGCTTCCGGCAGACGTCGGAGCCCTTGCCGCGGTCTTCCTCGGCGTGGACGATCCTCGACCCGAACTGCATGGCCCTCTTGGGCCGAGAGGCCGCCTCTTCCAGGCCCAGTTGGAAGGCCAGCAGCCGCAGGAGCAGCTTATCTCCTACGCCTCTTGGGAGGTCGGGGTTCACCTGAGCACCGACACAGTATGAATAAAGCTTTGCCCTGTCACGCCTTTGCGCGGCCCACTGTTGCACGCAATGTATTCAAGTCTGTTCCTCAGAAGTGTAATGTGGTTCTAAAAAATGTGCCCCTTTTCTTAAGCTAACGCGGCAAAGTCTGTGGTCGAAGTTCTCCCCAGAAATTTTTAAGATGTGGACATCTGAGAATTTCCAGGGTATTAGGGGGAGGAGGAGGGGGCGATTGCTGCCACTTTTGGCATTATCGGAACTTTTTCTGCCGCGCAACGGTGATTTTGTTTGCAGGGATTAAGCAGTTCTGTTGCATAGTGCTTCACAGGTCTGCCAAACACAACAATCTGGGGTATCGCGCATTTTAAAAATCGGCATCGTCTTGTCCAGTGCAGGCAAAATATAGAGCTGAGCTGATCATAGTAGAGATGGGCAGTCGGTCAGATCGGTCGGCGGCAAAACCACTGGTGCCCAGGGCCGTACCCAGAAAAAAATTTCGGGGGGGGTTTTCGGGGACAACGGCGGCCATTTTGAAAGTGTCTATTGTCTTATTTTCGCCTATGAATCATGTGTATCGGTGGCATATAATGGAGAGTTACAGCAAACTGGAGATCCGGTCCCGGTTTGGTACCCGGTAGCCGACCGGCGCCACTGCGCGTGCGCAGAGGTGGAGATTAAAATCGGCTGGCTGCCAGTGCACTGACCAGGGCCGTACACAGAAAAAAATTTCGGGGGGGGTCAGAACCCCCTATCCCCCCCCCTGGTTACGGCCCTGCTGGTGCCATATGTGGGGAGAGCCCTGGCAGTGGTAAAACACTGAATGGATTGTGTGTCGCTGCACGCACCTTGTGCCTCGACAGAGCAGACATCGTTGTGTGTAGCGTTTCGGAGAGAGAGCCCCACCAAAGCTAGGGCTCCAGTGGGATTGGAATGCAAAGTTTGCGTCTCTTCCGGTTGCACACCCCAGCTTTGACCCTGCTATTTTGCATCTCCCCGTTTCCTACAAGATTTGTGATTGTCATCTTCACCCTCGCCTCCTGCGCACCCTCCTGTCGTACGTGCCTTGTGTTCTTGTGATGACATCTGCACCAACTGCGCCGTTGGTGCAGCTGGTTCAGCGTCGGACTCGCACCGCGAGAGGTCCTGGTTTGAAACTGAGCGATTCCATGCTTTTTTATACAGGTGAATTTTCTTGCAATGCTTCCGCATTACTGGAATCTTGATTACAAAAAACCGCTAAAAGCTACTCATATAATACATTTTGTGTTACTAAAACAGTGTATTCATTCCTTAAAGGGACACTCAATAAGCTGCCTATTCTTTGGGACACTATTAGTCATGTTCTAAAGTCAGCAATTTTTTCAAACACTGCCACACTTTGAAACACTGGTGGTCTTCCGAGTTCCTGTGCAAGGGTCTTACTTTCATCCAAATAGGAATCTGGTTGAGGTAGTTGACGACATTCTTGTCTAGAAAAGGGAAGCGAGGCTCCCTCCCGTGGTCGGACACAATCCTGCAGGAGAGAAACGTTTATGGTGTCAGTTTTTCTGGTCCCCCCCATAGGGCAAAGATTGAATGAGGTCTTGCAATCAAGCTAAAATATTCTCAAGTGGATATTACCTAAGGTGATTTTTTAAAGTTTATATTTATGGCTTTGGCACATAATTAAAAGTATCCCACAAAAAACTCCCATATTTTAATCCAAACAAACACGTCCTTGTCTCCCAATTAAACAGAAGCAACCAATTGCATTGGTGGCATTACAAAATGGAAACGTGCATGACTTAGTTTTTTTATTTTAATATTTTGTGAAGGAACATTTTGCAACTTCATTGATGAAAACTTTGAATTTTTTAGTGCCTCTTTGACTCCACGGTTGAGAGGACACTGTTAATAACCATATACTATGGGAGTACTTATAACGAACGGTCGCTGCACAGAACATTCCGTATCGACGACAAATATGTGGGGTGCCAGTTCACGTCTGCATCAACATTCCTATGAATTCAGCGTGCAGCAGCGGTGCAGTTAGTAGGAACGGAAATCGGCAGGGTGTCCGAGCCCACGAGCATAGCTCACCGATCGTCCCGTCCCATGTTGCGCGTTGCTATCCTGTCGAGTTCCATGGAGATCTCGTCTACGAGGCCTTGCCAGCCAAAATTTCTACGAAGAAAAAGAAAATTAGCTTGCTCCACCTAATTTCCTTGTCGCTCCACAACAAAAGCCAAACTCACTTGTACTTGACCACGTGCCTGGAGTAACCACCCAGCTGTTCGTCCGCTCCCATGCCCAGAAGGACCACCTGAAACAAGCGTGCAGGGTTGAAGGGGTACTGCAACGAAATTTTAGCGCCTACTTTATTGTCTGAATTTCAACCACATTGTGGCCACACAACAGGGATGCAAATATTTTCCTCGAAAAGACACCAAAACGTTAATTCAAACGAATAAATCAAACGTCGTTACGTCGTACTACTACCCTTAAAAGCAGTGCCTCTCCGCGGAAGTACGGTGGCAAGCTGTGTGCACACGAGCCCTGTCCTAACTTGGCCGAACGGGATTTCGCCTCTTTCCCGCACCTATCCAACTCCTGCGGGGAACGGGCATCTTGAACAGCCAGGTCGTAATGCGTTGATGCCCCCAAGCGGCAAAGACCACAACCACGCCAGCTTCCCTGTAGCTTTGCCCGTGAAGGAAAGCTTGATATCACAAACAACGCGCTGAGGGCGCCGGACCTCCCGAGACGCATTGCGCTCTTCGATGGTGGCTCTTTGAACACTCGCTGAAATTGGCCATTTGGAACAAAAATATAGCCATGGTCGAAATACAAACGGACGATAGTCATTAGCAGATTTTGCTGATCATGTTTAACTCATTTATGAATGCGAGAGGTATATTTCAATTTTCATTTCAGTAGTCCTTTAGAGTGCCATTGTTTTCTCGACCAGCAAGAGCCGTAATTTACCAAAAAAGATGTAATTAGGGTGTGCACTTATATTGTTACATTTTAACCACATGAGATCAAGTAGGTCAAGGCTTGTGGATGGTCAGGTGTTATACATTAATTGGAAACTAAAAAAGAAAATTTTGTAGCATTGCAGCATTTACAAATCAACAAAACCAATGCTCGGAGGACTAATCACCTTGACCTTCCTCAGTGGCCCTAGCTTGGAGAAAATAAATGCGACGGCAGTTTACAGTGCTCACACTTCAACGAGAAAAACAACATTTTACAGCAGAGCTGTTAACAGTAGTGATGGGCCGAACTTTTGCCGAATCGAAAGTTTGGTGCCCAATCTTGGGATTCGGCAGAGCCGAACTTTTGCCAAACTTTTCTAAAGATTCGGCAAAAATACATTGTTACCAGACTCATTGATATTTCTTTTTTTTTTCTGGCGAAAAAAAGGATTTATGTTTATTTTTTCTTAACTTAAATGCAACATGATTACTAAATAAGGTGATATTCTACAAGATAATTGTATCGGTATCCTTTTTGTACGTTTACTGGTAATTTTAGTGACTCCTCGCAGAAGTGGCGTGACAACGAGGTTGGGTAGAAAGAACCTATACCTCGTAGGGTAGAAGCGAGCGTTGCGCAGCCACGAATCTGCACGAATCACGCTACGAGAATTTCGGTTTTAAGTCATCATCACCGCAAGCCCGCATGTGTGTGTACATTGCTAAAATGAAGGCAATGCGGAGGGCAAGTTCGTCTGCTTCTTGCGCAGGGGGTAGCTGCGACGTCAGAACGCCGAGCCCTGATTGGCTGATCGCGACCCCCTATCTGGGCGTCGTCTGCTCCTTTGCAACGTCGTCTGCTCGCAACGTCGTCTGCGTCTGTCTTACCTTTCCTGCGACTTTCGGAAGTGCAGAGGTCAGATTCACGAAACGATCTTACGCCACAAAATGTGTGTAAGACAAAAGTTAAGAACAAATTCGTATTCACGAAATGAAATTTTCTTAAGTTTTGCGCAGGTTACGACGAAATCCTACGACAGCTCCGAAGCTGTCTTACGCACTTCTTACAATCAAATCAGCATGGCCGACAGCGTCGTGGTCGCGACGACCCACGGACGTTTATTTTTCTTCGTGCGCTTCCCACGTGTCCCGACTTCAAGCAGCAAGTAAAAAGTAAAAAGTACTTGAAACGGACCACAACAAACAAGAACGCTGGATCCACAAACACACGGAAAAAGCTCCAACGGCTTCGGTTCCACCGAACGCGACCAAGCGAGCTTCGCAGTTAGGCCTAGCAGGCACTCCGCGACTCGGCAATCGTCTGTTCACGACCGGCTGGCGTGCTGAATGGAATATGCCCGCGCGACCCTTGTGAACGCTTCCCGTATTATACTTTGATCGTTGAACTCAATTTTACATTAAGAGGTCAATTTCTTTCTCTTGTTATCTCCTTGTTTTTCGAGGCAACGGTGATTCTAGGCGGTGAAAAAGCAGTGAATACCCGACAGACACAGAAAAGGTAAAGCAGCCTTAGCTTTGACTAAAGCAGACGACGTTAACTGTGCCAACCCGCCAACGGCAATAAAGAATAAGGGGTCTCGCCGCACACGAGAGGAGGGAAAAAGTATTTGGGAGGCAACTTGCGGACACCAACACGCTCACTCTCGGTTCTTAGCAAACAAACCTCGACGCCTCGGGACACCTCGCCAGTGAGTCCTTTGATTTCCCTCCTTGATGCGAGCCTGCTAGTTAGACAGAAACAACGTACCGCTCGAGTTATTTCGTCTGCCCTCTCTGAAAGGCGAAGTCGAACTCGCTCGTAATGACCCGCACTTCCGAAAGTCGCAGGAAAGGTAAGACAGACACAGACGATGTTGCGAGCAGACGACTTTGCAAAGGAGCAGACGACGCTCAGATAGGGGGTCGCGATCAGCCAATCGGGGCTCGGAGTTCTGACGTCGCCGCTACTTCCTTTCTCATGCGCAGAAGACGAAAATGAACCCACTTGCGAGGCGCATAACGCTGCGTTCTTGCTTTCCCTGGGAGTCACCGTTTTGTGCGCGAAAACGAATGAAACGGTTGCTGAGCCTTCACCAGAAGAGAGAATTATAATATTGTAAATATGCATGTTCTTCGATTTGAGTCACTTGACATCAGCTTCCCATGAAAGTGTGCATCTCATATTCGCAACGTCTCGTTTTTAACCTTTAAAATGCCTGCTTCTGGCGTTGGGACACACACAAACGTTTCGGAAGATAGGGAGAGTAAATGTCGGGATGTGGCAACGTCGAGCATTATAGTTCTGTTTAGTTTTATACAGGTAAAAGAAAATCGCGAAATAACACTAATTGAAAAAGCAATATTATTTTGTTATGGAACACACTAATCCTGAGGAGAAAACAGAAATGTTATAATTGCGAGGAGTGCTTTTTAAGGTAATTGTCGGCCAATGTCTCAATGTTTCAGAATGCACGGCATCATTTGTCACTTGTGCAGTGGACTGCGTAAATTATTGGTCGATCTTCTATTCTTGAGGCAGAACATATTGAAGAGAACCCCACTCGCTCACAAACGCACAGTTACCGTGTTGCCTACCCCACACTGCGCCGTAACCGTTGGTTGTACTACACTGCACGATGGTAACCGCACGACTGCACGGCGTCCATTTGCAATCCAAGGCTCCGTCGCGTTCTCGCGCGTGCGCAGACATTTGCCGAATTTTTGCCGAATCTTTGCCGAACTTTCCTGCAAAAGTTCGGCATTTGCCGAACCCGATTCTGAAGTTCGGCAGATTCGGTCCATCACTAGTTAACAGCAAGGCTCCCCAGGATCGTGTCCGTTACCAAAATCTTGTCGACATAAACCTCCACAAACCTCTGGACAACTACCGCCATCTATAAGCGACGGCGGCAAGCACACAACCAGTCTGGTTGCCGCCATCGCTCGTAAATGGCGGCAAACTTTCCAGCTATCATAGAAGAATGGATAGTTGGGCGCGTTGGTGGGAATTTATCGTAGGAAACAGTGCGAAAAACAGACAAGGACAAAGAAGAAACACACGCAACGAGCGCAGCACTCATCATGTGTGTTTCTTCTTCGTCCTCGTCTGTTTTTCGCGCTGTTTCCTATGCTCTTATCAGTTTCAGTTTAGACTCAGGATGGGCCGTGCACAGGCCGTTTCGGGGAAAGAAGACTGGGTGTGGAAAGAACGGCGACGTACGCAGCAGCGCGAATGGGTCCGCAACCGATGTGAAGTCGCTGTCGCCTCGACCACCGCTGCGTCCATCGCTTCAGACCCCCTTGCAAAAGAAGAGCACATTGCCCGCCTAAAAAGCCGCCGCCGAGAACAAACCAGCGATGTAAACGGCGCCGGCGGGCCACGGAGGTCAAGCGCAAGTGTGAGGCCTGGCGACGACAGCACTCCACGCCGGCTAACAGTTGCTGGGTGCGACGGCTAGGTTCCGGAGGGAGCTCGTGGAGAACCCGTTTGGCGTCACGTGTGCCGTGTGCGACCGACTCTGGTTCGCCAGAGACGTATCCACAATTGGCGGCGTGTCGGACAAGAAAAATCGGGAAACGGGCGCGTGCGCGTTGCGGCACTGTATCGAGGCGGCGGATGTCTACAAAGAACTGGCATGCAGAATGTGCCGAGATTCCTTGCTCAAAGGCGCAGCGCCCCGGTTCACGACCGTGAACGGCTACAAGTACAACACAAACCGGGGCCCCCTACCGAACGTTTACGGGGAATTGTTAGATTAGAGTTGACTGGTTTTGATTCTCCCCACCACCGAGCCAGTTCATACTGATGATGCCACCCGGATAGGTGGTGAAACGTCTGTGTTGTTGTTATATTTTTTGTTGTTGTGTTAAGCCAGTGTAAACTTATTTCATTACCGTAAAATACCGGGCAAGCACCCACTCAAAATTTTGAGATAATCACCAAAAAATGGGGGATGAACGCTTGTCCGATCATCACTTTTACATATAAATGTACTGTGCACATTTTTTCGTATCTTAGAAATTTAGATATGGGCACTTAATGTGGAATGGGCGGATGCACGGTATTCTACGGTAAGTACCCACCCATACCGGAGCACCTACCAAGGTTGAACGTCGTGGAGGAACGACTAGTGGCGCCTCGACTCCCGTTCATGAGCCTTCGGCTGTTGGCGTGGTATAACAAAGACAACCGGAGGGAATACGGTTGTCACATAAACCCAATCACACCTTAATCCTTACATTTATAAAAACTTAATTCCCACCATAGTACAGCTTTGCTGGTTTTCCTTCTTCGCAAGAGTGGAAAGGCTGAAAGCTTTTTCTCCTCAGCCAGGCTATTCTGCACACTGCAATGTTAGGAGCGTACCACTTAGGAGCATCTTGGAGAAAAACAGCAACGTGCTCGGCAGAGTAATTATAATTCACGCATCCTGATAAATTGCTGGCACAGTAAACTGAACCACCCCGTATCTCTACTTTTCCAATTGTTTCTCGAGTGAACCGGTGGAGAGAGTGCTGATCGAGCCGTGCCTTTGTAATCACTGCTGTCTATCGTAAGAAGAAGGGGAAATAGGATGAGAAGTGGCACACCCTCGCTGGAGATTCGTAGGCGACGTCCGGCGCATTCTCATGAGCAACTGTTCCCCTTCCACGGGCTGCAAACCACAGAGCACAGCCCAGGCTGTCGTCGAGCACGCTATCCAGGGGATGAATGAGCTTGCGTATGTGCCTGGTGCTGCGGCGGAGAAAAAGAATGTCAAACGCATGCTAAAAAAAAGACAAGAAAGAAAACCCTAAAAAATAACCCTCTAGCTTTCCTCAGTTGAATTTCTTTGAAATGACCAGTATAAAAGTAGTAAAGTCTCCATATCGCTTATTTTTTAAAGACCTTCCTCTGTACTTAATAATATTTTTGCATAGCCAAATATAAGAAAGCTGAGATATTGAATCTGGTTCTAATTCCTGCAAAGAAAAAGAACCATGCAGAAATGTGCTGGTTTACACACCATGCAAAAGCTGCAGCTTTGTCAAATAGTGCAGCTGTCCCTATTACATTTTCAATTTGAGCCTCATTTAGTTGCAATATTTCAATGATGAGTAGGCCTAAAAAGTTTTGAGTAGATCACTAGTCTAGCTTGGGCAGTTTAGTTTAATTATCTGCTCATTAAAGCCATATCTGACTGGGAACTAAATGGGTTTGGAAGAAATACAACCATAAACCTGGATTACTCTCTCTGGTGTTGACTCTGTTATCTGTGACTTACCAGCCATAGCAACAACTCACCGTTCAGATTGAAGTTCTTGCTTGTCAACGTTGACCTGACAGAGACACCGCAGAATTAGAACAAACTAAGAATCTGACAAGGTTGCGCTCCAGTGGCAGAAGCCATTATGTTATAACGCAGTTATAAAATGGGTTGCAAACATTAAGTGCATGCCCGGTAACATTCAAACTATTTCTTCAGTCACAGCAAAGACCCAATCAAAAATTCCAACAGCTCATTGAAATATACTGTATTTGCACTACTCACTGTCCTCCTTCCATAGACTGCAATGACTGACTAATATGCATTACTCTTTATGAGACTCCCGCGTCAATTGTGAGGCATTACTGCCGGGACGAAACAATAATGTGGAAGAAAAGACCGTTTTTGTGGCACAAATGGTTCGGTCGGAAAATGTGTTGCACCCTTCAATGGCCCCAACAGAATGAATTCTTCCAGGGTTATGTTCAGGTTTCAGTAAATAAGGAATGGTTGCAGCCTTCCATTTTAGTCAGTCGCTCTCCGTTTATAATTGACAGTACAAATACACTTTGGCTACAACTAAACAAAATTATGCCAATTGAATTAACAGTTGGGCTTAGCCACAACTATTGAAGTACAGTAAAAATTGTAGTGCTACACCTTTCCCAATTTAATAACCTCATACCCCAAATGAACTTCTGCAGTGAAGTTTCAGAAAAATTAAGGAACTGCTATAGGGCCCCTATTCACGACCTCCTATCGCAGTGGAAGTGTCGTTTTAATGCATAAATATTATTTAGAAAAAAGACAAAAAAGACTGAGGTATCACTGCAATTTGTCTTTCAGTACAAGTTGACCCCTCGAAAAATTTGCAGGGTTTTTATTTTCACAGCAAAAATAAATTACACATCGTCAAACGCTCGTTCTCCGCCCAAATGTAGTGCTAGGGGGGATGAGCGATGAGTGATGAGCGAAGATTGTCGAATCACGGCTGCCGGAACGGCGTCTATCACCGTTGCAATCAGACAGGAGTGCGTCACGTTGAAGCGAGCAAACGAGCAAGGCAGCAGATAAGAAATTGTTGCAGAAACCTCTCTTGTTGGTTGTCTATGAATTGCGATAGCATTCGTCTAAAACGCCTTCCATTACGCTACACCACAAGGAAATTGTCTATCTTCGAGGAGCTGCACCTATGGCGGACGAATGAAAGACGAGGAAGATGCTTCGTTATGAGAGTAGAACAAGAGGAAGAAGCTCCTCAATTAAATTAAATGTAATGTAGATAAAGAAAAAGGAAGTGAAACTCAATATAGATAAAGAAAAAGATTATATTAATTAACGGTTGCTACTCTAGCGGTGTGTATGCCTTCTCCATGTCTCTCCAATCCTTCCTTTATGTTCAGCTGGCACTATATATAGTAATGAACCAACTAGCTCAGCTTCAAGCCGTCACCTCAAAGACGACCTCCAAGATCATGCCCTAGAGGACAACGTCAAAGACGACGTCTAGGACGGACGACCACTAGGACGACCTCAAGGATGTCAAAATCGACATCTAGGACGACTTCAAGGTCGTCAGGTCCTTCAAAGAGGGTGCAATGTGAAGGAGTGTGAGAATGTGAACTGAAATGGTCCACTGCGCATAAAGAGGTCGGTGTTATCTGTGTCATGGCACCTCCGTGACCAAGTTTTCGTGACATCGATCTACCAACTTTGCCCCCCTTCCAAGCGCTGAGAAAGACATAGTTCTCTGTCAAAGCACTGACCATCACAATATAGTTTATCCCAACCATTTGTCTGTCTCCACATTGGAATTGCAGTTAAACAACACGCACCTCGACTAGGTTCCACCTACGCTGGGGAAAGGCCCTCCTGAGCTCGTCGAGCCCCAGCCTGGCACTCAGGCGGTCCGGGGCTTCGTACGAAGTGGCCCAGCTCTTGGTCTTGCTGCGGCTGTCAATCATGTGCACCTGGTGCTGGAAGGCCACGTTGAGCAAGTCGATCGGGCAACTCTGGGGCAGCAGCCTGGCACAGTCGAAATTTGAACAAAGGCTAGACACAACCAAGGATACACGATAAGCGAGAAAGGTATATAAGCATTGAAGTTTCGTGGACCCCTTATGGATCGCCAAATATGATGGAGGACCCCGTTCATAGTGAGGGAAAGGGAAAGGTACAGGTTAATTATGATAATGATTTAATAAATAGATATAGCTAAGGGCTAGTGTGAAGTAGACTTCTCTCATTGACATACACACGAGCAGAAATTCACCCGAATATTGGAACTTTTCTTCTCAATTCGAAGAAAGTCAACCTTTATTGCCGAGCTTGACTGATGAGGTAGGGCTTTGCAGACCCCCACTTGAGAACCACTGCACTAAATGAACAAACTGAACCCAAAAACTGAAATTCAAATACCAACAGTACAGCACTGGGGCTGAGTAGACTACCTCTGAGAAAAAATAAGTAAAAGAGATCGACAGAAAGATGCGGGAGGAAAGAAGGCAGAGAAAATAAGCTTTTAACTAGGGTATGTATAGGGGACAAAAACAGAAAATAATAGAGGAACATTGGTAAAATAATTCACGGGGCAGCTCGTTGTTATTTGAGGCTAGAACAGGAATACTATTGAGGACTATAGACATGCATACAGGAAAAAGTATAAGGAAATGAATATGCGGTGTGCCGTGTGCCAAGGGGATGACGAGACAATAGAATGTGTGGTGTTGAGGTACACAGGGCTTGCTTCTGACCTCCCAGAGAAGGCGACAGATTTAGCAGGAGCGCTGTGGTTCACAGAAGAGAATGTAAGAATGGATGATAAGTGCATTTTAATAACAAAGAGAAGATCGAAAGACTGGTGGAAATTATCTAGGGAGAATTGAATGATGTACGACTAACTAACCTAGCTGGGGACGGGCGGGACAGAGGAAAATTGGGACTTCCTCCCGCGTGGCTCCGGCCCAAAGTCTCAACCCTGTCTCCCAGCAGGCCTTGTGCTGGAGTAATGCGGACTAGGTTTGATTGGCGACCTTCTCGCCGAAGGCGGGGAGTGATGTTTCTAGTTTTTTCGCCCAATCCCTCAAAGATCAATCTGGTGATACCCCACACCGCCTGTAGATAGTTACAAAATTGCACAGCGGAAGCAAATTGGCTTAGAAGGGCAAGGGGACCTTCGGTTTCTAATAGACCGATCTCACCAAGCGTTCGGCGCATGCGTGACACCACCATAACCTTAGTTCACAGAAGACAAATGGCAGTGTACGCGAGGGCTCATGCTGTCTTGTGCTGTACACGCACAGAGCTCCAGCGAGTTTGTCGCACGTGCATAAAGACTACAGTTCCCTCAATGCATTGCGGCAGCGGTGGCGTAGTCAAACTGGCTGGTGAGATCAGTCTATTTCTAGGCTAGGTAGCACAGGCTGCCGCCCCTTATAAAGGGTACACCCGTTAGCATCCATTTATCCATCCACAGACGGCTCGACTGAGCAGACGTTCAGGCAAGCGTGTCTGCTCTGCACCACAAAAGCTCCCGTAAATTATGCAGCCTTACGATTTACCAGAGCTTTCATTTTGTGCAGCATTGAAGGAGGCATTGCCCTCGTCGTCCCATAATGCTGCCATGCTGGAATATTGCATTTCTGAAAGTTGGGATGAAAACAGATGCCTTTCATCCTTGCCAGTTATGAGGATGGCTGCTATAGACACCCGCTTGTTTGTATAACTTCTTTTATGCTGGCAGCATTAAAGTTGATGATCAACTCAAGGCTAACAATGCAAAGATGTTATAAATCTCTTCTCAAAAGACCTTAAGGGGCACTAACACCCCAAAGGTCGTTTCTTTTTTTTTTTTTTTGTCTAGAACAATGCAAGTTGTAGTCATAAACACACAAAAAATACCACAAAGTGAAAAAAAAAATTCCCCACCTGCATGCGCGCCTTTTTATTTTTGGCGTTTTTCTCTCCCCCTTCTCACCTCCTTGCTTCTTTTTATTTGTGACGTAATCGATTATGAAATTTAGAAGCTTTGTAAGTGACGTTTCTATAATATTTAACAATGCCATTGGTAAAACACGTCTTTTTAATGATATTGCAGATGCACTACGGCCCTTGTTTTTGAAATACCGAAAATCTGAGTCCAAATTGATGTTGCCTTTTGGCTTTTTGTCCTCCATCAAAAAAACATGGCGGTGCCGCAGCACTCGGCCCATGTGGCACTGTGGATGATTGGCGAGACGGGGAATCAGACGAAGTTATCTTTTTTAGGTGCCCGACGACCTCTCAGATTTCGAAAAGCAAATCGCCAAACAGTCAAAACAACTGGGATTGGTGTCTGTATACCGTAGTTTCGGCCGTGGCTCTGCTGGGGCAGCCTTTCACGCAGAACCAACATGACGTGACCCTTCAGGTCACTCACAAAAGTCCACTGCGCGTTCTCTTCGATCTTGCACTGTTTAAAAAGATTTGAAATCGCTGAAAGGGCCCTAAAAGAACGTCAAACTCAAAAGTGAAGCGTCGTCTGCTCACAGCGATAGGCCTCACGTACGAAGCGGTTGACCGCGGGATGCGGGCAAACACGAGAGAAACACGAGAAACTCGAGTTGCAGGTCGACTCAAACTTTGACGTCACTGCACTGGTGCGGATTGTGCGGGAACTTCAAATTCGGCTTCCGGGAACTTTTTCTTTACTTCAGAAATACTGAGTTTCCAAGTTTCGAATTTTGTGGGTAATGTCCAGGCGTCGTTATCAACCGTTTCGGATAATAAAAAAAAAACTTAATTTTGGCCTGTCGGTGTTGAGCAACATAGGTATGCCAAGCTGCACAAAAACAGTATGTTTTAATAGCATTGCCATTTAGAAGAAGAAAAGGACAACACACATTTGTGCATTCATTTCAAAAGTTGAATGACACCAGCATTTCAACAGGAGCAACTGCCAAAAATTGAATTTTTGTTTTTTATACCTCTTAAAAACACTGACTCAAGATCCCGGATTTTCGGTCTTCAACAGCTTCAGCAATAGTGGCTCCACGATGTAGCAGTTCCTGGTTCCTGGATGACTGGCTCAGTTTGCTGTTGCAACTGTGTATTCTCACAGGACTAGAACAACTCGTGCATCGTAGATCTATCCACACTACTCTCGTTAAAACCCGGCCACCCAGATGCCGAGCACTGTAACACGTGCCAACGCACCCTAAAGTAAAAAGTCTCTTCACTTTGAGCGGCGGATAGCTTCGGGCACTGAGGGTACCTACCTAGCACAGAGTGCAGCGATGACCATGGAGTCCAGTCCCCCCGAGAAGAGGACGGCCAGGGTGGCGTGACCGCAGCCCTGAGAGCCGCCCGAGCCGTGCCGGTGCCTGAGGATGCACTCCCGGCACACCATCTGCCGGTTGGTCAGGCGGCACCGCACAGCCTCGCATAGCACCCTGTCCAGGCCTGCCACAGCGTCTGCAAACTCCCGCCGATCGTCCAGCACCTAAAATAGAACGACCAACCTAAAAATTCGAAGCACCGTCGCCCTTTCTCTAATAAATATGTACTGTCGTGGCTGGTTCGCACACTTGCGACTGCTTGGAACAGAGTGCCTTAAAACCTCATGTGCTTTCTTATGACGAGAGACACACTGGTACACTCTATCGGGTGGTTCCTATATATTTCCCATTTTTTTGCGGCATTCTTCTCTTTTTTGTTGGCTCGAGAAGCTTTTGACAGTGATAGAAACGACCCTTTCTCATAAAGGTATAGTACATTTGATGTTGCAAATAACAGTCTAAGCTCTTTATAACAGACCTTGATTTTGACCAAGATTTTGGTCTGTTGTAAAAGGAGCATGTTGTATGCAGATATGAAGTTGAGTCAATGGCGCATAATAGGAAAAGCAACTGAACTTCACAAATCAGTATGTTATATCTAGGGTTCCGCGTTTTCGGTTTTTATTTTTTCGAAATTCGGCATACTTTTTTCGGTGTTCATTTTAAAATTCAATTTTCGGGTTTTTTCAGCGTATATTTATTCCCAAAACAGTTTACCTTTTTTTTTCCGGTGAATATAAAAGAAGCACCATCGGACACCGAATCAGATGATCCTTGTAGCTGTGATATTTGTGATCCCTCAAAGAATGACGACACATATACATACATTGTCCTCCCTACAACTTCCGTCAGGACACACCTCAAAATCGCGGAATTCGCGGGCATAACTTCTTCAGCGCACTTATTTTTCCTTCCCAGTCTGACGACGTCACCGAATGAGGTGATGACCGTACAAAAACCAGCGGAATGTAAAAAAAAAAAAAAATCCATCGTGTTTATGTTTTTAACAACAGGGAAGTTTAAGAGAGCATGTTAAGAAAGGTAATGACGGCTTTCCTCGATGTCCTCTGAAGTGCCATGAAGCGAAAAACCTTATACTAGCCCACATCCGAACTGCTTTTTAGGACCGGGAACTTGACACACTAAGCCTGATCACAGAAAAAACACAGATGTCCCGCGAAGGTCAATCCAAGACCTCTTTTGTTGCATGTTGAACCTTGGGAGAGGGCAACCACGAAGACGTCATACAATGTCGAATCTCGCAAAGCTCTCTCCCTCTTCCCCTCCCCCACCCACCTCAACGCGGCCCTAAAAAACTGAATTTTTTCGGTTAAGACCAAATTCTAGAAAACGGATTAGACATACTTTTACCGGTTTTTATCGGTTTAAACCGAAAACGCCGAACCTACAAACTGACCTTTTTCGGTTAAAACCGAATTTCCGAAAATGGATTTGGCGTAGTTTTATCGATGTTTATCAGTTTAAACCGAAAACTCCAAACCCTAGTTATATCTAAATGTCTGTTGTAACAAGGTCTGTTACAATGAGCTTAGACTGTATCGCAAAACCTTTGATCCAGTAAAAGGCAGTTCCAGGGCCACCTCATAGAGGGTGCCAGTGTGTTCTCGTCGTAAGAACTCGGTTGTGAGCGAACGCAAGTGAGTGAAAAGGCGCTGTGTGGAGTTTGTCGTTCTTTAACTTTTCCGTTGCCTTTTTAGCACTTTTATCATACACAATACTGAATCAGCAACTAACCAAAGTACATATCATTTAACAGCCTTTAGCCCTTCCACTGCCTCACTTCACTAGCATACGGGCAAAAGCGTCGAAATAAGGCACCGTAAGGAGTTACGGCCTAAGCTCTGAAGTTTTTGAAAATCAGTAGCCACAAATATATTGCCCAAAGAGCCACAATCATCTGTCGTAGTGAATCCCAGCTTCTGCTTGGGGGACACTTTGAAGAGTTAGTTTATTCTGCGGCAGAGTTTTTTTTTTTTTTTTTTTTCTTTATTTGTTTGGCGGGTTTTTTCCGCCCAGGGGGCAGAGATAAAGGCGTGAAGCCTGACAAAGTCTCTGCCCCCCCAACAGTTCAACAGTAAACAGTACAATGAATATAATCAGCAAAAAGTATACTCAGTAGAAATTAAAAAAAAGCACAGTGGAACAGGTATTTTAACATTCAACATTGTGACTTGTAAAAAATAAAAAAAAACGGCACAATCAAACAACCAGTAAAAACATGTTACACAGCAAGCATGATTCGAGGCGTATAACACATGTAACGTCGTATGACACAGAAGCATCATATCACTAATATAAAAAAAAAAAAGAATAAAACGTTAGAAGAAGGTTACAGCCTAAAATAGGGCTGATGGCAGCAATTTAGTCTAGAAATGAATAATGATTGAATATATGCCAAGAGCCATATTTGTAGTCAAATATAAATACATAATAAAAATAACAGCTTAGCCTACATATCACACAAGTGAGAAGCTCATACCACTGCCCACGAGAAAGCTTCGGCACTGTTTTTTGAAGGCATAAAATGTTTTATTATAATCTATAGTCATGTCTGTTCTGTTTAGCATCTTAGTTATCTGATATGACAAAGCAGTGCGGCCATAATTGGTTCTTATTGAAGGCATCCTTCGTTTTGGGTCTCGTAGTTGGTACGGACCTAAACTCGATTTTGGTGTGGAGTATATTCTATGTTTGTGAATCCATTGTAAGAGTTTAAAATAGTATATTTGGTCTGCCTGAAGCATATTATATTTGATGAATATAGGTTGGGTTCTTATGTTTCTAATAGCTCCTTTATAATTTTCGCACATGCGAAGAATCCTCTTCTGCAAGGTGATAAGTTTGACATAGTTCGAATTGATCGTCGTCCCCCAAACTAAGATACCGTAACTGATTTTAGAGTAGACCAAAGAATAGTACAACGTCTGTTTTAGCCAAGTGGGCAGCAAGTTTCGTATTTTATATATACTTCCCGTAACACGAGATAATTCACCTTTGAGTTTATTCACATGAGTGTTCCATGAAAGGTCCTCGGTAAACCATACACCAAGAAATTTTTGTTCCGACACTTGCTCAAGCACAGTGTCTTCAAATTTTAAGCTTATGGGGCTGCAGTCGAGTTTATTTATTGGCTTAAAAATAATATACTTAGTTTTGATTGTATTTAGTTTTAAAGAATTTGTTTGTAACCAGTTGGATAGCTTCAATAGATAGACATTTGCAGCATTTTCTAGGCATTTTTTGTCACTCCAGAAAAGAATACGTTGGTATCGTCTGCATACATTATAAGGTCGGGGGAACCGGATATAGTCGTTATATTATTAACATATATAAGAAAAAGAAGTGGACCTAAAATTGACCCCTGAGGGACACCATGCTGTATTTTAAGTCGATTTGACGATTCGCCGTTTATTAGCACATATTGGTAACGATCCGCAAGATATGTTTCAATTAATTTTAGAACTACTCCGCGCACACCGTAAATTTCAAGCTTTCTAAGTAAAATATTGTGCTGCACAGTATCAAAAGCTTTACTTAAATCTAAGAAGAGACCAAGAGTAAATAATTTGTTCTCAATATTTTCTACTATTTTATCCTTTATGTTAAGAAGCGCTAGCTCCGCCGATTTTTGCTTTTGAAAGCCGTATTGGGACTTCGTTATTATATTATGCTTCTCAAAAAAACATGTTAATCTATCAGCAATGACACGCTCAAATACTTTAGAAAAAACTGGAAGAACTGAGATAGGTCTGTAGTTATTAATGTTTGTCCCACCCCCTCCTTTATACACTGGAGTGACCCTGGCTATTTTTAGCTCGTCAGGGAAATCACCGGTCTGAAGCATCTTATTTACTATATTCGATAGAACTGGACTAACTATGGTCACAGTGTACTTATAGGTAGGGTTTTTATTTCATCTACTCCAGCGGCGACGTCATTTTTTAGGTTTCTGATTATTTTATCAATTTCAAATGGTGTCGTTGGAGTAAGCATAATCGACCCAATTTGGTTTCCCGCGTCAATACAGTCATCTATGTTGGAAGCCCTCCCAGTGTACGCACCCATGCTAATAAAATGTCTATTCATTTCATCGCCAAGTTCTTTCCCACTGACACGTTTATTATCTATTAGTATTTCTTTCAGATTACATCGTGCCTGTTCCCTGTTCGTGAGTTTGTTTACTGTGTCCCACATTTTTCTATGGTCATTGTGTATGCGTAGAAGTTCTTTTTGATAGTATTCGCATTTTGCTTTTTTTAAGTCGGCATTAAGTTTGTTTCTGCATTTCTTGAACTCGATAAGCAGCCGCGGATCACGATGCTGAATGAAGGCATGATACTTGGCATTTTTTTGCCTTATTCTTCCATATAGGTCTCTAGTCATCCAAGGCTTTCTAAATTTTTTACATTTCACTCTACGTTCCTGAAGAGGGAAAGCTGCATTATAGTACTGTCTGACTTTCATCAGGAATATTCTATAGGCATTTCTAGGATTGCACTCAGCATAAACGTCATCCCACGTTTCCTCTTCCATAAGGCAGCTGAAAGTTCTTAGAGTTTCCTCATTAATGGTGCGATGCCAAAACGTCTCTATGTCTTTGTTATTTTTTCTAGCAGAGGAGGACTCTAGGCAAAAGATTGGAAGATGGTCACTAATATCACACATGATTGCACCTGCTGTAATATGACGAGTATCGGTATTTGTTATGCATACGTCAAGGTACGTGGCAGTGTCTGCAGTTATTCTAGTGGGCAATGTTATCAAATTGCTGCAAGCATACTGGTTGACAATATCACGAAAATTTTGAGCGTGAAGGTCATCTGAAATTGTGTCTATATTTATGTCGCCAAGAATAAAGAATGGCACAGATAGCGATCCCAGGAAAGACAGTGCATCATCAAGAAAGGTCATGAATTCATATATATTACCAGAAGGTGGCCTGTATAAAGCAAAAACAACAGTATTTGATAGTTTAACACACAAGCTTTCAATGTTTGCATCAATTTTGGACAAGTCATCTACAACCTCATGCTGTAGTTTATCTTTAATATAAATAGCAATACCCCCACCCCTTTTCTTATCTCTGCTCATGATTTCGCACTTATAACCGTCCATGATTGGCGCCATGTCCTCTTTTGTCAGCCAGGTTTCCGTAAGTGCTATTACATTAAAGTGCACATTCAACGAATGCAAGAATATTTCTAGGTTATCAACTTTATTCTTTATGCTTCTTACATTTAAATGAATTGCTGAAATTTGGCGTTTACCTTCTTTGTACTTTTTATTGAACGCATTGTAGTCATAATAATAACAATCGGGTAGGGCAGTTTCCATTATTGAAGTGTCGTGTGCACTCCAAAGTACTAGCTTATGGTTTAATTCACAATTTTCGCCACATCAAACATGCCAGCGATTCGGACTGCGTTGGCATGTTCATCCTTTCGCGCAAACACTTTTCCCCCAGATGACCACACAAATTTCCACCCAACAAGTTTCTTTTGGGCGATCGCAGCTCCCAGTAGCTTTTTATTTGCACCCGTTAAATGCTCATTCACATATATGGGGCTGGGGCTTCCGCCATAGTCAAGGTCTTTTGTTGTCAGTCTTTGTTTTTTGCTTTTCTGCAAGACCGCATCGCGTTTGGACCGTCGCACGAAGCGGACGATTATGTTTTTTTCTGTTGTTCTGAATGTGGGTACGCGATGGCACACATCAATCTCAGAACCTGAGATTGGTTCGTTCAGAAGCGTCCCTATTCTTTGAACTATGTCGTATGCATCACCTTCCTCTGGTACGCCCTTTATCTCGAGGTTGTTGGACCGCTGATACTGTTCTAGTTCTTCGATTTTAGCATTTAGCTTACGGTTTTCAGCGATCAATTCTTCATTTTTTGGGATACGTTCTGGACCTCTTTCCGAAGTTCCTTTATTTCGTTTTTAATCTCGGTGACTCCGTCGCAGGTGTCATTACAGTATTTGACACTCTCTTTTAGGGCTCGAAAGTCCGCTCTCATCTCTCGTCTTACCTCATCGATAGTTTTCCCAATGTCTTTTACTTCTTTAGTCATGTCAGCGACCCGACGTCACCGTACTTCACACACTCAAAACAGACAAAAAAGACAATCGGTGCTGTGTTCGGCAGCAGTGCAAAGATACGTTTTAGGCTTATATAAAAAATAAGTGCTTCTCACCTGCAGAGATACAGATGATTAGTACGCTGTTTCCTTGACGCGCACTGCTGCCGAACTGAAGACCAGGCTGGCGTGTTGGCTTCTTTTATAGATGATCTTGCCGTGAGTTGCGCTGTTGTCGCTGCGTCTCTTGGCCCGTGGCAGCGTGAGTGACTAATGATGATGTGGTGATCTTCGATGATTTGAATCCACGAGTAGTCGGCAAACTGCAGAGATACAGATGATTAGTACGCTGTTTCCTTGACGCGCACTGCTGCCGAACTGAAGACCAGGCTGGCGTGTTGGCTTCTTTTATAGATGATCTTGCCGTGAGTTGCGCTGTTGTCACTGCGTCTCTTGGCCCGTGGCAGCGTGAGTGACTAATGATGATGTGGTGATCTTCGATGATTTGAATCCACGAGTAGTCGGCAAACTGCAGAGATACAGATGATTAGTACGCTGTTTCCTTGACGCGCACTGCTGCCGAACTGAAGCTGATTCATGATTTCTGACCAGGGTTTGTCTCGCACAGCCAGATGGCACCGGTCACTCCAGCTCTTCAAGAAAGACATTCGTAAGGGCAGTAGTACTAGATTTCGAAGTAGGCTATGTCTGCATGAACTATGGGGGAATGAGGAAATTATGTACCGTCGTGTTTGGACATACTACCAATTGAAAGTTTCTTGTATAAGTGGTACCTCACGCATCACTAAGACACTGCCAACTGCAACTGCGGCAGTCGCCATTTCAAGAATAATAAGAAAACACCAAGCACCTTCTGGAAGAAAGTCCGTCCAACGGCGGGTAGCGGATGTAGCCTCTCGGCAAGCTCCCGGTTGAGGGGGTTTGGGATGCCCGCATCCAGGGGGCAGGCGAGCGATTCCCCCAGCGCAGTGGGCTGCCACACGCCGGGGTCGAAGAGCTCGCCCGACGGAAACCGGCTCCACGGGAAAAAGCGCACGGCGAGGTGCCGATGACGGCTGCTGTCTCGCAGGTCGAGGCAGTAGACACCGTTGGCCGGAAGTTCTGTCCACGTCTGCACAATTTTAACGCAGAATCCATTTATTGGCTGCAACCCCCGAGGAAATTGTGGCGGAATGCCACGGAAACCTTTATGAAACAGACTTTAGGGGAAAATCTACAAAAGATTGGTGAATTGAGGAGAAAGAACAAAATTTGAAACTCGCCCCAATGGGAATTGAAGCCGCAGCCCCACGATGGTGAGCTCGACGTTCTACCACAGTGGGAATTAGTGGGTAAATGTGAAGCTAGCTGGCTTTGTCTACCACAGTGGTATGCGCTAACTGTTCGAAAGCGACTACCCAATGCTTGTCGACTGGCATTTGGCATTAAAACAGTTTATGGGAAGAAACAAGAAATCTAAGACGTGCCCACAATCACATAAAAAGAACAGAGCTTGGAATAAAATAACATGCTGTAACAAAAAAAAAAAATAAACAAAAGTGCAATGTCCACCAGAAACTTTGAAGAATGCTGCGGAAACAGATTCAGTATATACAGACTTTTCCGTAAGTTCAAGATAAATCATGTATATGTTTCTTTTATCTTGAAGTCGCCAACCAATGCCTAGCAACGAACGATAAAGTGCATTCTGCCCTACTGCACAGCTTTCTATACAACGGTCAGATTCGTTTGCTCTTTGTGTAGAGAGTGGGCGGAGAATAGAAATCAAAATGATTTAAATCATCACTTAAATTACGATTTAAATTGTGATTTAAATCATAATTTAAATTGGAGTGGTTTGAGTATCATGATTTAAATAAAACCTTTCCCACAAAACTAATTCCAAAAATATTTTTATTTGCCTAAGGTTTATCTTATTTTGCTTTCTATGTGGGTTTGTTTTGTGTTTTGATCAAAGCATCATCAACGTGAGCACAAAGCAGTAGTCTTTTGAGAAAATCTAAACTTTTGGCTCTTTTTACTCGAACCTTTGTTCATTAGTTATGTAACGACTTATTGCAAGTAAAAATAATGCTCAAGAGACTAAAACAAAGAAAGTAATGTCCTCTTGCAAGAAAATCACAATGCAAAAGAACGAGTGAATAAAGGTCTTCACTAATTAAAAGAAATTGAGCCATTCTTGACCTACTCTTCCGCGGTTCACTCAATAAAAAATTGCCAATTCAACTGTACTTTAAATTTACAGTAACTGTTTCTTCCGCACGCTTTTCAGTAATCGGATCGATTGATCAATCAGTCTGCCATAATAGAAACCATATCTTGTGATTAAGAATAACTATATTAAAGCTACAGTGATTCAAACTGAATTAACCTGGTTTGAATCAAATAAATAAATCTGATTTCCTGATTTTTTTTTTTTTTTTTTAATCATCATTTATTTTTATTTTGGTAAAGGGTCACAGTGACGTCGCGGCACCGAGCTCCGATCTAAGGATTCTTCAGGGCAGCTGTTGGCAGCTGCGATGCTGCAGTAGGATTGTTTGCTAGTCATAGCGATGGCTGCCCTGTCTTTTCTGCACCTTTCCAGTTCTTTATGAATAATTAAGACTCAGCTTTTGAGTAAGGGGAGAGGAAACACTTCGAAGGGTATATTGTTTTTGCCAACTAATACCTACCAGATGTGCTAGAATGAACAAAACAACTCATGATTGAGATGCTGTTAATCCACTAAAGGGGCTTTTGCCCCTTTTGCTGGGGCAGAGCCTGGACTCAAAAGTTGTCAACCCCTCTCACATCCGTCATGTTTCCACTCTCATATGCGGAGACACCTTTGGGTTGACTGGCTTTCCAAATAGAATAGGTAGCAAAGCTTTGTATAGCACCATCCCTTTCACATAGTTTTAATAAACAAGGTATACTATACAGCATTTGTATCCTTAGAGCATGAGTCCTTCAGGTAGTAATATCAGAAATGCTTAGATACAAAAATGTTACCAGAGTTTGACTGCTTTTTACTACGATATGAGAGGCCAGTATTACTATGTAGAGGCATCGTCTTAAAATGTAAAGACAAGATGTAGAACATTGTAGCGTCGAGTTTTTGTTCGAGTGAGCTCGGTATTTCGAGAACAGAAAAATGCACAGGCGTCACATCCAGAAGATAGTTTCTCAAGGATACGAGTGATATTCAGCAAGTGCTGAGCAGCAAAAGGTTGGTCAGCACTTCGAGAACCAAGTATAGAGACCTACCTCATGCTGCCTGCAGGAAGCGCAGGACACAATGCGTAGTCTGGAGCCTTCGACATTGAAGAGGAGGCTACGACGACCAAACGCGTCTCGCCCAAACCACAGCTGCTGTTCGTTCCTCTGAAACAGGCGGGCCCACACATCCACATTAAAGGGTAACTGCAAAGAAAAAAAAGTTTTTTTTTAAATAGCCTAATTGGGACAAGCATGTCAAAAAACAATTTTTCCGAGAGAAAAAAACTTTTTTACAGCAATATTTATTGCGTGAGACTCATTTTAGTTTGCGGCTATTTCGTCCGTTTTAAATCGCGCGCCACGAAGTTGTGATTATGTGACTTCAATCCCAAAAGGTTTTCATTGGCTAAGAGTTTGATTGACAGCTCAGATCTTGGTTGTTAAACCTTTGTTCTATGTTGCAATTTCCTTTTGAGCGGCATATTTTTACGTTTAAAGAATAACCCATGTGATGAGAGTTATTATTCTTTACAAAAGGTTTACAAGACGGGCACTTCCGTTTGGATTCATACAAACAGAAGCTTCGCCATTCTTTCATGGCCGCCGAAGCCTCTGCTCCCGCCTGTCTCGCCTACCTCGACTTCTAGCCACCGTACCTCGACTAATCGTTTCGCCGAAGTGATCAGTGTTTCGTCGTTTCGTACTGACCCAGGTACTTTTTGAAGTGAAGTAGTGCGTGTTTAGCAGCTGTTAGTGATAGGAAGCGACGCGGGGTTTTGGCTTTCATAGCGCGGTTCTTTCGTCTTCCTCTTCGCTTGCTTAGCGTGCTTTTTTTTTTTCTTTATTTTTTTGCTTGTTTGCGCGTGCAAATGCTGTCAGATGCGTGATCCCGACAGTGAGCCTCCCATCAGCCATGTCGCCCCGAAAGGAATGCTATTTGGCTGGAGGCAATCGGGCGTTCGCGTAGCGACCAACGTGTCTAGTTACGTTCTCGTCATATCGCTCTGGAGGCCGTCGAGATTCGCCCTGTGTGCACCTAACGTCCGCGACTAGACAGAAAATAAAAAAGCACTATGTCCACTACGTAAAAATGGTCTCAGTTCATGCATCTGTAGGCAGGTACGAAATCGTGCCCAAATTTATTCACACCGCACGATGCAACACGTCGCTGTGCAAACGCAGTCAAACACGAAGCATAAAAACTGCAGATTTATGACAATTCGGAGTCCATTGTTCAATTAAAAGGACGTAATTTTGTTGAAAACGCCCGCAGCGTTTTACTCACGGTATGCGTCGGGAAACTTCCACATTTCTAACAGAACGAGGCAGATTTACTTTTAAAAACGCTCCCAGCGTCCTCCCGGACCAGTTTGACTGGATCAGCTGACGACGACGGGACTGAACTGCTTGAACGTCAACCCCACAACAACCAATTTGCGCTCCGTGTTAGCACCGCATTACACACACCACGAACGTTTCAGCTCTGTCGCACCGCCGTGTTGCACCAAACAGAACGAGATCGCCGAAACCAACGCAGCGCTGTCGTGAACCTTGGCTTGTGGTTGCGCACTCGTGGATTCTGCGACTCCCTTCGCTTTCAAAGCGCGCACGACGATTACGAACGATACTTTCCGTCTTCCGGGAACATCACAGGGGCACTTCACCGGTCACGTCTTCGCTACATGTGCTCGCAAACCGCGTCAAACCAAAACATTTTTGGATTGGATTGGATTGGATTTCGCGGCCTGGCGTAGTTGCCAGATCTCGCCGGAAGTCGAGACGCTGCGTCGTTCAACTCCGCAACGCAAGGAGAGTGAGGGGCGGGGCGTGCTCCTCTTCCGCGGGGGTCGAAAGAGCGGGAGTTTCAAATGTGGAGAGGTTCTGACTCTACTAAATTACGTCCTGTGGCGTAAATATTGATAAAAAAAATCATTTTTTCCGCGGAACATTTGTTTTGTGACATGCTTGTCCCAATTAGGCTGTTTAAAAAAAAACTTTTTTTTCTTTGCAGTTACCCTTTAACATCACTGTGATAGGGCCCTGAAAAGAATTAAACCGAGTGGAATCAAATACAGTGTAACCTCGGTGATACATTTTCGCAGCTGTTACGCTCACGAGTGCCAGTCTAAGGCTGCCATACAAATATGTGTATCAATTTCCCGTTTTTTGCGTTGGCATTGCCCATCGTTATGCCAAAAAATTACCTTCACCATGACCAATGTGGGAATCAGGCTTTCACAACCTGTTCTTCTTTCCACCTCTTTCTTCAGCGCAAGCACATGCTTCTCTTGGATTCAGTTTTCCTGCTTCCAGTAGTTTCATTTTGCATAAAAAACAAGATTTGTAAAAGTGCACAGTGCGTGCATCAAGCCTTACCATACAGCACCGACACAGATATTTGGCTTCACCGGTATGCACCGGCGCACTAGGAGAAGCAGCTGGCACGGTGATCTTGCTCACTCTCAAAAGTCGACATTTCTTAACTTGCTATTCGAGAGGTGCTGTTAAAAATAAGATCCTGAAGAGAGTGCACAGTGTGGTGGCAAATAAACTTCAGTCGAAACAGTACATTATTGCAACTTGCATTCAAATTAACTAATTATGAGCTTGAGCGCATTGGAAGCTGGAAACAGGAAAAATCCACGGCAAATGTTCAGGGGACCACAGGCCACAGTTTTCAGCCGCAAGTTTTACATGTCTCAAACCTTGGAGGAGTAAAAGTTTAAGCTCAAGCTTAAAGCGCCCATGAAACAAATTTTGGGCTGGGATAAATCAATTTAGATTGGGATTTTACTAATAGCACATTGTTCGGTAGGCCAAAGGAAAAGGTAGAAAGCAAGAAGCCTGACTTTCGGTACGCAAAATTTGAAAACACAGCGGGCTATTTCGTACTTCCCTCCATTCGTAAGCTCTCTGCCTTTTCGCTGTGATACATCCGTGGTCCCTAAAGCGCGTCACCGGGTCCAAATGCACGTCACACAACACCGGACCTCACTTAATCCCTTCACCCTTAAAGAACAACTCCGCTTCATTTTTGGTTTTGAAAAAACAATCCAGTCCTCTTCAGTATCGCCTAGAAAGACCACACGTCAAATATTACGACGCAGTTCTGTCTAAATGTTTCTTAAACAATCCGGCAAACTTTGCAACTCGCCAAGTTGCCGAAATCGGCTGACTCGAGCGGGCAAATTCAGGCGCAACCAACAGCGTAGTCAAGGCTACGGCATGGGCGGAGCCAACATTGAGCTAAACGTCATCATCATGGCCCCCTTTTGCTTGTTTTTACTTCTCCGATCGAGCGTAGCGCATGACGTCAGCAACGTTGCCTCTCGGCGCTCAGCGGTGTCCACGTGATTGGCGTACGCGCCTGCGCAGCGCGCTTCTTGGGAGCAGACCAACCGCCCGCCGTGGTCCCGCCGTTACCGCCGTCTTCCGCGTCACAACCACCGTCGTCGTCTCACCGTTTGTGATTATTGCCTATCGGAGTTTTGTCCATACTATGGACACCACGTGTGCAGAGTCGCAGACTTATGCCACAGTTGTGCAGACGTCGTCGAATGCCGTAGACACCAAAACATGGCGAAAAGTGCGGTGCAGACGACACTCGCACCTGCCGCACGCCCGCCCCCATCCCGCCTATCGTTGGGCCGAGGATCACGTGACATCTCGTACCACGTGATGGCCATGTACTTGGCGGCCCAAGGCCAATGTTGCCGGACGGAGCCGAAGTTTCGGTTTCGATTTCCGCTCGTGTTTAAAATTAGATTTAAAATATATATACCATTTTTCGCGAAGCAAGCGACGTAGTGTCTTTTACTAGGGCTTTTTAATTCAAAATCACCCGAAATCTTCGAAATTGAGCGGAGTTGCCCTTTAAGCTGACATTATGGTGGAAGCTACGCGCTTGCCGGATTAATCAGCCGCCTCCCTTTCATCACCTGACCTCATTCTCTGCGCGTGGGTATGCGCGAGAGCGTCATCACGTGACAAAAGTGTGACTGGCCCACCGAGCACGTAGCTTCCACAGCACTGTCAGCTTCGGGGTGAACGGGGTGGGGAAAGCAACTTTAGTCTGAATTTTGAGCGACGGGCTAGTCTTCTAGGGGGAGAATGGCTGTGTCCACGTACACAAACGAGAGTCCGAGCAAGAGGGGACTCCCCCCCTTCTGTCTTCTTGAACTGCTTGGCAGAATGCGCAATTTATGAGTTGAGGAGGAAAGCTAAACAGGAAAAAGTTGGAAATGTCTTTCATTAATCCCTTTAAGGAACAATTAGGATTGCCTTTTATACGGCTTCAAACCTCTGAAACAACAATGCCGCGGGGACACAAACCCATACCTTGAGGTACACCAGTGCCCACGGTCCCTTGATCCTCGAGATGGTGTTAAGAAGCTCCGACTCACTCGAACACTTTGACAGTGCATCCAGCAGGAACGTGGTGTCACACTCTCTCTCCGACACCTGCCACAGGAAAAAGAGAGCATATTTATGCACCGAGAAACTGAGAGGCAGGGGGAGACGAGAGAGGACGTCGAAACGCCGAGCTCTGGTAGGAATGATTAGTAGGTAGACCTAAAGATAGCTGTCATTGTCTCCACTGCACTCATCAAACGCATCAAAACGCGGAACGCTGGTGTCCAGCACTTAGATCTCGCATTCGAGCACGTTCGACGAGTGCAGCGAAGGCAAAGGCAGCTAGTTTTAAGGTCTATCCACTAATCATTAGAACCAGGGCTCGGCGTTCTGACCCATCTTCTCTCGTCTCCTCCTCTCCCTCAATTTCTCGGCGCAAAAATCCTAGTCATTATCTTAAGAATCAACAGGCAGAAGGCATGAAAACTAAGGAGTTAAAATTATCCCTAAACTTTTAGTACATAGACATACACTCCACTTTTGATAATAGTGGATATAGATAGTATATGACACATCAACGAGCCTACTTGTAACCAAGGCCTTGCAAGGGAAGTGTGTTTGCAGTGTACATTCGGCCCATGTCTGAAAGTTTTCTACCAAACCTTTCTCCAGGGACTTTGTGTCCAGATCCTTACTGCATTCCAAATCTCTACCTGTAATTATATGGGCATCCTAACTGTAATCAACAGGTTTTCCTTACCTATAAATTAAAGCAAGTGCCCTCGCACAACATACATTTTCACAATAATACCAGTAGCTCGACCGTGGAACAGCACAGGAATCCTGCAGGGCCAGGCTATCCTCCCCAGTTCCAGACGCTTTGTGACTGCACAACCTCACCAACTTGTTGCGACACTCCAGCAGTCCGACGGAGGGAGAATGGCACCCTCACCCCGAGTCCTCCGAAGACCTCGCCGTTCCAGACCAGCACGTTTCCCGGCTCGTCCCTGACCGGCTGAGGGGTAAGCTTGCGGCCCCTCAGGCCCAGCACGCTGGCGAGGAAGATGAGCGTTGCATCTCCCTCGAGCTTTACCTCTTCCGCTGCGCAGCCGTCCGGACCCCTACGTTTCAGCAGCTGCACCGTCTCGGCACTCTTTGCATGCGTAGAAAATTATTTACAGAAACCATGAGTGTAAATACGGTCTGCTGCAAGTTTGGAGTAGCAGGACAAGCTCCTCCTACAAAGCACTCTACTCTTCCACTATAGCAGAGCAAATGCTGGAGAGCAGCAACCACCAATCATGGAGAGTAGAGAGCTTTCTGAGAGGGCCCTATTCTGCTATCCTTGTTACAAACTATAGAAACAATAAGCACATTGCCGACGTTTTGCACGACACAAGGTGCAGTCCCCGGATGCAGCATATCTGAATTTATATTTTCTATGTTTTTCGTTTAATGCTTTTTTTTCTTTTTTTACCATAAAATCTTGTGCATTTGTCCATTCCCAAATTTGTAAGATCTGAGAAAATATGCACAGTATGTTTATATGTACAACTGATGATCGGACAAGCGCTCATCCTCCATTTTTTTGTGATTATTTCCAAATTTTGAGTGGGCGCTTGCCCGTATTTTAAGGTACCGTAGTCGCCGCTTTTTTCTTTACTGTGCATCACATACAGTATAGATGTAACTATTTTGCTGGCAATGTTTGCTTGCAAAGGCAAAAGTATCATTCCGTCCCTGCCAAGTAAGTGCCAACTGGCATATGTCAAAATATTTCATGACACGTAGCTTAAAGAGAAACCCAATTTAGACAGTCATCCCTTTCTGTTAATTTAAAACTGTTGCTTTAAAATAAAAAGATATGTGTCTCATGTGCTACCTATGCAAACTGCTCCTGTTCATCCATGTTTGTAGAGATGGGTTAGAATAAAACCCAACCAGGATAGGTACCTCGAGATATTGCAGTGTGTCGTCGATATAATGTAAAGCAAGTTCAGGTGCAAATCTGATTCTGATTTGCATATGTCAAATGATTTACCCAACAATGGGCTACCTTCCAGATGAGTTTAAAAGGAAGCGCAGAAAAATAAAGAATTTTTAAGCATCTGCACAGGCAAGTTGCCAAACCAAAGCCCATACTTTGTTTCATCATAAAAAGTGAGTGAAGCCAAAACTACAATTGCGGGCATGTCGCCTTGAATGGCGCTTTCACTGCACATGAGCTTGTGCGCTTGGCAAATCTGTTCAAAGTGGGGCACTTGTTCTTGTAGGCTCTGGTTCGCTCACACTTGTGGTGAAAGGGAGTATAGAGCATGTGAATTGTGACTTTCTCTGGGCTTGAGGCTTCCTCGGGACCAAGTGGCTCTAAATAACCACAGCCACGAGTACCTTCAATATATTTAATAACCTCTGCATTAACCTAACTATGCAACATAGAGAAAGGCAACCACAGCTTTCCTAGCACTTAAAAAAAAAAAAAAAATGTGGGTGAACTTGGAGAGGAAAGGAAGATTGAGTAATCCTTTCATCCGACTTGTGTCAGCATTGTTGAGTAATGAGAAAGAAAGGACCAGCCTCTTTGCTTCCTTTCTTGACAGCAGTGCAGGGTTGCAGTACTGCAGAAACTGCACCAGCTTGGATAATGTTGCATAGAAAAGATGGCAGAGTGTAAGTTGAAATTACTATCTCCCTTAATAATGAGGTTAGTGCACGTATCTTGGCTCCCGTAGCTCTTGCTGCAAGGAGTACCTTTATCAATCTCGCAGTATGCACATAATAGTTCAATACAATAGCGTACCTGTCAAGTTCGGAGAAACCAAATATGGGAAAATTTCTAAGGGGGGGGGGAGGGGGATTGGGGTTTTTAAAAATAAATATTGACAAATTTCCCCAAGAAGACGACTTATTACATTTATATTGCACTGCTCATGCTAGCGAGATACAGCTGAACCTTGCTATCATTGCAGCCGCTTGTTGCAACGGCAAAGGCTCCTTGTTTAAATGCAGGGAGGGGAGGTAATTTGCGTTTTCCGGGAGACCTTCATGTCAATCGTACAACCGTCGATTGGTCAAAATTTGGGAGTCTCCCGGCTACAAAACAGGAGACTTGGCAGGTGTGCAATAGAGCCTTATTTAGTAACTCTCATATCTTTGTACCAGCTTAAAACGAACTGTTAGGGTGTCCCAGCACATCATAGCTTTAATACCCCATCAATGCTCAACAATTTGAATTCTTTCGTCGCTGCTCTAGCAAAAGCTAGGGATCACATGTGGTAAGGTCTGTTGGTAAAGTGTAAAGTTGGAACAATTCCAAAGTAGTACACACATCTGCGTTGAATGGCGCGAGATCTAGACTAATTCCACCGGTTCTCTCTCAAGGACACGCAAAGCTGTATTTTCTCATAGACTGCCTTCAAACTTTATTAGGACACAAAATGATATGAGCAACACAAACAAAGAGAAGGGCCAACGGTTACAGGCTTGATTGGAAGTAACGCTCAAAGAGGCACGCATATCAGGAGAGACAGAGAACGAGAGAGAAGACTCGGAGAGACCCCTTCTCCCCAGTTTGATCTTCCTTTGCGAGATGCTTATATGTACACACACACATCAGAGGAAGAGGCAGAACGTCACAATGCTGGCCTCGCACACCTCTGCTCCGCAAGTGTGCAGTGGCCTGCATAAATAACACTGCAAAACAACATTAGTGAACTCTCCTAACTACATGGAAAAAGTAATCATAGCAAAATCTTCTTATGCAACAAGTACAGTAAGAAACTCCCCTCTAAAAAAAAATATAAATAAAACGGCATTGATAGCTGATCTTTCTCATCTCTCAACTTGCAGAAAAATCTACCTTGACACACTCTGCGAAAAAGATCCTCAAAACAGGCTTTATACAGTGGTCGAAATGTGCTCTCAAAACCCCCACATCAGGTGCACCCAGATTCAGTGTCAATGCAAACACTGGTTCAGACATCGAAACAAACATTCCATGGTCGCTGAACGATGGCATCCTTCAAACGCCACGAAGTAAGGTACCAGCAACAAAAAGAGTCAAAATGCAAGTCAAGAAGGAAAAAAAATCTGCTAAAACATAGCACTGACTTTTCGGAAAAAGTGCACCTTCCCCAACTTCAAGTAAAGTGCATCCTCTGTTCCAGAAGCCAGCTGTTTTAACGAAAGGAGACATCTAGTTGTTTGGAATACGGATGCACAATAATCCCACACTGACAAGATAAGAGTGATTCCTTTGTGGCGGGACAACCCCTAGGATAAGACAGACTCTACAAAAATAGCGCCTGCCCCACTGCACTCCCTCTACAAGATAACATTTCATAAATCATTTCTTGCAATACCTGACAAGGCGTTGGAAAATCTGAGGAGGGGACAGAAGAGGATGGATTTTGACACGACTGGCCAAGACGAAATGAGCAGAGGAGACTGGGATCTAAAACTTTTAAGAGCAACGCGGTTTTTTTTTTTGTTAGTTTTTTTGCACTGTGCTACCGCACTTTCCGCCGCGACTTGCGGAGACTAGTTCGGACGGGAAAGAAAAATGCAGCAACAAGGCTGTCAGCGCAAGAAAGACATGGACCACCAAGGAACTTCATGAAAAACAATGTTGCAACATTGTCTCCTGAAAAACCCGACAATTGCATCACTACCATCAACGTTAAGCACCCACTCCCACAACCTATCGCCAAAGTACCACTGCATGCCAAACGACTGACCCAGAACCGATCCCACTGTCAACAGAGTAGCCCCGACCAATCCGAAAGAGCCCATACTTCCCACACGTCTATGCGGCCACGCCCACAGAACCGCCTATGTCACATCTTTCCGCCAATACGAGAACTCTCGCACCCAGAACGACTATGAAACAGTCACTTCCCAGAAACAAATTGCCCGGTCCCCTGGCCCAGTGAAGCATCGTCAGCCAATGGCAAACGACCCTCTGCCATTGCCAGCCAATCGGTACTGTTAGTCCCACCCAATCCAGCAGTAACTCAAAGAGAACAGCAGATGGGGGACGACTCTGCGCCGCCACCGGCCAATCAGCATCGACAGCTGCCCCCGAGTCCCAGGTTCACCGCCCGCATGCCGGTCCTTAGTCCGGGGCGGGCGTGGGGCCTCCTCAGTACCGGTTCCCGAGGTTCTGGTTGACGGCCGTGCGGGCTGCTTCCGCGGCCACGTTGGCCGCAGCTCCCTGCACGTGCTCGTTGCGCAGAACGCCCGCCGTGAACTCCTGCTGCGCCTTGGCGAACGACGCGCCGGTACCGCGGTACAGGCGGTGCACACGCAGCAACATGATGCCGGACCAAGCGGCGTTGACGGCGTGCGCTGTCGCCACGAGCGTGAGGAAGATCCCCAGCGGGATGGACTTGGTGAAGGCGTCGATGGCGACCACGAAGCCGCACGCACCCGTGGCGCCGATGCCGACCGCGTAGATGACCGAAATGATCAGTTGTACGAAGAAGACGAAGAAGAACACCATGAAGTTAAAGGAGGAGTCGGCGCGAAAGGCCTTGTACAGGGGCCGGAACCAGCAGAGGAACGACAGGGGCGCGAACAGCACCATGTAGAGGAGCGAGAAGCCGAACACGGTGGCCTGGCCCTCCTTGAGCAGCAGCGCCAGCCCGCCCAGGAAGTTGAAGATCAGCACGATCGCGTAGAAGATCCACAGATAGTACATGGTGCGGACGATCTTCTGGAACTCGAGCGGGATGTCCACGCCGATGTCCTGGTAGAAGCACGGGGCCACGCAGCACTTCTGCGGCAGCGGCGGCCAGTTGTTGGCGCGCGCGTTGTACGCCGTGTTGCGCAGCGCCTCTTCGCGGGCCTGCAGCTCGGCCGCCTTCTTCTCGAGTTCCTCCTGGCGCTTCTGCAGCTCCGCCGTACTGATGGACGACTGCGCGCCCGTCGGGCTGTACGCTGGGGGCGGCTCCGATACGGGCTGCATCATGGCGGGTTGCTGTTGCTGCTGCCGAACGGGCGGACTCACGGCGGCCTGCGTCGCCGTGGCCGGCTGGCGGTACTGGGGTACGCTGGAAGGCGCTTGGTTCGTCGCAGGAGGCTGCGGCTGGTCCGCGAACGGGTTGTAGTCTTCTAGGCCTAACCCCGACTGCGCCTGCTGACTGCGACTTGTCACCTGCGTGACTGCGGGGTCCGCGAACGGGCTCGTCGTCACCGTGTGCGGGTCCGCGAACGGATTGCTGTCCAGGCCGGACATGCTGCTCGAGTCGGTGCTGCTTCCGAGGCCGCCGGGCTCAGGTTCGATGCGATACTTCTCAACCGGCTGGACGCTTTATTTGCGGGACGATTTTGCCGAACGGGATTCTTCCAGCAACATCGCTTTCGCTATGCTATCTGACCGCTAGGGGAGATAGCGGCGCGGCAGGCGGGGGGATTTGTGCGCATGCGCAGAACCGGTGTCATGGTCGTTAGACTTAATCGAGAAATCGCTAAGCTTCGCTACGTTCTCTGTTTAAATCGTCTAGGGGTGGTCCACCGTCTCCACCGTGTAGTGGTCCAAGTACTTCGAGCAATCACGCAAACTTCTAATAAAACAATTCCAAGCACATTCACCCAAGTTTGCAATTGAAAATACCAGGGAGCAAGGTAGACAAGTTTTACACGCCATAATTGTAACTGAAACACCGTGAACTGGAAGATGGACTGTAGGGTCAATAACTGCGTGGATTTGCTTAAACTATTAGTAGTCGAAGGAAAAGAGTTCACAGATTACTGATCGGAACCGGCGATCAATTATTACACCGATCAAAAATAACGCACAAAAATCACTGGCAAGATTGATCATCTTTTTTCGCTGTTCAACGTTCAATCGACCATCGCCTCGGCCCTCAGCAGCCTCAGTATCAAAAGCTTGACTGTTAGCGAATTCGGTGTTTTCTATGCTTAGCCAGAATAACTTACCAAGTAAGCCGCTGACTCTTCTGAAGGGGATGCACAACCAATCTTGACGCAGAGCCCTATTCCACACATTCTCGCTGCACTCTCACAAAAACTAGATTTAGAGACGATACTCGCAGAGGAATAATTCAAGAAGCCGCTGCTCACCAATGCTCAAATCCCGACGCATGGCACGAATCTGCGTACAAACGTACCAAACGACCAAACCGCAAGAAAATGTGATTTGAAGAACAAAAACAAACGCGCATTCATTTGGTTGCTATTTTGTCTTTGGGAGTATGTAAAGCTGACTCTTATTGAACGAAATTGGTGTGATGACGTCACAAGTGCAGCGAAATCAGCAGAGCAACGAAGCGTTGGCAAGTTGTAAATAGAGCACTATATAGCTCCTACGGAGCAGAGTAGCGCAATCCTTTGAACCCCGTGTTTTGCCGACAACATGGCCGACAGAGCGGCTCGGCGCGAGTCACGTGGTACTCAGGGTTCCAGGAGGCGGCCCGCCCTATGGGAGAATACATGGAGATCGACATAACACGGCTGATTAAAAAACTAACGACGAGTTCACATTTTTCAAAACTAGCCTGTCGTGAAGTTAGTAAAGCGCTAAACACTTTATCAAAGTTTTAATAATATCGGATGCGTGTGCAAATTTTGAGAAGGCAATTTCCAAGGCAATGGCGTTTGAAGCAGACGATGTTTGCTCGCAGCGGAGATGGGCTTTTCGGGTTGGCCGGAGTGGGTCACGTGAATGGTGTGACGTCGCCGTGTCGTCTGCTGCATGATGCCGCTCAGGCAATTTAAAAAAAAAAATTACGTCCTTGTACGGCACAAAACTTATCGCACATTATTCTAAAATGTTTCATTATTATGTCAAAAATGATTTCCATTCCGCACATCTCCACAAAACTGAAGAAACAACGTTTTTCTCACGTTTTCCATGCATTTCTCACCGCAGTTGGAACCTCCGGGCGTTCGCCGCTAGTCGCCGAGAGGCGGCGTTCTAGATTGCGCTACTCTGCTCCGAAGGAGCTATATAGTAGGGGTGTCGCGAACCGGCCGAGGTTCGAGTTCGACCAGGTTCGACTTTTTCGAACTTTTAGTGGAAAATTCGGCGAACCTTGTATTGAGGTTCGACTCGTGTGCGCATGCGCGACAGGCTGGCCAGTTGGCTTCGGATTGGATAGTGATGGCTAAGGAATGAATTAAGGGCAGCGCTGATTGGTTATTTCAGTTGATACAGTACAAAAAATTAAGTTATTAACTTCTTCAGTGATTAGAATTAGTTTCTTTTAATTGCAACTGTTCACAAAATAAAAAAAAAAAAAACTTTTCATATAAAAAAAATTTCAAACCTAGACATGCTTCTATTAAGGTCTGGCCACACTGTCCACAAAGTCGAACCGGTCGAATTTGGTCAAAAGTTCGAAGGTTCGTCGAACCGGTTCGACCCAGTCGAACCCCGAAAGTTCGACCTAAAAATCTGGTTCGACAAAAGTTCGCGACACCCCTACTATATAGTGCTCTAGTTGTAAAGGCAAAGTGAGTTTTTGTCTTTTGTCGTGGTTTTTGTTTTGTGACTGTTGAGAACTTGTGAAGGCAAAGTGAGTTTTTGTCTTTTGTCATGGTTTTTCTGGTTTTTGTTTTGTGACCGTGTTCCGTGATTCATGGCTAATCTGGCTTTACTGTGTAGCAATGTGATCCAATTACGTAAATTAAATTTTGTGTTCTAATATGTACTTTTACGTTAAATAACTATAACCAAGAGTATAACTTGCATATACTGCCGCTTATCCCTACGTGCCCACGTTACGTCTCTTGCCGCCTCGCCTTGTCGGTACAGCTGGTACAGCCGCCGGCGCTGTCGCGCTTCGTTTGCCAACTTGTCGGTGTTGTTTTTAAAACATCAGCATGTTCACAGGTGAGGCGGGTGTGCCAAATATTTCGTCTATTCTTTTCTCGTAAAATAATGTCTATTTCTTCGCTTTCATCAGATTGCTACTTGGACTTAATAATAATAATAGTATTTATTTGCGAAGCAAAAGTGCATTGGGTGGCTCCGCAAGGCTAGGCAGAAAGAACGCAGAAAGGCAAGGGCCCCTACGCGTGAGCGTCTGCTAGCCAGCCACCCAGAGCCAATTAATTAATTGAGTAAAGCCCAATATGGTGACGTAAAAATATACGGGAGGAAGGTGAGGATGAGATGCGCGAGGAAGGAAGTGTTTTCACACTAGACAATGGTCTTCAATATATCTTTATTAGGCTTTTTTTGGGGAGAGGATTGAATTTCAACTTTGAAAAGTTGCAGTAAATATGTATATATCTATATATATTTTTTTTTCTTCTTTTCAGGTAGTTTCTTTGGCAATGTCGACGATGTGTGCTACTTCGGAGTACTACTCTCACTCCTCCTTCGATGCAGCACGTCTCTGTGGCCGTACTCGGGTAATTATTGAAACAATAAATGAAAAAGAAAAAGGCTCGCCTATTTAACACGTGTATAATTGGAGCGCGTGTTAACCCATCCGGGCCCCCGTTTACGCCGCTTCGCGGCGACAGGCGGCAGCGGCTCATTACAAAATTGTTTGCTGAACCTTCCGTACACGCCGCTTCGCGGCGGCCTAATTCGCTGAAAGGACACTCATGCCATTTTGAAAGGCATTCGCTAAAACGAGCTTCTCTAAATCGCATGCCTCCGAGATGAAATAATGAAACCGCCGAAAAACGATACACATTAATATGGGTTTCCTGACCATTAGTCAGGTGATGAGCACCCCCGTTACACATGACTGGCAATCAAAATATCCTTGCTAGTGTCCAGTTTATTCTTGTATAACAATGTTGCAGAAGATCCAGACATGGATGAAATAACCATTGTATGTTGCCTACTGTATACAGGGGCTGGAAAACCACCTATGTACGGGGACTACGAAGCTCAAAGGCATTGGATGGAGGTGACAACCAATCTTCCAGTCAGAGAATGGTAAGACTATACTCAACACTCAAAATGCTCTTTGCTTCGCTGTTTTGCAGAAGAGAAAAATGTGTACACAATCATCACAAATCGTCGAAATATGCGGATGAGTGAACCAAATTGGTTGAATGGGAGAAATGTTAGGAAGCCACCTTTAGACAAAATGTTTGGCACACCTGACCAGTTTAGGAGACCCAAAGTTTGTATACACCCTTGCACCGCCAAAAATATAGGCCTCCTGCCCTGAAGCTGTTTACCTCTGCACGTTGCTGTTACTTCTGCGTTCGCGTGGTCACGACTCAAAATGTGTCACCCGTAGTCGTCGCCGCCGAATGTTACCCCGGGAACTTGAGTTTGCCACAAGCTAGTAGTTTTTCTTTCATCCAAGCATGTTGAAACCAGGAGCAAGCAGTGCAGCCTCGATGCGTTCGAAACATCGCTGTCATCAGTACTGTTGCGTCACCAACTGTCGAGAATGGGAAGGTATTAACCCCGGAGTGAACTTCTACAGATTTTCATTGAAACCGTGCGAAGTCGGGCGTAGTGAACGATACTAGCCGCCCAACGCATTGAGTAAGCGGGGCTTGTTTTTCTCCCCATCCAGGTTGTTCTTCTAAGGCAAGGCCACTTGATCAAGCGGCCATGGCATGCATTGAAACATGTGTCATGCGGATTTTACAAACAGGAACACGCTATACCGTCCGACCAGTGGAGCGATCCGTTTGAACTACATCTCTTGCCACATAAGATCAGGAGTAAAAGTGCTGTTCCCAGCAAGAGCTTTCCTTTGAAAAGACGACCGTGCGTGCGCACCAACGCACCACAGAAAGCAACAAGCATGTACTGAAGGCAGAACTCCTACTGCTGATCTTATGTTGCATGAAATTTGCAGTGCAGATGTGCAAGAAAAGCTGCAAGAGCTTGAGAGAGAGCGTGCAGTAAAAATGATGTGCTCGGCCAACAGATGGCCGGTCAACGCTCGATCGCTTGTGTCTGCTTTTGCACATTTTCAAAGTTTTGTCATCAGCTGATAGCATTGGCTGTACGGAGGGACTGCAGTTTAGCAGTTTTTGCTTACAAGGCGCGTTACATATCTCGTAATGCTCACTCAAGCTCGACATCATTAGAAGCTCGCTGTTTTTGGAAGTGACAGCGCGCCGACAGCAAATTTGCGGCTTCTTGTACAGCGTACACATACCTTGCATTGCCGAGTTTCTTCCCCTTGCAGAGTGTTAAGGAATGAAAGAAGCTTTCCACATTAGAAATTGGCTCGATTCCGTGCCGGAAAAAAATCGCAAGTGGGGGAATTCATACTGCTGGCTAACATTTTCACGCTGGACAAATTCAAATGCGCAAGTTTATACTACCCAATACTACCAATAAACAAATTGTAGTTGGCGCAGCCTGCCGGTTTTTCTGCAGCACCTCCTGGGCAAAGGAGGAGGCTTGTTGTCTTTCGGCGGCTTCATAGCATTTATCCCATTCGATTGCTACGGTTTATTTATCTGCATGTTTCAACTATTTTCTCTCTAGAGACCATGTACGATAACTATGTTTTTGTTTTGTTTTTTAGGGAAAGGTGCAGTTGAGGATGTTACTGGAAACGAGTATTGCCTCGCAAAAATGTTCCAAAAGCCGGGTGAATTCATGATTGAAAAGGTTTACTCCGACTTAACATAACAAATTAATAACAAAAGGTACAGACGTTTTGCCACCTATGCAGGTGGCATCTTCAGTATACACTGACACAAATGAGGTGAGGTCGACCAGTCTACTTATCACACACGTCCCCGTAAACGTCCGGCAGGGGGCCACGGTTGGTGTTGCACACCGATGATTGTGCAACATCATCGATGTGCAACACCAACCGTGGCCCCCTGCCGGACGTTTACGGGGACATGTGTGATAAGTAGACTGGTCGACCTCGCCTCATTTCTGTCAGTATATACTGAAGATGCCACCTGCATAGGTGGCGAAACGTCTGTACCTTTTGTTATTAATTTGTTATGTTAAGTCGGAGTAAACCTTTTCAATCACGAGTATTGCCTCTACCGACTGAAAAAAAATAAGCAATGGATGGATGGTTGCTAACAGCTATATCCTTTATAACAGGCAGGAGCTTGCACCACCCAGTCTAGAAATTAGATACCAAAAATATGATTCCTCCCCTCGCCCTTATAAGCCAATTTGCTTTTTCTCTGCAGTTTTGTAGCTGTCACCAGGCGGTATGGGATATCACCAGGATGACTTTTGGGGGATTGGGCAAAAAAACTAAAAACATCACTTCCCCTCGGTGAGGCAATTGCCAGTTTTCTTCTGATCAAACCTAGTCGGTGTTACCCCAGCACTGGGCCTCTGGAAACAGGGTTGAGACTTTGGGCCGGAGCCACACGGGAGGAAGTCCGAATTTGCCTTTCTCCTGCCTGTCTGTAGCTGTGTTAGTTGTACGTCATTCAATTCTCCCTAAACGATTTTCACCAGTCTTCCAACCTCCTTGTTATTACTAAAATACACTTATCCATTCTTCCATTCTCATCTGTAAACTACAGCGCTCCGGCTGAATCTGTCACCCTCTTCAAAAGGGCGCGAGCAAGCCCAATCTTCTGGCCTCAAATAACTAGCTCCCCCGTGAATCATCATACCAATGTTCCTTCCTTATTTTCTGTTTCCGTCCCCTATACATAGTTAAAGCTGATTTTCGCTGCTGTCTTTCCTTCCACATTTTTTTCTCGGCTTCTTTTACTTCCTTTTCCGCAGAGATAGTCTGCTCTGCTCCAGCACTTGACTGTTTGTATTTTAATTATTTTTGGGTTCAGTTAGTCCATTTACTGTTCAGACTTTTCATATATATACCTCTCGCCCATCGTGTATCCTCAATTGTGTCGAGCCTTAGTTCAAATTTCAACTTACAGATTGCCTCTTTAACCTCAAAAGATGCCCAGCCCATGTCTGTAAAAAAAAAAGTTACTGCCGGTGGCCTTCCTTTTGGGGGAAATTTTGACTATTGTTGTTACATTTTCTATCTCTCAAAGTCATGATGTACTAACCTTTGTTGACATCCGTCAATAACCCTCTAGCTTTAGCATGACTAGTGCTCATTGGTATGGATTTTGATCTCCAACAGGTATCAGAATTCAACGCAAAATGACCTGCTCTACTGGGGTCTCGACTACCCACCACTGACGGCATACCATAGCTGGGCATGCGGGAAAATGTGAGTACTGTGATACCGTTACGCTGTGTCTTCTCCCCTGGGATTTTTGTGTGATCGGCCTGACATTGTTTGGTTTTTTCGTCGAATGCAGCGCAAGTTACATCAACGGCGACTGGGTGTCTCTTAATCAATCCCGAGGCTTGGAGAGCTACGAGCACAAACTGTTCATGCGTTACACAGGTATGCAGTTGTGACGGCACGACAAGTTATTGAAGTATTCGCTTTTCTGGCTTGCTTGGCGACTACGAGAGAAGCGGCGGCACCGTGCGGTATTGTTTTGCAGTGCTTGCCGCGGACCTGCTCGTGTTTTTCCCCGCTGTGCTCTACTTCTGGAGTTCAGTCTCGTCTTCGTTCCGGATAAAGCCAAGAGACCTTGTGAGTTTGTATTCATTGACCCCTGTAATTATTCCTAAGACTGATGTAGTCAAGAAGCTTTCAATAAAAAGCAAAACTTATTGTTCCTTTTTTTTTTTTTTTTACATTTACTAAAATGAAAAGGATTAGATTGTCCTCTGTCCGGAATCTTTGCAGAGTATTTAATAGGCTCACTCATAAAAGGACACTGACCCCCCCCCCCCAAAAAAAAAAAATGTTTATTTTTGTTAGGCAATTCAGTTTCGGTGTCAGAGGACTACCCAATTAATATTTTGCTACAGCGTCACATATATTTTTAATAAAGTCAAAAAAGGCAACTGCTCAAAACCAAAACTGAACTGGGAAGGAAGAAGAAATCTAGAGGAGGAGATAGTTACCAAAAGTCACGTGGCTGTGCAGCTCTTTTTTTTTTTTTTTTTTTTCAATCTACGTATTTGCAGCGTTTTAGAAGCCACAAAAAATGGGTGCCTTATTCTCAGTCTTGTTTTTTTTTTTGTATTGAGTATGTGCCTTTGATGACCCATGACTCTGATTATCTTTGGTGGTTGTGTCTAAATCATAGAAAACAGCTCGTGACCACAGAAAAGAGAGTGAGCGTGAATCAAAACAGCCAGTTCTCACTCGGTGGTTTTCGCGGGGAAAGAAAACAAATTTCGAGCCGTAAATTGTGTTCTGGGTAGGTGGGCTCTCATACTTCATGTACAAATAAAAACCTTGGTGAGCGTCAATGCCCTGTCAGCGTCCCTTTAATATTTTTGGACTAGTGACTGAAAGAAGGAAATGGGAGGTCTCTGCGGCTCACCGTGATTTGTTTTTTTTAGTTGGGCCCCATGAGAAAAACTTTACAGGCAACCGGACAGGCAGCCAGTGATCATTGCCGCTGTCTCTGCTTGAATATGGACCAGGATTGCCGATCTATTGACAGTTCCGTCTGCTGTTGATCAAGCCGAGACTACATCCAGCTCTAAAATTCGTAATTGGATATCAGGACCCTTCACCCTAAGTGATACGAGAGGAATAATTTGCCAACACTATAGCTGGGTGACTGCTCAGTTGTTTCTTGGCTGTCCACAGAATGTTGAGCTGACCTGTGACATTGCGAACGCTTGCAGTAATTAGAGTATAATAACTGTTGCTTTAGACAATCTACTGGGAAGTACTACGGAAGCGCCCACTTCATACAAGCGCCCACCATTAACATTTTTCTAATTTGGGAATTCTGCAAATTTTATGTCGAGCACCTGCACCCCACACCCTCCAAAGCACTGGAATCAGTTGAAAATATTCACCATCACTGCCAGCAGCGATATCATGTGACAATAAATGTGCTTTCTCTGATTCCATTCACCCTGCCCTCAAAGCTCTTTATTGGCTGCCATTCTGGCTTTTACCGATTTGACCAGACAAGCGCCCATCTCTATATTAACCCAGTTTTTAGTGAAAATGGGTTGGGCACTTCCCCAGTATTTTACGGTAATTAAAACTGGTAGCCTTACTACTTATAGCATTTTGCTTTTGGTAGTTGAAATGGCATGACCCCTTGCAGTGTATGTACACAATCCTTTTTGTGTTGTCGTTGCAGGCTATTGTCAGTACACTGACCCTTCTATCGCCGGGACTCATCCTCATTGATCATGGCCACTTCCAGTATCCTTTCATTGCGTTCGAGAACATGAGAAGCTTGAAATATAAAAAATGACGATGTATGAAATCACTTTTTGCTGTTCCATTAAACTTATTTGCCAACCTTCTATTTGGTAGCATGACCAGTGTGTTGTAAACATATGGCAAGAAATGCCTCATAGCAGTGTATTAGCTTTATTAAGGTAACTCTCTGTGACCTTTCGTGATAGTACTGTAAATGCTCATGCAATCACTGTATCCTGCATTTCCAGAAATACTTGAGCAGCTTTAGTTGCATAGCTCTCCTTTTCTAAGCGGAGAGCTTGTTTGCCACTTCCCTACAGTACCTCGGTGCATGTGTAGAGATTTCCTTTCAGGGAAGCAAACAGCCTTTTCAATCTGCTTGAATGCCATACATCTACTCCAAATTCTGTACAAAAAAAAAAAAAAAGTGTTGCTCTCACTTATATATGCAGTTGATTTGCATGTACGGCTAGGATCATATAATTTGACAAAGTAAAGGCTTTGGTGACTGGCTAGTATTTGTGCTTTTGTTCATGCGGTACTTATTCCTTGAACACAAACTTTGCAAGATACAATTGTGTGAGCCTCGGACTTGCCCTGCTTGCGATTGGGTTGGTCGAGAAGGAGCGACTGCTTTGGGCTGCTGTCGTTTTTTCGCTGTCGCTCAACTACAAGCAGATGTCCCTGTACTATGCCATCCCCTTCTTTTGCTTCCTCTTCGGGACTTGCTTGAAACGGCCGAGCTGGGCTTCAAAGTAAGTTGTTTTACTACTAGACGAGTAGGTCTACTTAGAACTATGAGACCGGTGAACTTTCTACTGTGGTTATATCCTCCAGGATATATATATTATATATCCTGAAAATTCGAGCGCTGTGGTACCAATCCTCCAGTTGAAAACTTTCTCGTCATGACGCTAGTTGTCTCCAGTAGAAATTTTGTATTCTTACCAAAGCACTCTACCCCTAAAGCGTAAGCCTTAGGTATGCTAAGTTATTCCTTGTTGCAGTTAAAATGCATTGTGCAGAACAAACCTTTGTTTAGGTAGAAGACATACTCAAATAATACCCAGAGGTAAGAAATGTATAGGCTCGAACAATTGTTTAATTATAGTCGCTGACACCTCAAGCTAGGACGGCGACTGGAAGGAAGGTGGGAGAGGAGAAAATGGACACAACGCTGGCAAGGGGAGGAGGGAGCCCCCCGCCAGCGTTGCATCCGCTTTCTCCTCTGCCACCTTCCTTTTTCTCGCCCTAAACATACTATAAGAGAAGTGGACCTTTTCACAGTTTCATGGAAGCACTGCTGAAAGGTCTATAGTTGAGCCAGTTGGTACACATAAACATAGTGGAAATCAAGCAGCACTCGAGGCACAGTAGGCGTATCAACCGTCCATTCTTGAGCACTGTTGAATTTGCATCACATTTAATACTGCTGTAATACTCTGTGCATGACTGTCCGAAAAGGCTGAAGCTCTTCCTGGGCCTGACTGGTGTCGTCTGCACCACATTTGCCGTCTGCTGGGCACCTTACCTCCACAGTCCTGGGCTCTGGCTCCAGGTTCTGAGGCGACTCTTCCCGCTGGATAGAGGTCTCTTCGAGGTATGCCTGCAGAGAGAAGTGCAGAGCTTCTCTCGAGCCCCATTTTTAATTCTTGCTCGGGAAGTTTACGGAAACAAAGCTTGTCCGAACTGGAGTAACTTTGAAGGGTCCGCCGGTACAGCCCTTGGGTTTGTACGGACAAACCAAAGACAAAAGGGCAAGCAGCACGCAAAAAACAGACAAAGCAGAATAAGTAAACATGGGACAAGCGCTGACTCTCAGCTGAACTTTAATAAAAAATGAAATCAGCAACACCGAACACATCATGGGGTGGTCAATCAACAAATGTCTAAAATTGCAATCGCTCTGCTGTGTGGCGACATCTGGCTGATGCATTGTGTACTACTTTTTTTAATCGCATAGGCTTCTAAAATTTCCCTAGTAATTCGATCTGCCCTTGCCAATAATCTCTGCCTTTTTGAAGATGGGTCAACACCCACAGCCAGCACAATGAAGGGGTCAGTGGCCCCTCACTACTCCCACTTCTGATTGTAATGACGGGCCATGCTCACGCAATCTGTGGTTTTTTTTTTATTAAAGTTCGGTTGAGGGTCAGCACTTGTCGTTCACTTCTGTTTTGTCCCCGTTGTTTGTGCGCTGTTTGCCCTTTTGTCAGTATGAACCAACTACCCCACATCGCCACCCTAATACAAACCAGTGCATGAACTATACCGTAGTATTTGTTGAGAGCAAATGGCAAGATTCTTTATAATGAGATGTTTTAATTCTGATGCAGCTATAGATCAAAAAGAACTCTGGCTTAAAATGGACCCCTGGTAACACAAGCACCATTTTTACATTCCTTTTATGTGTGCAAACTTGATTCAGCTTGAATTTCGGACATATTTTGAAGCTACACACTGCTTCATTTAGGACAAGGTTGCAAACCTGTGGTGCACTCTTTCCCTTGTGGTAAAGTTGAAGTCTCTCTACTCTGCTGCCACACTTGCGGCTGTAAGGTAGGTCCTTTTAAATAAAGCCAGACTGTTTTAAGTCAAAAGCCAATCCGGAGCTGGGGGTCACACTTTTCATTCAAACAGTGGACTTGTGACGCTGTTGTCTGCTAGCATCTCTGCAGTGGATCTGTTGTTGCGGCCAACACCCGAGCGGTTTCATCACTGTCTTGTGAGTACTTTTTAACTTGGGCTGTCACGGGAATATCTGTTGCACTATTCTTTTTCTTGTTGTTTTTTGTGTACTTTAATTACGGTTCTTTTTTACCCTTTCAGATAAACTGCTCCTTAGTTTTCTTCCTGTGCTCGTACCAAGTTCACGAAAAGACCATCCTCTTGCCAATGCTGTGAGTGACTGCAACTTTCCATTCTTTTTAGAAAATAGTCTCCCATAGTGGGGTTGTCTTCACCTGGAACTTGTATTTCAGGGCTTTCTATCTCGTTCTCCATAAACATCCGGGCCTAGTACTCTGGTTTTCGACCATCGCAACGTTCAGGTATGCATGTTCACTTTCCATGCGGCTTTACCCCAAACATATGACTTGTGAACTTTCTGTTATTTACAGCATGTTCCCACTCTTATGCAAGGATGGCCTGGTGACGCCTTATGTGGCTCTGGTGGTTCTCAACATTGTGTTTGTCTTCAAGGCCTACCTGGAAACAAGTCAGCCGAGCAGACTCGTCACAGTTCTTGTCAGTATTGACCTTTCAACTTCCCCATTATTGGAATGTGCACTTATTTTGGTATGGATCTCGTCTAAAGGGACGTTGGCGCCCCAAAAATACAACTAATTTTTAAGGCGAAAGCCTTACTTGTCTTACTCACTGACAAATCAGAGTAAATGGCCAAAAAAATGTGCTTGAGCGATACGTTCCGCTGAATCGTATGCTCAAGGACGTCCCTCGCCCTTGCAGTCATCCTAGACCTCTAGGACGACCTTACTTGTTAAAGTACATGAAAAACAAGCGTCAGCATCGGCATCGTTCCCAAAAGATGGCGATTAAAATACGTCATCAAGCTTTCGCCGCTTATGCTCATGCGCATGCTCAAGTGCAGGAGCGTAATGTCACTACCGGAGCTCCATTTGCAAAAGGTGCACTTTGGACTTCATCTGTGCTTGTTATGTGCTTTGTGCGATGGACTGTAAGGCGACCATGTCTACATCTATGGCAAATATGCCACGGCCTCCTTAATTAAGTGTTCTCCTCTAGGCGTCGTTCTCGACGTCGTCCTTAAGGTCGTCCTAAAGGTTGTCCTAGAAGTCGTTCTTGACGTTATCCTAGAAGTCGTCCTAGACGTTCTGGACGTCGTCCTCTAGGTGTTGTTCTCGACGTCATCTTTAAGGTCGCCCTAGACGTCGCCCTTGACTGACTTTCGCCGTCCTACACTTAAGCAGTCTTAAGCGTACTCGTATATTTTGAAACAACACTATAGTCAGTTACAAGTGAAGAAGGTAGCGGCAAATGCCCTTCAGAGGGATTCTTGTGTTCCTCTGCCACTAGTCTCGTCACGACTTGAGCGATCCAATCTTGTTCTTGCAAACAAAAACTTTTAACATGGCTGCCCGGCAGATTTCTTACGACTCCAGCTTCTTGCATCAATTATTTGGCTCTTTACTGCGGTTTTACACTTAGCCGAGCAAAGTATGTCGCTGAGTCGTAACTGCATCTACTTTCATTCGCAATAGGTTGTGCACAACAGCATGAGAATCCAGCAATGTTATTGCCATTGAAAAGTTTGATGTGGGCGTAAGTAAGGCTTAGCATCGTGCATCGGACGCCGTCTGCTTCTTGGTCTGCCTCAGATTATGTCTCAACATCGTGACGGCATCGGCTTTTCTTCTCTTTGGTTTCCGTGGAGCGAAAAAAATTACAGCTGTCACCAAAACTCTTCTTTATAAGTAGGGTGTGCATTTTCCGGTTTTAATTGAAAAACACCAATAAACATCCGTCGGTGACGAAAATATAAAATCTGTTAAAACCGAAAAACACCGGTGGTTGGATATTTTCGCCCTGGTTAAAACCGAAAAACACCGGTCGTTGATAGATTCCGACCTAGCGAAACCCTTTCCCCGTAAAGGTTCGTCAAACGTGTTATCTCGTGGATCCTGCATTCTTCCAGTGTTTATACATGGCTTGCAGGTGGCGTCAGTCCGCCCTCCTTTCTGTGGGTCAAAAGCGCCTAGTGAACGCAGTGGAAGCTAAGCTCTCATATGCCTTTCCCCTATTGTGTCTCCCATGGCCCCCTTTTTTGGAAAAATTAACACAGTGGAGGGTAGGCTCTCACGTGCCTTTTCCACATTGTGTCTGGCCAAGTGATGTCGGTGCAAGCCATGTGTTCAGAGGTTGCTGTGGTTCCTGCGAGACACTGCCAACGTCCGTGTCGTACAGGAGCGTGCGTTTTCATAATTGCGGGTTGCGAACCGCAAGGAACGTGCTGCCATGACGGCAGCACGTTCCTTGCGTGTAGATGCAAGCATGAAAGTATGCTTGCATCTACTATAATAACCAAGTGTTAAAAATAGTTGCTTCCTAGAGAAGAAGTGTATGAACTATGTGAATAAAATTGGAACTCTCTGTCTGTGATCAATCACTTTTTTTCACCGATATTCACAGATTTTAGCTTCGTCGTTAGACGTTCCACCGATATACACCGGTGTTCTGAAAATAAATAAACACCGAAAAACATCCGCCAATTTTTCTCACAAATAAACACCGGAAAGTAGACACCCTATTTATAAGTGTAGTGGGCTATGTAGGATGGGCATGAGTGAACCGCCAACACAGTGAGTGTCTCCACCCCATTTCGACCTTATCTTTGCTGGCATTTGGAATTGTCCGTCTACTGAAATGACACCTTCGAAGCAATATCTATTCATCTCTGAAACATGGCGTCCTTGTCAAGCTTATGCATCGCAATCAGCTGCACGGTTATCTATGATCGCAATAGCAACCTCGGATGCATCCTCGTTCGCAATAATGAGCTGTTACATGCATGTGGCATACAAATGATAAAGCCAGTGTTTTGAATGTTAACAAACCGATGTCTTCTTTGTGAAAAATTTCAGAAAATTTGGAGAAAGGAGATTTTGTTCTCTCAAATGCTTTTTAACATTCTGCTTGCTCTCGAGCGCCTGTCAGTCGTATGCTCATGCTTTGAAACCCGGGTATATGACACGTGTACCCTCCCCCCCAACCGCGTCACGGCATACATTTCACAGACATGACACTGGACTTAACCTTTTATCCTTAAAGGGGCCCTCCGGAGCTTTCTGCGATCGTCTGTTTATATTGTTATATTGCGTAGTAGGTGCAAGTTAATATGTATACAAAGTTTTAGATTACAAAACCGTTTATTGAGCAGATGGCAGAAGAAATATATCGGGACTACTTTCTCTCGGAAGACAACCCCCATTCCCTGCCCATCGCTAAAACTTGACCAATGGAAATGCTGCACCCCGTGGTGAATGCGAACATTATTATTGCAACACTTTTTAAGCTTGTTGTAAATTAGAGTTTGAGAAAAACGTAAACTGATAATGGTGCGGGAAACACAGTCCGCAATTATCGCTCCAAAACCAGCGAACTATGTTTTCTCCCCGCAAGCTTGTTGCTGTGGGGTGATGCGTGGGCGCGTTGGCTCGTCTGCTTCCCGGTGCGTCTGCAGGCGTGCGTTTGCGGGACACGTGTTCCATCTTCCCGTGGATCCCGACTCCGAAGCCAGCTTTGCGATCCTTCCACGTCAACGAGTCAAACTTTTCCTTGTCATCTGTGGGACGCGACTGCGTATTGCAGTAGCAGCGCGATGGTGCGGTGTGACGAACGACGACTGCCGAGCACAAAGTCCGGGTTCTTTGACGACGGTCCGCGCGTGTTCGAGAGATTCCTCCGCGAGTCGGCGGTCGGCGGCGTTGGTGACGCGCAGTGACGCCAGGATCCTTCGCTTGCTATTGGCTGACGCGTAAAGAGATGCCCCTCCCATTTTTTGGGGTCATCTCAGAAAGGGGGGCGTGCCGGAGACTTTGATAGCAATTTTAGTAGGGAAATCCGCCGCGCATGATTGTAATTTTATGATTTTTAGAATCCTTAGGGCCTGCAGACTGAGTTACCGCCATAAAGAGACCATCGCAGAACGCTCCGGAGGGCCCCTTTAAGGTATTACCGGCAACCACATACCAAATTTACCAATTTACTTTAGAAGGAAAATTTTGTCCACACTATTCCATTGCAGCAATGGTTTAATATTTTTTAACAGCCGAAAAGTATGTATAGATGAAAATTATTTGCAAGGATAGCTTCCCTTCAATTCATGAATTGTGTCTTTTTTTATATGCAAAATATTCATTTAAATAAAAAATTCAAAAACATACCGATACCCAATGTCCTGATCTTGGTCCGAATGCAAGTAGCATAATGGTTTGTCTTTATAACAATAAAATCAACGATGTTTGAATCAAGGCAACGGCTCAAGCCGCCCAATCACGTTTCTGACACATGTTTATCGCTGCATTTTATCAGGTCGTAGCCACAAACGAGTTCTTCTGAGTCCACCCTCATCTTTCAGGTCTACTTTGACAAAGTCAGACTCGTGTAGAAAACATATATCAAACTTCTCCTTGGAGGCAACTTCGCAGTCCCCATTGTTAGAGCTTCCGTGGAACCATCTGAAAAGGGGGTTCCCGCCATTTCATCGACACTTGTTTCATTGACACACGTTTCATCTACAACTTTTTATCGACACTTGTTTCATTAACACTACTGCCGCCCAATCACGTTTCTGACGCATGTTTATCGCTGCATTTTATCAGGTCGTAGCCACAAACGAGTTCTTCTGAGTCCACCCTCATCTTTCAGGTCTACTTTGACAAAGTCAGACTCGTGTAGAAAACATATATCAAACTTCTCCTTGGAGGCAACTTCGCAGTCCCCATTGTCAGAGCTTCCGTGGAACCATCTGAAAAGGGGGTTCCCGCCATTTCATCGACACTTGTTTCATTGACACACGTTTCATCAACAACTTTTTATCGACACTTGTTTCATTAACACTACTGCCGCCCAATCACGTTTCTGACGCATGTTTATCGCTGCATTTTATCAGGTCGTAGCCACAAACGAGTTCTTCTGAGTCCACCCTCATCTTTCAGGTCTACTTTGACAAAGTCAGACTCGTGTAGAAAACATATATCAAACTTCTCCTTGGAGGCAACTTCGCAGTCCCCATTGTCAGAGCTTCCGTGGAACCATCTGAAAAGGGGGTTCCCGCCATTTCATCGACACTTGTTTCATTGACACACATTTCATCAACAACTTTTTATCGACACTTGTTTCATTAACACTACTGCATGGTGCTCTGAAGTTTCATCATCACGCGAATTGCACTATAAATTATGGGAAGTGTGCAACGAGACAGCGATGGCATAGTGTGACTCCCAGCAGGGCCATTTTGCATGCACATTGTGCGTAGCAGCCGACAGACAGCAAGCATTGCATCAGTCCTAGTTTCTAGTCACTTGCGACACGAGCTTCTTAAAGGCCGGTTCACACTCTTGCGACTTCTTAGAACTCGGTGCCTTGAAACCCCTTATGTATGTATGTATGTATGTATGTATGTATGTATTTATGCAACGCTTGCTCTTTGCAACGAGCGTCTGCAAAACAGACCCCCCCCCCCCCCCCCCCCAAAAAAAAAAAAAGGAAAAGAAAGTGGAGTATTGTTGCTGTTGGAGTCGCCGCACTGGCGCTCCTCGTAGTTAAAGGGCTGAAACAGCTCGTCAGATCTCCCGAGACTCGTGCTGTTGAGAACTTCCTGAAGTCTCTCCTGAAGCTTGTCTGCTCGTCTTCTTTCCGTCTGGAGCTGCCTCTTCAACTCCTTCACCGTAGACAATTCTCTCTTGTCCTGCATCTTGCACTCCTCGATGTTGTCCTGTGCTCTTGCTGCAGCTTCTTTGCTTTCTGTCGAAATTGCACTTCTGGTTGTTTGACATCTCCAGCTGAATGGCGAGATCGTTTACGGCATTGTCCAGCTGCGACTTGAGCTTGGTGTAGCCGTCCAAACGTTGCCTTGCTTTGCACTACTTCAGGGCATCTTTGGACTCCTCAAAGGCTTTCTGTAGCATGTACATGCGTTCCTGCGCCTCATCCTTGAGCTGAAGCACCTCATCCTTCATAGAGGGCAGCAGACGCTTGTACAGTGTCAGGGCCGCTTCATTCTCTATCACCATCTATTGGGTAGCAGTGGAAACTTGGCGGTCCGGCGTATTTTTTGTTTCTCTCATGCATTATCTTTTCTTTCTTGGCTTGAAAAGCTTTTGTCAACATTGTAAACGAGCCTTTTTCATAGGTATTACGCACATTTGACCTTGGAAATCCCGCAAAACCTTCGCTCCTGTGAAATGCAGTTCTAGGGTCACCACATAGATGGTGCCAGCGTGTTGCTCGTCCCAAGAAATTTACGAAGTTTTAACAAATCTCGTCTCTCTTGGTAGTACTCGGTTGCAAGTGTGTGAACGGGCCTTAACACTCTCGCATTAAAACCTCAGAGGGCCACAGTTGGCGCTAACTCCCTTTCCTCTAGAGGTGGAATTTGAAAGCACAGATCTTCTCCATACAGTGGCGAAAACAGCCGCAATCATCTCATTTCAATTCTTTGGCTTGCCCTTGACCCCTGATGTGTTAGTGTTCCTCCTCAAACTTGTTTTTGTTTCCACTTTCAGTTTGCACTCTCAATGGGAGGGTGCACCTTCTTGAATGCTGCGCACCTGCTGCTGCCTCCTCCCAGGCGCTACCCTGATGTGCACTCCCTGCTCAATGCGGTGTACAGCTGCGGGCACTTTGTAGTCTTTGTCTCGTACACGCACTACCTCCAGTACCAGCTACCCACCACAAAATACACCAAGATCAAGAAGAAGTGAGAGCAGTACGTCGTGCTGCTGCGTTCGGAAACTTCTACCAACCGGTGCCTTGGTTTCGGGACAATGGGTTGTACACTGAATGACAGTGTTAAAGTAAATGCTCAACTGTTTTGTTTTTTTTTTCCTTTCAATTTGGGATTGCACTGCTCTTTCCAAGTCAGCCAATCCTTTCCATTCTTATTCTCGCAAATTTTTCTTTTCATTTGGTCAACAGTGTTGTGCAGGACTTGTCTTCATTCAGCAATAGTGTGATAAACATATTCTCAACTCCTTTTTATGAAAAAGTTGCCACTTGCCAAATTCAGAGCTCAGGAAATTTGGATTTTTTTTTTTTCTTTATGACAGACATTGCAGAACTACTTTTCCCGCAAACAAATCGTGAAAGGAAGGGTTTGGGTTTTAACTGTTATGTCTTTGGTAGGTATCCCCATGAGGGCTACTGTGCATGTTTGACATCCATTTGTACAGTAACTTGTGGTGTACAGTTCAACCTCGATTTAACGAAATCACCGGGACCCGCTAATTATTTTTTTCGGGAATTTCGTTAAATCGAGGAAGGGAGACCTCGCGCATAAGGTGCACGGGGAATCCAAATTTGTTCATAAAATCGGGTTTCGTTAAATCGAGGGTCAACTGTATTACACCAAGGTGTTCAGGCTGATGATGTTCCCAGTGCCTTCCTGTGCAATGTGGCTAACTCCTACAGCAGGTTACGATTTCGTAAGTGTTTGATTTGCATGTAAATGGCTGACCATGGAGCATTTGGTGCAAGCCTTATGTTTCTCACATGGCCCACCCCATATATTCTGCATCCCCAAACATTGCCCACCCCATGTATTTTTTGGCCATTTATCCCTCAATTTTGGGTGGGCGTTCTTTGCATATTCATGGTGCCAAAGCTGTTTGGGCATTCGAAAGGATTAAGAGAGGACAGAGGATTACTAGTATGCTAGTCGGACCAAATGATGCCAAGTTCCTTGGATGTAATTGATTGTTATACTCTGTGAGCAGATTTCTCTGAAACAAAAATATGTTCTTTATTACCGATTATAAGTAAATAAATCTGTGACAAGCAGCTTCTCATGACTTGAGCATTGGTAAACATCACAGTATGGCACACTCTTGGTAGATTAAGAAGGAACTGCATACAAAATGACTGCACTTCCTATGCAAACAGGCTTCTGCATACAGGCACTTGGTAAACACTCACATACAATATCACAATATTTAAGTCGATTTTGCGCTACAACTCCACAGCTTGAGAGTTTCGTCCATACTCCTTAGTTGTGACCACCTGCGCAGATTGGCGACTTAAAAAAAACATGAGCGGTCTTCGAAACTGTGTTCACTATGGACACGAAGAGGTGGAACACAACAAAGTTAACAAGCCTGTCACTAACACAACTGGCTCCTCAATGTATCACTTTGCAGAGTATTGCTTCAATGTCTGGTCTTTTCATACTTAGTGTACAATGATTTCAAAGCTGCTGGCATGTGGCCTTCAATTCAAGCCACATAGATTAGACATTATTGTGCACCATGTATGAAACAGAGTATACAAGACACTTTGGAATGCATCTGGACTATTAGAAAGGGGACAGATGGTCTATAAAGTTATATCTAAACATCTGAAATTCGCTACATGTAAGCAATACTGGATGTGCAAATAGATCTTGTAAGTGTTAACAGGTCAGCCCATATAAAATACTTTTTTGGAAACATATTCATATCCCAACCCGTCGACAACTGGGGCATCAAGCTCATTGGCAACATGTGCAGTCGGTTGGCACAGCAACTGTTAGAAATTACAAAGCAAAAAGAAAAGTTTTAAAATCCCACCAAAGTCTGCGATACGTTGACAATGGCTCGCACCAAAACCGAATGGGCATGTTAAGCAGTCGGTCCCCCTATGTTTTTCCTCCCAATCGAAGAGCGTGCGTCTATCCTTCACTGCTGGCATGCGCCCTTCACAACGAGGAACTCGTCCAAGCTTCCCTTGTCGATGGCTTGAGGGAGCCAGCGCTGCATGAGCAGCTCTTCGAGGTACCAGATCTGCCAGTCGCGTCCCATGGACGTCACTACGATGTAGCTTCCGCCGTCTTCCTGCCACTGGATGTGCACGTCCTGAACGCCCGTCCAACGTTTGAGCAACTCCCGAACCTCATCCATGTTCTCCTTGAGCTTGCGGTGAAAGGCCGGGTTGGCGATCGGGATCCGAACGGGGTCGCGTTCGGTCACCTCTTGGTGAGGTTCGTGCAGGGTCGGGTCGCAGGGTAGCCCGAGGTGGCAGGGGTCGAGGGAGACCGCCAGGGAACTGTAGGTGCGCAGCGCCACCATGGGAAGCCGGTGAGTTTGACGGTGGCCCTCGTAACCCCCGCCGCTGCACACATTGTGCGGGCAAAGTTCTTTGGGCAGTTCGAGGTGCTCAAGGCACCAGCGGAGGAAACGAACCACCAGCGTTCCTGCACTCGGCTCATCTTTGCTCGGAGGAGAGCCGAGCTTGGGTGCTGCCTCGACACCCCGGTTCTTGTCGCCGTCTTTGGGGGCAGCGCTTGATTTTGGCTTCCCGATTGAGCCAGCGTCTTCGTCGAAATCTTGCATCGAGGAAGAAATGACTGAGTTGAGGCTGGGGCTTGCTTCTCTGGGGTTCTGCTGTGTCTTGGAAAACGTGGGACAGCTTTTGCAATCACCATCTTGTCCTATCTGTGCCAGGGGACCATCGTAACAGTTGGCATCCAAGTTTCCTCCAATGGCCCCCACGTCACCTGGTCCGTCGCCAGGAATGCAACGTTCTACAAGGCATTCCTTTTTGGTGCATAGCAGTGCCCCCGTAAAGTTTCCTTCACCTTCCGACTTCTCTTCGGCAACTTCCGTAATCTTGGCCTCATGTAGCTGCATGTCCTTGCCACAAGCAGACGAGAGAGACCACGACAGCTTCTGGCTCGACAAGAAGTCTTCGTACACCTTGAGCAGACAGCCTTTGCAGAGGCCCGGCTTGCCATCTGTGCTCTGCCCGAGCAGCGTCTCCCCTCTCAGCCACCTTTCAATGATGACGTACGCCACCCAGAAGGCGTCGTTCCCGCCCTCGGCCGGAACCGCGTTGTTTTCAATGAGGTCGTCTATCTTCTTGGAAAGAACGTCGGGACACCACCTCTTCTGCTCGTGCGTCGCCCTCCGAAGCACCTCGACGAGAACGTCTGCGACACACCACGGGAAGCTGAAGAGCCCGGTGTTCGGCCTGTCCGGGCTGTACGTCACCATGTACCAGGCAGACGCCTTCTGCATCTTCCTCCGCGTCCTCTCCTCCTCCTCGTCCTCGAGACCCTCCTCTTTGAGCTCGGTGAGGAGCTCGGAGAAGAACACCTCCCGCGTCGTCTCCGTCAGAAACTTGGTCATCTTCTCGACGAGGTCCTCCATGTTTAGCTTGTCTGACTGGGCGTTGTGGTACGTGTCGTACGTGCTCACCATGCATGCCATCGCCTCACCTTCCGACGCAATCCCGTACTGGTTCAGGATCCTGCGGAGTCGGGTGTTGTAGTCCGCGAGTGCCGCCAAGGCCGCGCTCTTGTACCGCTGCCATCCTGGAACGTCCAGGGCGAGACACCTGCCCGCGTCGACGTGGCGGTGCCCCAGGCTACCCACGGCCGCCTCGAGCGAGCGGCACGTCCGGTACAGCAGCCCGAGGACGCGGTCTGACCGGTACGAGATCTTGTGGCTCCCTTTCTCCATGAAGTCTGGGTAAAACATGGGACGCTCTTCGCGGCGGAGGTAGGCCGTCCGTCCACTCTTGGCGAAGTCTAGGCAGATGCTGATCTTCTCCGCGATGGCGAGACAGCGGCGCGAATAGATGCCTTCTTCTTCTTGGTCAGCCCAGGCCAAGTGGGCATTGGACAGGATTCCGATGGAGTCATTTTTTATGTAGTTACAGAGGAACTGTATCATGTCGTTGATCTGGAACATAAAAGACGTGGCTTTAAGTTATGCCTCAAGAAACCTGAAGTGGCAAGGTGACTGCTGGTGACTGGCTGGACTCTGAAGGAACATACAGCACCCTACTGTTTCATTTATTGTTTCAAAGCAAGCAGCTGAGGTTCCAAAATATGTCTGTGCTACCAGCTGGCAAGGGGGAAGAGTTTTCACAAAGCAAAACCACAACAAACATAGCCAGTAGACAACCAGCCATTAGAACTGTTCTGTGGCTCAAAGTCAAATTAGCTTGTGCCACCTCTTACCAAACAAAAAGAATGAAAGTTCCCTTTTTGGCTTTAGGGCTATTTGGTCTTCCTTCTAACTGGCTTGTCATGTGTGGGTTTGACGGCGCAAAGAAAAAGCAGGTGCACAGACCACGTTGGGTGCAGACCAAAATCTCACCGTGATCTCGCCTCTCTCCGGCTCGGGGTTTCGGTCGGAGAAGTTCATGGGCTGCTTGTTGTAGCCAGGGAACAGGAGGCTGGGCTCCCAGATGACGATGTATTCGTCCCCATCCAGGTCCGATCCTTTAAAATAACGGAAAAAAAATACACATTCTCACTCAATGGCATCTTGCTGCCCAAAGTTGCATGGATCAAGCACATGAAAATAGAGTTGTCCAAAACATTAGCAACCAGGGTGTGGGTCTGTTTTAGGTTTAGTAGATCAAAACAAGCCCCTCCCACAAAGCTTCACACGATGGGTGGTTTCCAACTCTCCTCCCTTCCGGCGTTCGCTTGACTATTTATGAACTTGTTTAGTTGGCTCTAGAGGCCCCGACAAGGCCTTTAGACTGACCGACACCGATACAAATATGAATGGCGAATCCACAACAAATAGTCCCAATCACCTATGCAAAGACTGAAGAACAAAGTGCTGAGCGATAGAAATCTACGAGCGACACGAAAAAATCATGGTCTCCGGCAAGAGCTATTTCACTTGCCAGCTCATTCGGTTGAGGGTAGGAAGCTCGCGCTAAGGCGGGACAACTAAAGATTCACTTTGCACTTCTCACCCCGGCAGCAACTATTGGCGACAAAATGCTTCGGTGGTGCCCTCTTGTGGTTCCTGTCCCCGATGTCGCAACTAGAATTATTAGTAGCCAGCGACAAGTTCTATAGCGCATAAAAAGTACAATGGAAGCCTTAGTCATCATGTTTCTAAATCAACGTCGTCAGAACTGAGTCTGACATTGCTCTTGTTTCCATCGATGAGAGCAGAAATAATCTTACTCGAGACGTCGTAGCGAGCGTTTGGCCAATCATGGATGGCCAATCACAGACGCTTTGGTTGCGCACGTTGCCAATGGTAGGGGGTGTTAACAAAGCGTGTTCTCAATCTCTAGATAGAAAAAGGAATGATGAGCTGTGCAAAATCACGTAGACAAGATATCAAAGCCACAGTCACGCTGTACATATGTCGTTAGGAAGACGCGGTGTTTGCTGCACGAGCATGTTCGAAGCATGTTCGCTTTATGTATGCTTCCAACGCGTCTGCAGACAGTTTTTGTATGACCAATGTGCCACACAGACCGTCTTTTGTACAATGTATTAGCAGTGTGATGGCTTAAAACCGTCCCAGGTTTGTTATCTAACTCCATTTCTAGCTGTGGAGAATCACCAACCGGCCATCTCGTCGGGGTGAGGCCTGTGTCCCTGCCCAGGGAACACGATGCAGTCGACGACATGATGGAGGCGCGGTTCGTCGATGGCGGTGAACTTGCGCACGTCACCGGGGTGCAGGCAGGGGCACTTGGTGACCAGGACCTGTCCCGTGATGACCCTGCACTTTGGGGGCCCCTGCTGGGATGCCCTGGCACCCATCTCGCTGCACTGGACGAACACCTGTCCGTAGCGGAGCACGCCGGTGGTGTCCACGACGCCCAGCATGTTGCGTGCCCGGTCCACGGGCAGGGCAATGCGGGTCTTGTAGCGCAGCCCGGCTGCATGCAATACGACCACTAAGTTGCTTTCGCTAGAACAACTATGTGAGTTTTGGCACCTGCGTTTACATAGCCCAGTGAAGCGTGGAAACCTTCTCTAAAAATTGCTGTAGAAACCACTATTGTTGGTTATCTATGAATTGCGATAGCATTCGTCTAGGGCAACCTCAAGGACGACGTCCTAAAGGACGACGTTGAGGATGACATCCTAGAGGATGACCTCGGAGACGTCTAAGAAGACCTCTAGGGCGATCTGAAGGACGACGTCAAAGACGACCTCTAGGATAACATCAAGGTTATCAGGTCCTTTGAAAAGGGTGCGAATGTGAGCTGAAATGGTCTACTGCGCATACCTAGTGTGCACTAGGAGGCCAGAAAGTACCAAAATATATGGAGGGGGGTTTGTTAGCTAAAGAATTCTATGTGCACCTTTGCATTTGTGTAGTCCAGTTTGCTACTTGCGGCCCATTTTAGCAGACGGGTTATATATAAGAGACAAGCTGTCCATATTTTTAGATATAACACTGTCATCGTACACCTATCAGTCTAACTTCTAAATCTGGTGATATGGATAGCCAAATTTATAAATTGCTTAAGTTTATAAGAAATGCAAGTGAACTATAAGGTTTGTTTCTTGGCACCTCAATTACAATGATGTGCTGACATGTGCAATGAATGGATCCCGCGAGGTTGACTGTAGGAGACAAGAAAGAGTTAAGGTGCTCCTTCCGAGCTATAGCCCAAACATCCCATGTGCAGAATGCATTGGTGATATATACGCAAATCTGGGCAGCGTGACGTAAAAGGTCGTCGTGCCACATGACCAGACATTGTGTAATGTGGCATCGCACTACACGACGACTTGACACCCAACATTACTAGATCTAACGTTGCCACTGTCACATTACACGACACTAAAACTTCACATACGAGTTACATGACCTGATACAACATGGTACAAGAACATGACACTATGATGTCACATGAACTGATGATGTATCTTGGCTTAGTCAAGAGAGCCATAGCGGTGCTAACCATGCGACTCATAATGGCGTCCTGCTAGCCCGGCAATATTAACCAATGATGTCACTTCCATTCACAAGGTACAGCTATGGCCATGCAAGTCCCAGCTTTACTCCCGTTAAACTTCATTGTGCACTTAGAGGATGCCTCCTTGTGGAGGAGAAGGGCTGACCGACGGCGTTGCGGTAGACGGCCAGCAGCAGGGAGCGGAAGAAGGGGTCAAGGGTGAGCTGGAAGCCCGCCCGCGTCAAGTCTTGGAAGGGCAGGGCCAGCTTGGCCCAGGAGGACAGCATTTCCACCGCGTTGCGCTCGCACACCAGGGCGTCCGTGAACTCCAGGATCATGTCGTCCTGGAGCCGAATGAACACGTCCGCAGGCACCCCCAGTTGCTCCAGGATGGTGATCAGTGGTCGGTTCAGGGTCACCGAGCCTGGGTTCCAGAGGTCACACGGGGGTTCCAGAGGGTCTCGCCCTTTGACAGTCACCGACATACATTTACGGTGGCCATTACGCACTTGAAAGTTTCCGCTTCAACGCTGCTGCATTATATTTTTTTTTTCGGAACTATAAACATTTTTTTCACACCCGTTCCGGTGGGTTGCTAAGGCTATTTATATTTTCATAATTAGATGCTCCACGCACATGGTGTGCACGAGACGATCGCTTCGCTTGTCGACTGTTGTGGTGGCAATTGAAGTGCTGGCTCTCCCGATTCAGACTTCTAACGCTTCTCAGAATTTCATTCGGAAGATGAGGGCTCACCATCCTATAGAGATGCTCTGTAAAGTACCTCTGGTTGGTGGTCAAGGCTGACAGAATGTTGCGCTAGCGGAATTACCAAAATGAAACCGAACGGAAGGAAGGTGACGACTCTCCACCCTCAATATTTCCATTCAATGCTTCTCAATCTGGACAGCTTCGAAGCATCGTACATGCTCCAATTAGATAATAAAAAAATAAACCTACACGATTTTTTTTGTACTATCCTCTTGGAAAAAGGGAAAAAATGAGACATTTACAATTCTCTGTAATGTCAAATTAGAGCGCAGCTCTTGAGGAGGAGGAGGGGAGGGTATGTCCCTGCTCCTCCTCTGTATCCTCCCCTCCTCTCCTGCCCCCCTCTCATGTCCCAGGGAATTTTTGCTAAATTTCCCGCTAAATTAAGCGAAAATTTCGTCGCTGATTTAGCAGGGAAACTCAATAGGTGTTGAGGTCACATGCTGTCAAATTCCCCGCTAAACATGGCGGAAATATTTCCCGCCAAATTTAGTGAAAAATTTTCCCACCAAATTTAGCGGGAAACATTTACCGTCGTGACATCATTATGGGAAACGTCCCATAATGCAACGCGCGATTACGCCGACGCCGCTCAACTCGGAAACTAATGCCTAAAAGCTGCGCTCTAAAAAAAAAACCTGACCAGTAGGGCACATTCTTTTTCAAAATGAAAACCTAACCCTGAAAGATTTAGGCGGCAGTGGGGTGTGTTTCCATCCTATGCCGCCTGTGCATCGAAAGTGGTTTTAAAGTGGCAATAAATTACGTAACGGCAGGTAGCTTGTCACATGTCGCAACTCTGGCTGTGGGTCGTGGAAGTTCCAAAAACATATGTTGGCCAGTGCAAGTGTCACCATTGTTGCGGAGTCCCAATTCGTGATTTCAGACGCCTCGGTGAACTGTCGAGCAACCTACAGCAAAACAGGAGTCTGCCAGATTTACCTCTGCTACTGCGACATCACCAAGATCGGGGCAGGCAACAGTGTGACGCATATGCGACGTCATCAGGCGAAAAGCGAAAGACTGCAAACGAGGGTGTAATATACAGACCAGCTGGAGATGCATTCCATATCAGCTGGTCTGACTGAGGCCGACAGTGAAACCTGACATACAAGAATTAAAAAAGATGTCTTTAAAGGGATACTTCAATGAAATTGGAAATATATCCGTCGTGTTCAAAAATAGGTTGAATATGATCCACAATATCCGTAAATGACAATCGCACGTTTGTATTTTGAGCCTGGTGGCTGTATTTTTGTTATAAACGACCCACTCTGGCAAGCGCTCGGAGAAGGCCCAGCTTAGAGCACGTGACATCCAACGCAATCGTGACGTAGGTCGTCTCGGGACGAGCAAAGCTACAGCGAGGCTGACGTCAAGGGGATGGTGTAGTCATTCCAGCCACCGAAGCGGCTGCTTTTGTACAAATTTCAAGTGACGGGTTAATCTTATATAATCTTGTAGGGGGACAATAGCTACTTCTGGAACACATAAAAGGGATTCTCGGGAAAACGGGAGTTCCTCCTTCCCCCCTTCTCTCGTCGTGGCCAGAGGCGAGACACTCGCCGTCACTAGCTGTCAAGGTTCCTAGACTGGCATATGCAGAGGGCAAGTGCGTCTGCTTCTTGCGCAGGGGGTAGCGGTGAAGTCAGAAAGCCGAGCCCTGATTGGCTGATCGCGACCCCCTATCTGAGCGTCGTCTGCTCCTTTGCAACGTCGTCTGCGTCTGTCTTACCTTTCCTGCGACTTTCGGAAGCGCAGAGGCCAGATTCACGAAACTATCTTACGCCAAAAATGTGCGTAAGACAAAACTTAACAACAAATTCGTATTCACGAAACAAACTTTTCGTAAGTTTTGCGCAGGTTACAACGAAATCCTACGACAGCTCCGAAGCTGTCTTACGCACTTCTTACGATCAAACCAGGATGGCTGACAGCGTCGCGGTCGCGACGACCCACGGACGTTTATTTTTCTATGTGCGCTTCTCACGCGTCCCGACTTCAAGCAGCAAGAAAAAAGTAAAAAGTACTTGAAACAGACCGAAACGGACAAGAACACTGGATCCACCAATACCCGGAAAAGGTTCCAACGGTTACGATTCCACCGAACGCGACCAAGCGAGCTGGGCAGTTAGGCCTAGGAGGCACTCCGCGACTCGGCGGCCGTCTGCCCACGACCGGCTGGCGTGCTGAATGGAATATACCCGCGCGACCCTTGTGAACCCTTCCCGTATTATACTTTGATCGCTGACCTCAATTTTAGATTAAGAGGTCAATTTCTTCCTCTTGTTAGCTCCTTGTTTCCCGAGGCAACGGTGACTCTCGCCGGTGAAAAAGCGGTGAATCTCCGACAGACGCAGGAAAGATAAAGCAGCCATCGCTTTGACTAGCAGACGTAAAGCAGACGACGTTAACTGCGCCAACCCGCCGACGCCGTTAAAGAGTGGGGTCTCGCCGCACACGAAAGGAGGGAAAAAGCATTTGGGAGGGAACTTGCAGACACTGACACGCTCAGCTCTCGGTTCTTAGCAAACAAACCTCGGGACACCTCGCCAGTGAGTCCTTTGACTTCCCTCCTTGATGTGCATCTGCTAGTTGTTAGAGAAAAAAACATACCGCTCGAGTTATTTCGTCTGCCCTTTCTGAAAGGCGAAGTCGAGCTTGCTCGTAAAGACCTGCACTTCCGAAAGTCGAGGAAAGGTAAGACAGACGCAGGCGATGTTGCGAGCAGATGACATTGCAAAGGAGCAGACGACGCTGAAATAGGGGGTCGCGATCAGCCGATCAGGGCTCGGCTTTCTGACGTCACCGGTACTTCCTTTCTCATGCGCAGAAGACGAAAATGAGCCCACTTGCGAGGCGTATACAAACGAGGCGTTAACGACATCCACCAGGTGCTCTTTGCTAATTGTTTAATTTGTTTCAAAATTTCTTTTCGTGACTTTTTCAACAAGATATTGGTGTGTTCGAAGTGATATTGCTCCTTTGAACACATATAGACCATAAAATAAGTGCCAAAATTTCGTTGTAGTATCCCTGTCTTTAATACAGCCAAGCCCAGGTTCCTCTAAATGGTATTCACCACTGACTCGATGGATCGTCCTATCCTGATGTTACTGGTTTTGTAGAGGAAGCTGTCTCAGAGACTCAGCACATACATGAAAAAATCCAAAGCAAAAAGCACTGGAAATGGAAAGAGAAATCTGACCTGGATAAGAGCTGCCTGTTGAATGCTTTATAGAGTAGAAGGGTTTACTCTGAGTGCCAAATAGTGGAAGTAAAACAAATGTGTCTGTATTGCTTACAGAGGAACAGCGTTTTCATAAAATGCTTTTTTGGATTGTCCCAACTTCGGGCAGGTGGTAAAGATTGGAGCAGAGCACAGAAAATCGTAAGCATTGACATTGGTGGTTTCGAAAGAATAAGCAAAAAGGAAAGCCAAAAATATGGAAAAAGTAAGCAGATGAATAGTAAGGCTTGTTTGTTTTAGCACAAAGCTCTTGGGTTGTTCCGTGGTTTGTCAACCTAGTCTTCATTCATAACTAGCACGACGTGGGTGTCTTCTTACAAAATGAAGTTGAAAAGAATGGGTACCAAATCACATTTTGGCTCCTCGCATTTATTAAGGGGTCGACAACAATTTCATTCATTCATTCATTTATTTATTTCACCTTAAGGGACTGTTAAGGGCATTAAGGTGAAATTCCGGCCCACCAATGATTGCTTCTATGCCCCATCATTTCGAAGCGGTCAAAAGATGCAGGAAAATGGTAAATTTCTTTCTTCTTCTAAATATATGAGCCTTTTGTTTTGGGACAAGGCAAAACCAAATCCAGGTAATGCACTCGCCCCAAGGGAGTGTGGAGCTTACGTGGTGCGGACACCTTGACAACCTCGAGGTAATCCGAGCTGGTGCAAGGGAACTTCTGCATGCTGGGGCGCAGGTACAGCAGCTTCTGGTTGGGCAGCTCCGGGTTGATGCACAGCATGCCCTTGGCTCCTGCGTAGCGGATCTGGATGGCAGACGGCCGCTCCTTTAGCTTCATCACCTTGTACACCTGCGGCAAACAAGGGACACACCACAACGACCACCTTTAGCAAGCTGTCCGATTTTCATGGGCATCTAGAATGGCAAAAGCTGTTGGAGAACAAAAGCTTTAGCGGAATATTAGAAGTATGGTTTTCCACGATAAAAAGACCTAGTCCCGAGGCAGTTTGTGCAGTTGTACTACCGTAAAATATTGCAGAAGCGCCCACTATTAACATTTCCCAAACTTTGGGATACTGCAAATCATACGTTAAGGATCTGGTTTGACCAGACAAGCACCTGGTTTGACCAGACAAGCACCTGGTTTGACCAGACAAGCGCCCATGTCCAGGTTAACCTAGTTTTTAGTGAAAGTAGGCGGCAACCTGGGCCTGGCCAAAGCGCAACCAGCACAACTTGAAACCGCCTTGTTAAATTGGTCTCTCATATTGTCGGAGACTGTATCATATTTGCGCGAGTTGAACGCAACCTTTTAAAGAAAAGACCAGCACATCCATGGGAGGCAGAGACATCCACATACCCATTATATGCTGTATCTACAGATTTACAACATAGAACATGCTCGGCGGTGCTGTTGAGTATGTCTGATCGTTCGCCCGTTCCGCTGGTGCTCCTGCTGCCGACCTCTCAACCCTGTGGTACGAGAGAATACTGCTCTCTATGGCTCATGGCAAACCTACGTGATGCCACACATCTCCTTCCCCACGTGACACATGCAGAACCAGTCTCACATTTCTGGACAGAGACTGGTGGCAACAAAGATACAGTATAGACCACTTACAACGTAACCGCTTATAGTGCAGGACCGGGTATAACGCGGTTTTTTTAAACCACCGGTTCGCCTCCCATAGAACTCCATGTAATTACATACCGCTTAAAATGCAGGCGCGCGAAGGGAAATACCGGTTATAGTGCGGTTTCTGGCACAGCCCGCCGACCGCGCCGACGACCGGAGCAGCGAGCACGCTTCCCTGTGCGACACTAGATAACGGCGCGAGCCGCAAACGGCACTCGCGGGGCAAGGAGGTTGCTCGGAGAAGCGAAGAGAGAGGCTTCATTTGCCATAGCGACGGAAGGACGCACGCACGTGTCGTTCATGTGCGTGCGTCCCTCCGCTGCGTTGGAAACAAACAACCGAAACGACAGACCAATCGCAGGTCGAGAAGTGTTCGCGCGCGTTGCATGCCAATCGCGGGCCGGCGGCTTCTGTCCGCAAACATGGCGTCGGTTGTGGCGTTCATCTCATCGTTCCGCGTAAAAACGCTATCCTTGACAGTGAATTTTCGTTGCGTGTCGCTATGATAACCCAGCACGTACTAGAAGGGAAGATCCACCTACTCGTGCGGCGATGTGGCGGCGCTCTCAAGACGGCAGAAACGCCCGTGTCGTCGTGTTTGTTTACTTCGGCTAAAGTGGTGCTTTTTAAGCTTCTGTGTTTTCGAACATCGCCCGGATTTCTTATTTGGAGCATTTCATGCCTGTGCTCAAGTTCAAGGTATTTTTCTGGCGCGTACCGTATGAAGGATGCGAATTTTCACGCGTTTTCATCTCCGGAGAAAAGTGATTAGGGTTAGTAATCCTAAACGCTCGCAACGTCCGTCCGCAACCCGCGACGCCGTTAAAAGGCTGCGCCAGGCAAAAGCTGCTCATTTCTTTCAAAATGTGTGACACACTTGAGAGAGATGTGTACTAGTCTGGTGAAATAAAGACTTTTCTCAAACTAAGCTTTATTTTTCATCTAACATAAAATAAATTCTTTTACAAAGGTAGGTTGTCTCATGGCATGCATTTTGGCCTGAAAAATTGATGTTTTGGTTATAACGCGGTACCGCTTATAGTGCGGATTTTCGCGACTCCCACGACATACGTTATATGCGGTCTACACTGTAGCAGCTTGACTTGAAGCAGCAGCAGCATATGCCATATTTTGAGCATGATCTTAGCATGTTCAGAATCCCAGAGCAGACTGGAAACTGAAAGCAAATTAGGTGCAATTTCTGAGAGCAACTTTTGAAATAATAAGTTAATACAACTTCCACACGAAATACCCCCATGGATCTACTTCATTTCAGGGATATCCCAGATACTTAATTACCCCTAAAGTTTTATCACAAATAGACCCCTCCATGGAATGAACCCTCAGAGCCTTTGGGAACCTTTCTGAGAAAGTTTCCCAAAGTGACACCTAGCGAGGAGCACCAACCTCCTGTGCCAGGGGCACGGACATCATGCCGACGCCGTCCGAGAAGACGTAGGGCTTGCGGCTGACCGGGTGGGCGCCCCCCTCCATGTCGGGCACCATGCGCACCTCGTGCTTGCGCACCAGCACCGCCTGCTCTGTGGAGGAGAAGCACTGGCCCATGCGGGCCATGCGCTTGGCCACGTTGGGGATGCCGTCGAAGCGCCCCATCCAGTCCCGGATGGTGCCCGCCGTGTTCTGCTGCTCGTCCACAGCGTACATCCACGTCCTGCGCCCGGCGGCGAGAAAAAAAATCGCCCGGCCTTATTCGTTTCGTTAAACGCAGGGAACGTGCAACAGCACGGGATGGGGTCTTTGATGAGCGGCCCTTTCTGTCGGAATTCAGTGGGGATGTTTCCCAGCTAAATTCAGCAAGGACATTGCAACGTCGCGTCGCATGACAGTGATGTCATGTGACACCGTGTAGCGCTGTAACGTCACGAGACACCATTACGTCGCGTGACACTCGGAAGTCCCAGTGAAGCATCACGCAATGCGACAAGAGCGATATTGCACGCAGAAAACATGGAAAAGTTGATATTAACTGAATGTGTGCATAGCCTGCCGAGTTGTATCCATACTACAGCGTGGAGCATGCAATTCTAATGCAAATGCACAATGGTTGGTCCTAAACGCAGTACGAAATATCCTTAGTGTTTTGTAAACCCAACCCGGAACTCACCCGTGGTCCCTCAGCTGACTGGTGGAGGGTGCGAGAAACTTGAACTCCCGGGAGCCGACCCGGAGGCCCTCTCGCATCGCTCGGCCCACCACTACATCCAGAATGTCATCCCGGGACGAGTGCAGGTGCAGGGTGAACGACAGCTTCTCCATGTTGTCGTCCCGGAACGAGGCTCGGATGGCGAACTCGGCATTAAACTGGCGCAGGACCCGGTTCTCAAAGTGCACCTACAAAATGTCCGCTCAATTTTTTCGAAGCGCACACGACGTCTACAGCATTTACTTTGGTCGATATTAACTGTATGTATTCAGTGGCAGCGATTTCTAATGGTTTGGGCAATGGTTGGAGAAGCATTTAGGGAAGGCAAACTCTCGCACGTCCCCTCAACATGCAATAGTGTTTTTATTTCGCTCCCATTACACGACGTCACGGGCAGCCATCAAATTCTGAGGTTTTGTGTCTTGGTGCCATCCAACTGCCAAACTATGGTACTATTGAGAAAGAGAAGTGATGATGATGATTAATTGTTTAATGGTGCAAAAAGCAACATAGGCCATGCTGCACCAAAGAAATAACTAAGAAAGTCTATAGTTAGAAAAAGGAATTACTATGCAGATCTGTAACTGGTGTAGGTAGCCACTTTGTTTAAGAAAATCTAAAATGCGACCAAAAGGAACTAAAGGTTCATCTCCCAGCAGAAAGGCTGGAGGAAATGGAAGATATACGGAAAACGAGGGGAAACTTGTTTGACATTCTTGATCAAACAATTTGCAGTGACACAGAATGCGAAATATAGTTAGCAATTCACCGCAAAGTTCGCAGACTGGAGTGTCCTCACCAGAAGGCTGATGTCGATGGTTCACATGTGAATGCCCAATTCTCAAACAACACATTAAAACTTCGGTGTGACGGTCTCTATGGTGCAAACACTCCCATACCTCCAAATGTGGTTTGACAACATGTAGCTCATTATCTATTTCTTTGTCCCATTCTAACTGCCCGGCATTATGAATTGCTTTTTTAAGAACTGGTTTAAAATCTTCTTGAGGCAGTCCAACGGGTGTTTCCAGAGCATCCTTACACAGGCTGCTAGCCTATCTGCCTTTTCATTACATGAAATTCCCACATGGCTTGGTACCCAGCACAGCTTGATAATGTATCCCATTTGGAAAGCCAGGTCTAACTCTACACCAGCGTTGCGGAGTTGCCACTCCGGAGTTAGAATGATTCCGGAATCATTCCGCATTTTCACGACCCCGGAATGGAATGGGAATGGAATGGTGGCAACGTTGAATTAGATGCCTTTTGCCCAGAATGGAATGGGAATGGAATGGGCCCGGTTTTTTACTTCATATATATACCTTATTTTCCGGACTATAGTCTGCATCCGGTGTATAGTCTGCAAAAGAAAATTTGGGGTCAAAAATAAAAGATTTTGCTTAGATAGCCCGCACCCGGTGCATAGCTTGCACCCGGTGCATAGTCCGCACCTGGTGCTTAGTCGACACAAAAATCTTCTCATAGACGGCACACGTTTACAAATGTCTGCTTTTTAGGCCACAATAAAGCCTATAATGTGCATAAACCATCATTAACATACACTATCGTGCACAAAATTCGTCACGTCTCGTCCTAATAAACAATCTTGAAAAACATAATTCCTGTATAGTCCGCACGCGTAGATAGTCTGCACAGCCAGAAATTTAAACTTTTAAACATGTATAGTCCGCAGACTATAGCCCAAAAAGTATGGTATATATATTTTTTTTATTTTTGTTTTTGAGGGGGGGGAGGGGGTTACGTCCAGGTATGCCGAGCCAGTCAGCGAGTCAGTTGCTCCGAAATAAAATGAGCGGGAAACTGCTAGCCTGCGTGGAGCCATATAACGGACTTGTATGCAAAAAAGTGCAATACAAAAAACATGCGTCAGAGCAAAGACCAGAGGGGGGAGGGGGGGGAAGGGGTGGCGGTGGCGCCTTTCACGGACGCGGAGAAGACGGGCTTCACTGGTGTTACACGAGATCGAAACAATAAACCAAGCACAAAGCAAAAGAAACGCAGGGAAAGGGAACGGCAATGAAAGAAACCGCCATGCAGGGCTCTTCATCGTCCTTCCTGTCTTGCTTTTTTTTTTTTTTTTCTTGACGTCATGGAGGATGCACGCACGCGCACAGATTGAGATCTGGGAGCAGGGGGCGACTAGTAACTCGCAGAGCTCTGATAACTCGTTGACTTGCACACCGCCGAAAGATGATCAGTTCTTGTTTTCTTATAGTTCGAGGAGCGTTCTTTAGCAGGTGGCCAACCCTGCTTCCTTCCACGTTCATTCGCGCGCACTCCTTTGAAGTGCGAAATCTGGGTTTGCTTCGGCATTAAAACAAAGCGAGGTCAATTTCCCTCTTCTCCTGTTGCGCTTTGCTCCGGCGCTTGTTTTTTTATACTGCATTTGACGTGTAAGTTTGCCTTTTATTTGGTCTTTGTTCCGATGCCTGTTTTCTGTGTTAAATGTTTTACATTCAAGTGGGTTAGGGTTAGAAGCAAGCTAGCGGATGCCCGCTCATTTCCCTTGACTTTAATCTCTGCATACCTCGTTTCACCTTGCGATGGACCAGTGCGGACGCTTTGAGTCACCCCAGGCAATCCAGCACCGTAAGCTTAGTAAGATAAGTGCTTTTTTTGAATGATTAAGCATTTTTTAGCAATTGTTTATGCGTTCGATAATGTCAGCTTTATGCTGCTTTTGCCGGACACATTGTACAATGTAGCTGTCAAGTGCCAATCTTTACGTTTAGGAATTGGAGGAATGGAATGGAATGCTCCATCCATTCCAGGAGTGGGAATGGTCCTAGTGTCTCCATTCCTAGGAGTTGGAAGGAATTGAATTACCGAAAACTCTAATTCCCAGAATGGAATTAGAATGGAATGGGGGCTCCCATTCCGCAACACTGCTCTACACATACTTGTTGTGCAAGCCGATTCTTGGAATAACTGAGGGAACAAAGAAAGAGGATAGCACTCTCGGAGTCCACAAACAAAATGGCTTTCCTGATATCGTTGCCTAAGATACCGTAAAGTACCGATCAAGTGCCCACTCAAAATTTGGAGATAATTGCAAGAAAGTGGGAAATGGGTGCTTGTTAGGTTACAAAGTTTATCTATATCTGTACTGTGCATATTTTTTCAGATGTCACAACATTTAGGGATGGGCACTTAGTATGGAATGGGCAGATGTTTGGTATTTTACGGTATATTCAATTGCCATGAGCACACCATAAAGCTCTGCAGTAAAATTGCTTTCTTTCACAAAGTGCTCTGAATATGCAGCCGAACCAATAAAGTATGGAGCTTTTGCACTATCACTGAAGAACTGCATGTGCATAGTCCTTAAAGGGCAACTCCGCTCAATTCCGAAGATTTCGGGATAATGAGTGATTTCGAATTAAAAAGCCCTAGTAAAACACACTACGTCGTTTGCTTCCCGAAAAATGGAATATATATATTTTTAAATCTAATTTTAAACACGAGCGGAAATCGAAACCAAAACTCCGGCTCCGTCCGGCAACATCGGCCTCAGGCCGCCAAGTACATGGCCATCACGTGGTACGAGATGTCACGTGATCCTCGGCCCAACGACGGGCGGGATGGGAGTGGCGGGCTTGCGGCAGGCGCGAGTGTCGTCTGCACCGCACTCTTCGCCATGTTTTCGTGTCCACGGCATTCGACGACGTCTGCACAACTGCGGCGTAAGTCTGGGACTCTGCGCACGTGGTGTCCATAGTGTGGACGAAACTCCGAGAGGCAATAATCACAAACGGTGAGACGACGACGGTGGTTGTGACGCGGAAGACGGCGGTAACGGCGGGACCACGGCGGGCGATTGGTGTGCTCCCAAGAAGCGCGCTGCGCACGCGCGTACGCCAATCACGTGGACACCGCTGAGCGCCAAGAGGCAACGTTGCTGACGTCACGCGCTACGCTCGATCGGAGAAGTAAAAACAAGCAAAAGGGGGCCATGTAGATGGCGTTTAGCTCAATGTTGGCTCCGCCCATGCCGTAGCCTTGACTGCGCTGTTGGTTGCGCCTGAATTCGCCCGCTCGAGTCAGCCGATTTCGGCAACTTGGCGAGTTGCAAAGTTTGCCGGACCGTTTAAGAAACATTAAGACAGAACTGCGTCGTAATATTTGACGTGTGGTCTTCCTATGCGATACTGAAGAGGACTGCATTGTTTTTTCAAAACCAAAAATGAAGCGGAGTTGCCCTTTAAACTTAGTTTGCAAGGTCATAGACTCTTGCTGAAGGACTAGTGGTAAAACAGATCGCTTATTGTATTTGGCCAGCAACCAACCACAGGTATAGTGCACTGCCTTCCAAGGGGCAGTGCTTCGAGCCCTCGTCAAGCTCAGGAAATGCAAACAGCAGGTATGCAGACATGCTTTGAATGCCGAGGCTTAAAGGCTGTACTATACTTGGCTTGTTCTAAAAGGCACATAAAAACTTTCAGCCTTTCCACTCTGGTAAAGAAAGAAGACCAGCGGAGCTGTACAATGGAAAATAATGGATGGCCGCAAGTCGGCAAGACAGTGTGGAAAGGTTGCCGCCTTCTATGAGCGACGGCGGCAACCAAATACGTGGCCTGCCGCCGTCGGCCATAGATGGCAGTAGATGTCCAAAGTTCGGCGTCTTCATTTCTTTGCAGGGGACACGATCCTGGGGAAACTAGCCCTCAATAGCTCCGCTGTAAAAAGGAGAAGCCTGCAAACAGCGGAAGGATGGGTGTTCAGGGTCAGATTTGACTTGATAACTATAGCATAGGCTGAGGCATTGTCTTTGTTTTTATAGCGGCATTTGGTACGTCTCTGCATACAAACTCAGGACAGGCAACGTTCGGAAGGAACTCGTGGCAATTCGAAGCCCAAGGTGATGTACAGGATCTAGCATGTTCAAAGATGATGGTTGCACCGAGCCATATACATCCACACCGTAGTCGAGACAGGAACGAACCAGCGAGTTGTAGAGTCGCAGGAGGCACCTCCTGTCCGAAGACATGCGTGCAAGTACCTTGAGAACATTAGCAGATTTAAGACATTTCCGCTTCAGTTCCTTCAGATGGGTCTGAAAACTAAGCTTCTTATCAAAAATAACCCCTAAGAACTTGTGTCCATGCCTAATGGTTATGACTGTTATTCATCTGCAAGCTGGGATCTAGCAACAGCCCCCGACATAGTAAAGAAAGCACACACACCGTTTTTTCTGCTGCGAACCGTAAACCATTTTCATCAGCCCACTTACTCACTCTATTTATTGCTACCTGTAATTGGCACTCACGGATTGACAACGTGCATGAAGAGAAAGCGATCTGGGTATTGCCTACATACAATGAATAAGAGACTGATGGTGGAAACACTGCAGTGAGGCTCTTGATCTTAATCGCAAACAAGGTAAGACTTGAAATGCCTCCCTGGGTAAAAACATCCGAGAGCATGGATCCCAAGCGGACCTGAAAAATATGGTCCGTCAAGAAGTCCCTTATACAACACGGCATGCGACCACGCACACCGCACCTGTATTGGTCCTGAAGTATTCCGTACCGCCATGCCATATTGTAAGCCTTCTATAAATCAAACCACCAGGATCCCTCTTTCCCCGGACACGGTTTAAGCCACACACAGCGAGGCAAGGGTGGGTTAACCCACATGGCTCGAGGTTTGTGGCGATGCCACTCACCAAGCATATACTAAAGCAGGTGCACCCTGTGTGTGGGTATGGCGGTCCACGTGGCTGGGGTCTGTGGCGATTCCACTTACCAAGGACCTAACACCTAAGATGTAGGTGCCCCCTGCAGGACTGAGAAAGAGAAGAAGCACCGCGTGCCAGAGAACGGCATGCTGAAGGACGTACCTGGGCGGGACGCAAAATGAGCCTCCCCGGAGTGAAGAAGACGCTGCGCACCAGGCATGTTCCCCTGGCCAGCTGCGGTGGCTTCTCGTCCCGCGTCGATGCGTAGACGGCGTCGAACGCCCTCGTGAAGAGCACCACGTTGCCAGCGTCGATACTCGACACGATGTTGTTCAGTGCACGCTCCACAGCCCCTGGGTTCACCTGGTGTAACAATACAAGTTGATGGCCTAGTTGGTAGAACATCACAAGAACAGTTAGAGCAAAAGACAAGATTGGACAGGACAAGCAATTGCCCAGTCCAGTCTTCTATGTGTCCTTTGTCTTTTGCACTATCTTCATCCCCATCTTTTCCTAAATGGACTTAGTAATCCCATTAGCCTGTGTGCTCTGTACAAAGCAAACTATTGATAATTTGACATGGTACCGTTGTCTATTTACTCTTTAGCAATCGCTGACGTACATGTACAGCAGCAATTATACATTGTAAAGTTCCAATGTATAATCGCAGCCTTTTTATTGCAGAAATATAATCGAGGGGCTTATCGGTCGCTGCTTTGTACTGGTCCCAGTTCTTGCATTCGCACCATCAAAACTGAAACAAAATTGAAAAAAAAAATATAAGAGGTGACCGAAGAACTAAATTTTATCTGCCTATGGCACGTGAAAGCGACAGTGCCCGACGAAATAGTTTCATGACCGCTGTTAGTTTGTCGAAAGTGAAACTGCTTTTCGAGCCACCAGACGGCAGTGAATTTTGAAAATTGTGCATACCCATGTCAACCACTACCAGACACCCAGCCGGAGTGGAAAAGCTGCCGACTCAGAAGTACCGAGACAGACCCTACCTTGGCACGCTCCTCGATCAGCTTCATGAGCGACTCGAACAGGGACTCCTGCAAGAGCATCATCTGGTCCCGCACGTCGAAGGTGATGTTCAGCACCGCCTTGAAGGCGTACGCGCAGGGAAACGGCAGTTGCTCCAGCATAGACTCGCAGCGGCAGTGGACGGCATGAGTTCGGTCGTGGCCGGCCTTCCCGGGGCAGTAGGTGCGCACGGGGCAGAAGGAGAAGGTCACCCCGTGCGAGCAACGCTGGGACAGCCGCCCCAGGACACGATACGCGAGAGACCGGTCCCTCGTGACAAGCTTGAGGAGGAGGCCCCCGCAGAGCGTGCCCACACGGAACCGGCCGCCCAGACAGGTACAGCCGAAGCTCAGGTAGCGCTCCCAGCGGAGTGGCACAAACTGGTTGGAAGGCTGTTTCTCCTGCTCGCTGCGCACCTCGCCCATCAACATGCTCGGAATTTTGAGGTGCAAGAAGAGTTCAACGTAGCGTCGTTTCTCGTTGACGAGTACCTGGTGGAGGAGAGCGGGGTGCCAAGAGAGTCGAAAATAAAGACACGCACTCGCAACTGCTTACCTAAACAGAGTGCCTTTCGTGAACACACTGCGCCATCTCTTCGGTAAGCTTCTTTTGACAATGTTATATACGACAACCAGCAAGCCCAGCCTGTTCTCTTATCATAAAAGGTTGCGAGGACTCGATCGTTAGTAAACACAAGTGTGTTTCAACAAGCTTTAAAGGCACACTCACACTCCCAAATATGTTTCCGAATTTTTCGTCACGCGATTCAATATGGCGTCGGAGGACTACCCAATCAGTATTTTGCTACAGAGTTACATTAAAAGGTCAAAAACCAAAACCGAAACCTGAGCACGGAGTTGATGGCCGCAACACGTGGACTGGGGAGGAGGGAGAAATGTAGAGGAGGAAAGAGTTGCCAGAAGTCACGTGTCTACATGACCACAATGTTTTTTTTTTTTCTTCGTTTCTCTGGCCGTGCAAAGCAAAAGAAAAATAGACAAACGTCAAGCACTAAGTGCTTGACATTTGTGAGATTTTCAAGCTCTTGCCAATCCGTGTTCGTAAGACGAGCAATGTCTTCAACCTGAAGAAGGGTCGATGACTTGGCGACATCTTTGTGTGAATCGGTTTGGTGTTTGGGGGGTGTCACACAGAATAAATCCCAATTGATTTGACTGGTAAAAAATTTTTCTTCTGAAGCTAGACAGATTCGCCGGTAGCGCAAACTACAGTTCTGAAATAGAGGCCCCACCAGTGACGTCACTAGGGTCAGCGGCACCCAAGGCAGTGGCCCACCGCAACACCCCCCCCTTTCAATGCATAGCTGCACCCCCTCCCCCGCCGAGCGCTGCACACGGGGCGGTCCACCCCCTATAGTGGTGCAACCTCGTCCCACACCTGTCGTCCGCCGCCATCGATTAGTCCGCTTCATCCAGCCTGCAACTACGACACCAAGTTGAGAATAAACCTCTCCGGAGAATTCCAGGAGACCTTGCAAACAAGGGGAATCTTGGGGCTGTTTGGGTGTATGCTCGTGCCAGCTCGAAAGCTCTGCATATCCTGGTAGCAGCACGATTTATTCTTTCTTACTGTTAGGTACTCAGAACACGATACAAAATTAAGCGAACGAAAAAGAAAGTCATCACATACTTTGTTTTGCTTTCCTTCTGCCTTATCTGCGTTCTGAGACCATGTACTGTTAACTTCATCTTCGCTTCTTGGATAATTTCACGTGCTGTACATCTGAACTTCACAATGCGTAAAGCAGACGTTGGGGGCACCATATATTATCGGAAGGGTTTACAGTGCAATGAGCTTATAACGATACCACATATAACGGTGTACCGCTTATAACGATCAGTTTCTAGAGTTTCTATACTGGAAATGACCAGTTTCCAGTCCAGATACAACGATAATCGGTCATAACGATTGAAATTTCGGGTTTTCACATTATTGTTATAAGCGGGTTGCACTGTATTATGCAGTATACATATAGACGATTGCAAGCAGGGCATCTGGCCGCCGCCATGTCTCCGCACGTGCGGGCAGGCACATGCTATTGCAAGCCTGTCAAGGCCACGCTCACGCGCACGCTACGCGTGTTGATACCCATGGGGCAGCAGTCGGGACGCTAAGCTTGCAATCGTCTATACGATTTCTGAAGTCAGCAGGCTCAATTTAAAATGAACCGCAAAAATCGACGCCTGCACGAAGCAATCTAAACTTTTCGTCAAACGTGTATTTCACAGGCCCGTTTTGTTTTGTAAAAATACAATGCGTAGTCTTCTTTCTGTAAAAAAAGAAAGGGCTAGACAACCTGCCAGGGTTAACGGCGGGTGGCGACGTAGACGACAGGGTCGAGCGGCGGGGTGCGTTTGGTGCATGTATTGATAGAAGGCGCTACCCCCTTATCCAGACCGCTCGCGATGACCGTGATTTACTAAAATGAAGATTATACTTTTGCAGTGTACTTTTGGTTTAAAAATAAATGCAGACAATCAAAGCAAAACTTGAAGTTAAAAAAAAGAATAAAGTTGCACGACGACGACGTTCTTGCTGCCGACAGATTTCGTCGGCGTGTCATCTGCTTTCTTTCGCTGGTCGGCTACACCTTCTGACGCTGCTCCCGACGCCATTTGACCTTGGCAAGTTTTCTGGCCCCATTTTTTACAGAAAGAAAGCTATGCTTTGTAATTTTACAAGAAAAAACGAACCTGTGAAATACACCTTTGACGAAAAGTTTAGACTGCTTCGTGCAGGCGTCAATTTTTACGGTCCATTTTAGATCTAGCCTGGTGACTTGGACCACCCTATACTCCCGGTGCTTTGTGCAACTTTTTCTTTCAATCAATGTATTTGTAGCTTCTTAGAAGTCACAAAAAATGGGTTTCATTTCTTTTTCTATTTTTAATATTGAGTGTGTGCTTTCGATGACACTCGACTTTGATTATATGGGGTATGTGTGTCTGACTGGCACGTGACCACGGGAAAGACTGTGAGCGCGACTCAAACCAGCCAGTTCTCAATCTATGGTTTACGGGAGGGGAAAAAACGAATTTTGAGCCGCAAACTGTGTTTTGGGTAGCTGGGCTCTCACATGTCATGTACAAATAAAAACCTTGGCAAGCATGAATACCCTGTCAGTGTCCCTTTAAGGGAGTGCACTGAAGCAATCTGTGTAACATTGTTCGAGCCTTTGCAATGGTATTCGCAGTCTCGCAAAGCAACGCTTGAATCGTCGGAGCCGCAGACGCGTACCCACCTTGAGAATGTTGAGGTAAGGCACCACGAATCTGTACTCGGTGACCTTTTCTCCGCAACCGGCCTTGTGGTTCAGGTGCAAGTCGACGTGCAGCATTCGTTGGTCGTGCTGGAAGTTGGCCTTGAGCCGGTAGTCCCGGTGGTCGTCGACCATCCGTCCATTGAAGATGTGGTGCTCCACAAAAGTCTCGAGGCCCACCAGCGTCCCGAACGAGAGCGACACGAGACGGACATCGCGATCAGCTGGATGAGTCGCCTGCTCAAAGGCCTCCAGGGGATGTGGCGTCAGCCAGTGGAACACCCCACGCCTCTCTTGTCCGGCGAAGCACCACAGCTGACCCACCTGGAGCGGTGGCAATCCATTCGTCCAATGACGTTTCGTCGACGGGTCGTCTCATTGACACACAACGTTTTGTAGGAAAGCTTCCCGCGTTCATTTCATAGATTCACCTGGCAACATTTCGTCCAACACAACATTACCGTTTTCAAAGAAAACCCTTTGTGTCTTGTCTAGTTTACGGGGGGACAGAAAGAAAAGAGGGGCCCAAGGTTTGGGTGAACATGCCTCAGTAAATCACGCACCAGCGTTTAGCGGCTTCCAGATGGGCTTACGCACTTGATAAAGAAAGAATATGTTGTCGACAAAATATTGCAGGAGCATATGCCTGCCAAAATGCCAGTGTCGACAAACATGTTTCCATGTAGGGCTGTCCGGAACACTCCAGACGGCGTGCTGCGACATAGCCTGGAGATATGCGGTGTTCCCTCCGAGCGTGCTCACCACGCGGGTGCGGACACACGCTCTGCTGGATGTCAGCAAGGCCTCCGCTGTCGTTATCAGTCCCAATCTCCCAAAAACAAGAAGGGGAAAGAGACGACAGTGAGGAGTTGAAGAGGAAAGCCGTGCTGTTTGCGTGGTCTATGTCCAGAGCTGAATACGGACGGAAGCACAGCAAATTTCACGGCATAACTCCATGCTGTGTTGCAGCATGCCATCAGGAGCGTCCTGTGTGAACAGCCCCTAAGCATGTGTCCATAAACAATTATCCACGAAATGTGTTTGGACGAAACGATAGGGACTTACCTGGAGGTACCTGGTATGGGCACTGAACCGTGCACCCGTGAGCTCCAAGTCGAAGATGCAGTCCACCTGGTATATGTCCTCTTCGTAGAGGCTGTTTGTGGACTTTTTGTAGACCTCGCTTAACTGGAAGGCGTCGGGGCTGCCGCAGAGTGCCAAGCTGTGGTTTGAGAAGAACTCTCTATACGCCCTCAAGAAGGAGCTGTCGTCTCTGTCAGTGTCCTTGCGCAGCCAGGACAGCTGCAGCTTGAGCTTGTAGTAATCGGGAGGCCGCATCCTCTGCCAGAAATGGAGCATGGTAGAAACGCTTACATGCCAAGTTCCACGGAAATATTGCTCTTTTTTTTTTTTTAAACTTCGTTTTTTATTATTATTATTATTCGTTTGGTGCAATCATTAAACGCGTTCGGTGGGCAAGCAACAGCGCAATGAAATCTTGCTCGGTCCTGTCACACAACTCATTGAATCATTACCGCGCTGTCAAAATGGAAACTACCCAAAACACTAACGGTGTGCTGGGCCCCTCGGTACGGGCCTTTGGCCTTTCCAGCACACCCCAGCTCTCCTGAGTTGAAATAAAGTATTGTTATTGTTAAAGTCGAGCATGGCGAAGAGACACTTGAAGCAATGTGACCGACTGATGTTGCAAATCCGTCCATCATGAACATGCATATAATTCGAAGACTAGATATAGGAACCATAAAGTGTGAATTTCGGGAAGAAACGGCAGCTGACCTGCCACGCGTCTCACCGTTGTTCTGCTTGTTGCACTAGTGCACGATCTGGAACAGCTCGAGCGTCTGCGGGCCTACCTTGCTGAACGCGCCACCAGCTCCACAGCCCGGCAACCGTCTGACAGCATCCGCACGCGTTCCACGTGCTGTTGAAAAACGTAGGTAGGTATTTGTTTGTAAATAGTGCCGAAAAGACAACCGTTCCTGCCCATTACGTCACCGTTGAATGAATGGGTGGATAAATAATTCCGGCTGAGCCCTTTGGATTGGGCGGTAGCTCACGCCACCTAGCCATTTTGTTTTACCGTTAGCGTTTAGTGTCATCCCGACCCGCCCCAAGCGGCAAACTCGGTGAAACTTAATGTGCGAATGGATAAACGTTAAAAACTATACCCTTCGTAACGGGCGGTAGCTTGCGTCATCTAGCGTAGTCTAGAAAAGACAAACATATGACTCCTTCCGCCCATCTAAAAAAACTTTTCTCCCCTAAATATCAGCGGGCAGTGTGAGATATCACCAGGATGACCTTCGGGGGATCGGACAAAAAAACTAAGAGCATCACCCCCTCCCGTCTCTTCCCCCCGGCGAGAAAGTCGCCAACTTTCCTCTGGTCAAACCTTGTCGGCATTCAAGGTTCAAGGATCAAGGTGTTTATTGGCACAACTTCCACACAGCCGAGCAGTCAAAAAGCAGAAGCCCGTACAACCAAGTGCTGGCTGGCTCCTGGGCTGTGTGTTAACAGGTGAAATGATGAAGATGAATATACAAATGAAAGGGAGGAAGAAATGGTAGTTACACGAAGTTATTGAGCTCGGAGGGCACGTGACACAGTCCTGCTAAAGCCGCGGAGTTCGTCCCCAGTCCCCGGCAGGGCGGGCGCTTGCGCTCTGGTAAAGACAGGTACGAGCTCACCGCGGAGGGGAACAGTGAGTGAAGCTTCGTGTCCCCGGGTGCGGGCGCGGAGAGGGATAGGACTACGATAGGACAGCCTGTTTGGCTAGAGATACGAGGAACTGATGCTACGTAGGAGCCGGCCAGCGGCAACAGCAACGAGTCGGACACGCGCCACTGTTCGTCGGTGGCCCGGGCGGTGCGAGCCAAGAGACCGCAGGCGTTCATCGTAGTCAAAGGAATGGTCGTGGCGGGCCAAGGTTCGAGTCGCGCGGTGCTGCACACTCTCTAGGCGCTCAGTGAGGTGTATCTGATGAAGGCTCCATATTGAAGAACAGTACTCTGGTTGAGGGAGTACCAGAGCCGTGTACAGCGTCTTCAGGGTCTCCTGTCCAAAACGCCGGGAAAATCTAGACTCGAATCCCAGTACCCTGCGAGACCTGCTCACCACCTTAGCCACATCAAATCAAATCAAATCAAGTTTATTTTCCAGAAACTCTGGTGGGTAAGCCCATGGCAGCTGAAATCGAGTGAGAGCGTGAATGATACACCCAAGATGTTGAGCTCCTGTACAGGTGAGAGAAGGAGCCCTCCAAGCGTGTAGTGTGGTGTCTGGACCTTCCTGGCCGAACTGAACCGCATCACGGCACACTTGTCGTGGCTCACACGGAGGTGGTTAGTGGCAGACCAGACAGCCAGCTTGTCCAGGTGAGCTAGCATGGTGGCAAGATCATCGGGGGAGCGTAAGCACATCGAAAAAGTCGTTTCGTTGGCATAATGGATGGTGAGGACTGAGGAGCCTGTCAAACTAATGTCACGAACATATACATTGAAGAGGGTTGGGCCAAGAACGGACCCTTGAGGGACACCCGAGCGGGCTGAAAGGGTATGCGATACAGCACCCTTGTGCCTTACGCGAAAACTGCGATTAGCGAGGAAGGCATCAATCCAATGCAACCCTGTCCCCCAGCACCGGACCCACTGGGGGACAGGGTTGAGACTTTGGGCGGGAGGCTTAGTCGAATTTCTAATCCTGATTGAACCTCTGATTTCATGCACAGTACCCCGATGCCAAAATATATTCCAGGTATCATCACTCCCTGCCAATATACTATTTTTCCTTTTCTAATTACATTCTCCTCATGTTAATTCCTCTGGATATTTCTTTCCCTCATTGAGCCAGACCCCCAGATATTTGTATTTTCCTACGTGGCCTTCTGCAATGTCTTGTATCCCCAGGAGTTCCCTCTTTTCGTCGTTAAACACCGTTACTCCAGACTTGTCGCCACTAAGGCTCATGTCCAAGGTCTCCCCTTCCTCTCCACATATGCCCGCTAGTTCCTGTGACGCATCTTGGTTATCTGACATAAGTAAACCTATGTCGTCCGCATACATCAGTTTTGGTATTACCTGTATATTACCTTTCTCCCTCCTTCCATATAACCCCCATCAAAACCTAATTGTTGCTCTGCTCCAATTTCTTTTCCATTTCACTGAGATGTATCACGAAGAGCAGAGGTGACAGTAAACAGCCCTGCCTGAGCCCTTTTTTTTTTTTTTTATTGTTGCAGGTTGTGTAATTTCTGCTTCCCACCTTATTGTCTGTGTACACCTCCTGAAGAAACCTCACCAAATTTGTATCCAAATCAGTGGCGTCACAAAGGGGGGGGGGGGGGGGGGGGGGGGGGGCGGACCGCTCCGGGTGCAGCGCTCAGGGGCAATGTCAGGGGGGGGGGGGGGGGGTGTCCTGGCGGGCCACGAGAGCGGGGGGGGGGGGGGGGGGGTTGCGGCGGGCTACGCGAGAGCGGGGTGGGGGTCGCGGCGGGGCTACCGCCCCGGGTGCCGCTGACCCTCGTTACGCCACTGATCCAAATTATACTCTTTCAGTCGACCCCAGAGTCTTTCCTGGCTCACATTATCGTATGCTCCCTTCATGGCCAAATAAGCTAACCATAAAGGAGTTTGGTTCTTCATTGGGTGGTGACGAATAAGTTATCTTCTAGCCTTCTATCTCTTCGGAATACATTTTGGAGCTCACCGAGTATTTGCGTTTCAACTGCCCATTCCTCCATTCTCCGCTTTACTATCTGCAGACCTAATCTGTATAGAACTAAAGTTAGCGTTATCGGGCGATGTGTATTAATGTTGTCTTTCGTTCCTCTGCCTTTATATATTAGTCCCATTTTACTGAGTTTACAATCATTGGGTACTTGTCCTCCCATAATACCTTGATTAATCGCATGCCGTAACTTCAATTTGCTTGTTCTTCATAATGCCTTTATGAGTTCCATGGGTATGTCGTCTGGTCCTGTCACTATTCCTGCTGGAACCATACTTTTTACCTTGTCCCATTCTTTTGTGGTCATCTCCATTGTTATACAATTCTGCTCCTCCTCAGTGAAGGGATCACTGATCCCTATTTTAGTAGGCTGGAAAGTGGATCGAGGGGTCGATTGGCACCACTGGCAGCCACTCGACCCCAGATTGTGGAAAAACTAGAAAAAGTCATCTTGTAAACCCTGAGATGGGGAACGATAAAAAAACGGACGAACACAACAAAATCTCAAACGCAGTTCAGCTGCGTTTGAGATTTTGTTGTGTTCGTCCGTTTTTTTATCGTTCCCCATCTCAGGGTTTACAAGATGACGATTGATTACCAGCTCGCCTGCACTCTCTCACTGCTTAGAAAAAGTGTCGTTTCCCCTGTTTTTACACTGTAGTCGGCACTGAAACTGTTTGGCTGCTTTTTGGGAAGTCTGTCAAATAGCTTGTGCACAAGCATTAAAACTGACAGCCCTCACAGTTCTTATAAATAAATGTTGTGTGGTCAAGAGTGACTCCGCTCGGCGAAAAATGTACTGCAGCTCAATGAGACAAGAGTTACTTAGAGTTACCGCGGAGTCGGTGGCGGTTTCGATGAGTTGGGTTCAGCAGACGACAAGCTTGGAGGCTTGTCGTCTGCTCCCAGAAAGTAGCTTTCAAGATGGAAAATTTTCGACATCTCCAAAACTCGGGAGCTTAATTTCACAGTGTTTTCTATTAAAACATAAATAATATCCAGGTGTAAACGTATGCTAGATAAAGAAAAATAAAACGCGCTTATATCCTTATTTTTTCAGGTGGATTTTGTGTTGGTGCCATTGCCATTAGCAATACTAAGTTGGCCCATGGCAAAAGTTGCACCTATGTGTTGCTTCGATAAACGTCGATGCCTTAAAAATAAACTGCAGGGGGTAGTCGCTGGGAAGCATGTATTCATCCCATACTATTCCATGCTATCCGCGGCCGCGTTGCACTGACGTCTCATCGCATACTTTTGACCACCATGTAAGAGGAGGAGAGGGAAGCTGCTTTTGTAAGAATTTTGAGTGACAGGTTAATCTTCTGTCATTTTCTGGGGGGGCACAAAAGAGGGTCCTGATAAGAGGAGAGCTCCTCCTTGCCCTCGTCTCTGGTGGTCATCAGAGCGCTCTTTGAATGACGTCACCTACAACCCATGTTCAACTGCCCCTCTTCTCAATCTTATGCTATCTGTGTGGTCCGTAGCTTTCACTGTTACAAAAACACAACCTCTGCTTCCTTTTGAAACAGAAATAGTATGGCCAAACTGGAAACCAATACAGAGGCTTTTGTCGTGACCCGGAAGTACAATGACATCTTGTCCCGAACCTTCACGAGATAAGCGGCAAGAACCCTTCTGTCAATTATCCGAGATTTGAAAGATAACTGTGGGACCATTGACCCTGTGCGCTATTATTCTTTGGGTTGGGGGGGGGGGGGGGGGGGGGCGTCGGCCAGTGTTTCCCCTGCCCAGTTGCGGTTGTTTCAGGGGGGGCAAAACACATGCCTTGTCCCCCCACTCTGAGAACTGGGGGGGGGGGGGGGGGGGGGGGTTGGCATTACGTCGGCGGCTCAAATCCAAAGGAATATAAAGTGTGTTCAAGATTCGCCAGCATTCCGGTGCCGCTTATATTGGCCTCGAGATCGACCTAGAGGTGGCGCTACGGTCGCGCTATCATCATCAATAAAGCGGGAATAGGAGAACGGCCGCCCCATAGGCTCTCCACGTTCGCGCGCGAGACGGCGTAGATTCTTGCGTTTATTTTGTCGCATACTATCGATGGGAAAACAATTCTAGCGGAAAAGGACGCGGTACTGTTCGGTGCTTCAGTGAAGATCGAATCGGGTTGCCAGCGTGCGGCTTAAATTGATATAATCGCTTCTGTGGGTGCGTCGTCTGTTCTAGGCAGACGTTGGAAAGCATGGATCACCACGACTGATGCCTGTCTCCGGCTGAACTGGAATATTTATGTTAAATATTTGTTTCTTTTAAATGG